TCGGTCTACTTCCATGGCGTTTGGGTCGTGTCGGTCGATGGAAGGTCTGGGGATGAATCGGTGCCCGGAGGGTCTGGTGGTAATTCGGTGGTTAGACCTAAACGCGATACCCCTCTGGTAGTTGCTATCAAGTCTCACAACCGCGGCGATGTATTTGTCAAAGTCCGTAGGGATGGTTTCCATCTGGTAGACGGAGTTAACGATCCCCTTCTTTAAACCGTCATTGAGGAACGTGATTAGGACGGCGTCTTGCTTGACCCCTGCTTGTGCAGCGAGGGTCTTGAAGCTGGCGATATAGGATGTGATGTCGCCCGTCTGTTTCAACGTTCTAAGTTTGTTCATGGCGGTACCGACAGCGTCGGCGGGTACGAATGCTTCTTTGAACTTGGTTTCGAAGTTCGCGAAGGTTCCATAGGTTTTGGCAGCGGAGTTGTCGACTTCGGTATAGAAGGTGAGCGCCCAACCCATAGCACTGTCTTCTGTCATATACGCAAGAGCGGTTATGACCTTCTTCTCGTCGGTATTATAGATCGTAGCGTTAAGCGCAAAATACGCTTTTATCGCATACAACCATCGTAGCGCCTGCTGAGGGCTCCCGTCATAATGAGACGGAGCTCCGGCTTTCAATTCTGGGGAGGTGGCGACGGTGGACATCCTGAGCGTTTCTGGTCAAGGGATGTTTCTGGTTCAGGGGAACGTTCTCGTTCTCTCGCTGAGTTCTTTCTTGGTTCTGTATAACCTCTTTGATGAGAGGGTCGATGGGGGACTTTAATCTTTTGTTACGGTAGACCGTAGTTTCGACTAGGATAGGCGCGGCGATAGACACTCGATAAGAGTGACGTCTAACGCCGAATCGTAACCTCACAAATGTAAGGCTTCTGTAAGACAAACTAGAGAGAGTGTCTCTGGTTTGAATATCGGTATCAGACACTTAAGATTGGGGGTCTTAAGCGAAGGATGTTCTGGGTAAAACCTAGTAGATTAAAGTGAGGTCTAGCTAAGTATAAGACCGTGCTTATATAGGTAGAGCCACTTTAGGGCCGGTACGTGTACGTCATCGAGACGAGTCAGAGATAAGAGAAGTGACGTCATCGAGACGAGTCAGAGATAAGGAAAGTGACGTCAGCTAGTGATGGCATGAGGCGGTCGTGCTGTAATACATGGATACGGTCCAGAGGCTGTCTAATGATGGCACGGTAACGTGCGGTCATGACGTAATACAAAGGAGGATAAGGAGAAAATGATAGGGGGTCACCGTTTACTGTAACACAAAGGATGAACTCAATGAGCATGACAGTACATACTGTCGTGCTTCGAGGATGGGGATGATGAGCAGCTTGACAGTACAAAGTTCAAACCGTCGAGCAGTCAACGTCAATGTTATGTAACTATTTCCTAATATGGATGTTTGTGATTGTTGGGTGCTTTCATCACCAAAGTTCTAAGTCCCTCATCTTTATGGAACTTGGTATTAGTAACTATTACTATAGGAGGTTCGACAGTTTGTACTGTCAAGCTCCCATTCTCCTTGTCGACAATGACCCTTCCTCACCTTCTTCCAGGGCATGACTGTATGTATAGTCATGCCCTGCATTCTCCTCTTTTATCATCACCAGACTTCTCATTGCAGCAACCTTTCATGACCTTCATCCTTACCCTGCTCTTTCATTGGACTGCCTATCGCAGAAATAACCTCGTCGACAATGACCTTCAATGACCTTTTCCAGGGCATGACTGTATGTACAGTCGTGCTGCCCAGCGTTCTTTGCCAACAATCAGTCCACACCAAGCTCAGGTCACTGCCAGCTCTCCTTGACAACAAAGTTATATTTCCTTGTCTGGAAGTTCTTGTAATGTTCGTACAAGGCTTACTGCTGTCTTGTTATTTCATTACTGGAAATTGTGAGTTGTTTCTTCTATCATTGTTGTTTGTCTGACTCAAAAGCTTGCCTATGCAGTCGTTTCTGGCCCTCCAATTCTACAACTCTCACTCCCATCCAATTCATAGAAACGATAGTACATACTGTCATTGCTATTTGCCCCACTCTTCATGCCTGTGTCTTGCTCACTGTTCAAACGGTGCTTCTGTGAGGGATGCATCGAAACCGGCGATCATGCTGAGGATGGCACACCTAAGGGAGTACTCATCGCAGAATGTCTTATGGCTGCACATCTACAATGCACCAAATGTACTCAAGCAGAATGTGCTGCCGCTGGCTCTCCCCACACAGATGCCATCACGCATTTGTTAGTCTCACAGCTGGACACACTCATGCTTATCAACAATGAACCGCCTGTTTCTCACCCCAACCCCACTCCACCATTATCTATTATGGCTCTGGCGGATGATCTTGAGCAACTCACTTTGCTAGATCCTGTTGTTGCCCATGAACCCAGAGTCACTATTGCAAGCAATGTCTCCCAAAAGAACACACATCGGCCAACTGTGAAGGCCTTGACAGTCCTCAATAACATAGAGTTCCGCGTTCAGCGGTACTTTTGGCTGTTACTTGCAGGTAATTTCAATGATGTTGGTTGCGAGCTACTATTGCTTCGCACAGCTGTGGAGAATGTCAAATGAAATGCAAACCTTGTGGTCACACGGAAGAGGGCAATTATGTTGGAGATAGATGGCTTAGAAGCCCAGTTCAACAGTCAAAAGCCTCCTGAAATGGACTTATGTGCAGCAGTCGAATTTGATACCAGTAAGAGTTGACTATCTTCATCATGATCATGTTCTGAATAGTCAATAGATGTTCACCATGAATTTCTGCTGGATCAGTGTGATGAAATCGCACAGGTCGCCTTATTCATCACTGTGATGTGTAAAGTCATCATGGGGGTCAGCAAGCGAGCCTGCAATTTCCTCTTGGGACTTATTTCAATCATGTTATTCCTCGCTTTCTGGAGATTGGATGGTAGCCTCAGCTCTTCCCATCAAAATGTGCTCAGGCAAATTCCAAAGAGTTTCGACACTGCACTCTCAAGATTCCATCTCACTGAGAAAACTGTTGTCTATGCAGTCTGCTCCAGTTGTCACTGCACTTACAGCCCACATCATGCAGACAGCTCAACTGTTCCTACATATCCTGAACATTGCACACACCACCCCATGCCAGAGGCCAAATGTGGCGAGTCATTGCTCAGCCCTGGCCCTGATGGAGTAGTGCGACCAAAGAAGACATTTGTTTACCACGATTTTAAAGACTACCTCACCAGTCTCCTCTCCCATGCAGATATTGAGGGGGCGATGGATTAAGCCTGTGATGATTTGCAAGACTCAATCAATTCCCCTCATCCACCTTTGATGAAACACGCATTCGAGGCTCAGTTTCTCCATCAATTTTGTGGCCCAGACCCAAGTTCACTTTTTATTGATAGAGGAGATGAAGGGTGCTATGCTTTCGCCCTTTTTGTGGACTTCTTCAATCTGGAGGGCATGAATTTGCGTGGTGCCAACAAATCCTCTGGCATCATCTCTATGGCATGCTTGAATCTACCATTGGATATCAGGTATAAGCCCAAAAACATGTATCTTGCAGGAATCATCCCAGGTCCGAAACAGCCATCCCTCAAGCATATCAATCACTACATCCAGCCACTTATTGATGACATGGTAGACTCATGGGAGCATGGCATCAATTTTTCCAAGACTGCTTGTTTTCCCACTGGCCAGCTCACTTGCAGCACTATTGTTTTGGCTGTTTGTGATCTTCCTGCCACTCGTCATCTTGCTTCTTTAGCTGGAACCAGTAGCCATTTTTATTGTAGCGCGTGCAATTGCTACCATAAGACCACATACAGTAGAGTGGACTTCAAAAGCTGGAAACCTCGTGATAAAGATGAACTCTGGAAGTTCACTGAGTGGTGGAGGGATGCTGCAACAACCTCCGAATGAGAGAAACTATTCAAAGCTCATGGTGTGCACTATTCAGAGATGTGGCATTTGCCATACTGGGATCCCTCACGCCAGCTTGTTGTCGACCCAATGCATTGTATATTGGAAGGTTTAGTCTAGCATCACTCTCGTACCCTTCTCAGTTTGACTACAGCAACCACTTCATCTTCATCAACTTTACCCCCTCCGGCCTTTTCATGCGACTTAGGTGATATGCCTCCAGGGATGACTTCGAAGGAAATGACTCAGGTCGCTGCTATATGCACCCTTCTTGTTTCCCAGTTGTCGTCCAATGACAAAAATCTGGATAACCTAAAAAATTTGCTGTTTCACAAGAATACAGGACCTCTCAAGTTTGTCTGCAAGGCCTTGCGATGCACTCCCCAGAAATCTAGTAGATTGTTCAAAATCAACTACGTCAAAGCTCTCGTGGAATGGGTAAGTTCTTAATATGTCTACTTTGTTGCGACTTTTTTATGTTTGTTCTCAGCACTGTGGAAAACCTTTTGCTGCTCCTGAGAAGGAGCTTCAGCTTGGTTCTCTAGATGCCCTTCATCATGTTCGAGATGTCATCCAACAAATAACCATTTCATCTTGGTTTACTTCAGTCCCAAGCAATTTTGGAAGCGCATCTGCTGGGATGATGAAAGCGGACGAATGGCACTCTCTAATCACCGTCTACATTCCTATTGCCCTCATGAGCTTGTGGGGGGCCGGTACCTCACATCCTTCCAATGAAGTCGGCACTCACCTTAGAGCTGTTCTCAACCATACTATGGAACTTGTTTGCGCGGTGTATCTCACATGCACCCAAACAATGACTGTAGAGAGAGCACACGCATATCACTCTCACATTGTGCTTTATGTTGGAAATTTGAAGAAGATATACCCTAACATCACTCTGTGTCCAAATCACCACGCTGCCTTCCACATATATGACTTTCTACTCCTATTTGGCCCAGCCCACTCTTGGTGGTGCTTTCCTTTCGAATGTTTGATTAGAATACTTCAGCGTCTTCCAGTAAATCATAAGACTGGTGAGTTTTTACAGAACACCAGTGTAATATCAGGACTGACTTTTCAAGGCGAGTTGGAAACTACCATGTTATACTCGTTCATCAAAAGTTCAAAACTTCACCGTTGGCTCAGTCAACCTGACTGTTCGCTGGCTATTCAAGAGTGCAAATTTCTGTTTGACAGCATGTATGCTCCCAAGAGCGCTGGAACTCTCAGTGAAGAACTTGCTGAAGATCCTTTGGACAACAGTTTACAGGCTCCTTCCTCCGCTGTAGCTGTGGCTGTTCCTGAAGCCTTGTTTGTGCTTATCAAACAACGCACAGCAATATTACATGCACGACTAAAATTCAATGGGATTGTCTATAGCAGAGCCTCTACTCACATCGGGAATAGCCAAGTTTTTTATTATTCTCAGGGTGACTGGTTATCGTCTCCTGTCCCTGGCAGTATCCAACATATCTATGCTACACCCACGTGTGAACTGGTGTTTGCTGTCCACAAGCTCCTCCTGCGTCATGATCAGTCCATTGATCCATTTGCTATGTATCCTCATTTTCCCACCAAAATGTACTTGTCAAGCTCAAGTAGTCATTTGGAAAATGTCAAGGTATCCTGGGTTGTTAGTCACTTTGCTCGATGGGCAGTTTCGAGTGATACTGTAGTCATACTATCTCTATCTCGCGTAAGTACAATTCACCTCAAGAAATCACTGGTGTCTAACTACTGTAAAACAGGATTGATTTTCAATTTCACTCTACTACATAGTTTCGCATACATTTACAATATATAAGCTGTCCACCCTGTCATTTGAATAAGAGTGCATTAACGCGTGTTTCTAACCGAAAGGCTTCGGTTGTGTCTATCACTTATCATCTAGTCCCCTAATATCTAGCATCTCAAACTCAAGTGGGCGATGACGTTGTAAGTGGGCGATGATTCAGCCGTGAGTGGGCAATCGTCGGGCAATCGGTTTTATCTAGAGATAAAACTTGATGATTTATTTTCACATTTCATTGTCAGGGGGTATTTTGAATTTTAATGCCCATCTAAATGATGGTCTAAACTTCATACATGAGCAGATGTTCAGTCACGTGCTAAAATTGAAGTTTTTTCGAGTCTTAAATGTGAAGTTTCATTTCGAAGTTTATGCCAGCATTAAAGATATATTTATATTTCTTATTGTCATTGACATTCAGACAGTAAGAAAATGTTCGCTGATACTTTATATTTCTCTTGTTGTGCAAGACCTCTTTAACATTTGAAATTTTACATCCGCTTAGACGACAACCTAAATATTAAGTATTTTCTTGACATTTCGCACGACATTCAAGCCAGTCTTAAATATTCGGATCCCCGATGTGATAAGTGTTCGATGAGGGAGCGGGAATAAAACAAGAGCGCAGTACCGTGCAGAGTGTGACAAACATTGCCGCAGGAAAAGGTAAAATATTCCCACGCTGAGTAATTTTCCTTTAGTACAAAACCCTATCTACTCCGTAGAGTCGGGGATTCTTTTTCACTGCGATCCACCCATTTGCAATGAATTAGTTTTTGCGCTACTGGCCTCGGTGGATCGGCGTCTCCGCGGGGAGTGAGAAACGGCGAAGGGTGCGACCAATCATCTAGGTACAGCCGCATGTCGAAGAAGTAGGACCGATTGCCCACTTCGGCTCTACATGGCGTAGTAGTTGGCCAAAAACAATCAAAGATGGCTGCCCGGTGCCCAAAACGTAATGGCGGCGTCGTCCTCTCGCTTCCAAGTGCCCACAGCACGGTCAGGTTGATCTCTTGTTTCCGTCTCAGGAAAGTGAAGTTATCACAAGGAGGCTGTGGGCGATTCGCAGGAGTTTAGTCAATTTTCCGTGCATTCGTGTTGCGTTCGTCTCATATCGACAACATCTACATATACCCCGTTCCGACACGAACGGGCCGGTCGACCGTTTGTTTTGGGAACACTTAAGAGATCTCTTGCCACTCACGACCCTCAAAATATTGATGTCCGAACAAGTTGTGTCTTCGCTTTTTTCAGTAGAGCTGGAACTCCAACGGTTGCTTTGTAATGGCGAGTCAAAGTCAATATTACCATCAGGAGCTGACATTTGTTCTATGCCCTGCGAACAGTGATTAGTTCTGTTTGAGGCCCTTGATACCGGTTCGCAAGTCTTTGATGATGGAAGCATAACTGAATACATAATGCCCACTGGAATCCAAAGAAGTGAGTAAGTTCAATACTACGTTTTGTCCCATAATATGTACCTGACAGCACAATATTTATTACAATAGGTGGTCAAAAGGTGGCCTTCATTTTTGGATTAATATTGTTACTACGTCCTTTAGGTACGTCCAGCTGGCATGCTTCTTACCAGCAACACGTCAACCGTCGAGTAGCATGGCCGATAAAATTTGTACTATAAAAGATTGTCATTCCTGTGGGTAACCTTTTCACTGTTCTTGCTGGGGTTCGCGGGGAACGAAAGCTGTGACAGAAGTGAATATTTGGATGCTACGCTGACTCTCTTATAGTCGCTGACTAAGCTACGAAAACCTATCTCTCGGCCCCTAGTAGATGGCTCCCCATCAAAGAAGACAACTAGATGGACTGGTTGATTCCTCAGCTAGTCAGCTCGCTCCCACAATCCATATATTACCTCCAGACCCAGATTTGGACGGATCCACTACCTCATTCATTAAGAAATCGTCAGACATATCCATCTCCGTGAAAAGCATGCAAGCCTTTGATTTTGAGCAGATACTCAGAGACCTCGCGCAACGGCAAGTGGCTCGCGATGATCTGCATAAACTACCTAACTCAGCATTTTATTTTCTCTCCCTCAGCCGTCAAGATGAAGGAATCAAGGACCGCCAACTTGGTGTCATATTTAAGGACTTGCGCGTCGTTGGTTTAGGTTCTCGTACTTCGCTCCAGCCCACCGTGAGCTCACTTTTCTATCCCTCGACATTTTTGTGCAAGATAAGGGGAATTTCCCACCCGTCAATCAGAGACATTTTGTCCGGATTCGAGGGTATGGTCACTTCTGGTGAAATGCTTTGTGAGCACATATCCTTCCCTGATCTCCGGCATTGACCCTCCGTATAGTGGTCCTTGGCCGACCCGGCTCTGGGTGCTCGACCTTCCTAAAGACACTCGCTAACCAGCGTGGAGAGTATCGTGCTATTGAGGGTCAAGTTTTCTATGATTCGTTCACCCCAAAGGAGATTCATGACTCCTTCCGTGGCGATGTCACTTACTGTCCGGAGGATGATATTCACTTCCCGACCCTGACGGTCAAACAAACGCTCTCTTTCGCTGTCAGAAATCGTACTCCTGCAACACGTCTTCTCGGTCAGATGCGCGAGGACTATGTTGAGGACACCGCCACGATGCTAATGAAAGTCCTTGGCCTCCACCGTTCGAGAGATACCTTGGTTGGTAATGCTCAGATTCAAGGTATATCCGGTGGCGAGAGAAAGCGAGTTTCTATTGCAGAAACTTTAGGCTCTGCAGGCCCACTTGGTGCATGGGATAAGTAAGGTGCTGTTATTCAAGGTGGTATACTCCTGACTCGTTTCTCATCCAGTGCTACTCGTGGATTAGACTCCTCGACTGCCCTTGAGTTTGTCCGTACATTACGTTTCATAACAGATATCAAACGCAGAACGACGATCGTCTCTCTCTACCAAGCGGGCGAGCAGTTGTATGATTTGTTCGACAAGGTCTGTGTTATTGCGGAAGGCAAAATGGCCTATTTTGGTCCGGCAAAGTCAGCCAAAGATTACTTCATCGATATGGGCTTTGAACCGCAATACAAACAGCCTACCCCTGACTTTCTGGTTGCAAGTAGGGTATTCGGGTTCTCTTATATTGCCTCATAATCATTGTTATCAGTTACAGACGCGAACGGGAGGAACATCCGCCCTGGGTATGAGAGTTTTGTCCCGCGGACGTCGGAGGACCTTGCTAGCCGTTTTAAAGCTTCCGACCTCGGTCGTCAGAATCGGAAAATGGTCGAAGAACATCAGGAACAATGTGTCGACAGTCACGAACACAAGCAGGCGTATCTGTCCAGCGTGGACGACGAACATGCCACCACATCTACTGCGTACATGACTTCTATCTCACAGCAAGCTGCAGCGGCCATGAAGCGCCGGATGCAAGTTATTGTCGGTCACAAGTTAGAGCTCTTTATACAATTTGCGTAGGTGTCTTTTTTTTTGTCCGACCCTCAGTAACACTAGGTGATAGTTCCCAAATCTTCCAAGCGATAATTTTGGGCACCGTCTTTCTGAACATGCCAAATGACAACTCGACCTATTTCTCTCGTAGTGGTCTTCTGTTCTTGTAAGTTTTTTCCCCTGTCGCGATTAAAGTTGTGCTTCACGGCTCTTTCAGCTCCCTATTCTTCAATGCTATTACATCTGTTGCAGAAGTCCCTGCTCTTTTCTTTCAGCGTCCAATCGTGCTCCGCCACCAGAAAGCCGCGTTACATCACCCTTTTGTTCAGAGCCTCGCGCATACTATCGTCGATATACCAATCACTTTCGTCATTCAGCTGATTTTCGCTGTGATCCTTTACTTCATGGTTGGGTTGCAACGTTCTACTGCACAATTTTTGTAAGTTCATCATGGTCATGTTCGTTCCTGGTTTCAATACTCATTCTGCTGCACAACAGCATATTTTACCTCTTTATTTTCTTAATGTCGCAAACTATGAAGTCACTCTTCAGAGCTATTGCTGCAAGTTTCAGATCTCGTCCTAACGCACTAACTGTTTGCGGTATTTTCATTCTCTTGATATCGTTCAATGGTGGGTATACAATCCCTTGGCCGACTGCTCCGACGGGCTTGCGGTGGATCATGTGGTTGAACGTACGTCATTTTCTCTCATGGGATATTTTTTTCACTTAATATGTAACATCAATATCGATATCAGCCTTTGTGGTGGGGGTTTGGCGCACTTGTCGTGAACGAGTTCCATACGCTCGATGGTGTTTGCTCCACTCTCATCCCTCAAGGACCTGGCTATGAGAATGTTTCGCTTGCAAACCAGGTTTGTATAACAGTCGGATCGCAGCCCGGGCAACCCCTCGTTGATGGCAACATTTATGTTGGATTGACGTATGATTTTTGGTACAGTCAACTTTGGAGGGTAGGTTGGTCACACTATACTTTGCGAATAACTCATGACACTACTACAGAACTTTGGTGTCCTTTGTGCCTTCTACCTTGGGTCGTTGACCATTCTCTTAGTTGCCACAGAATTCAATACTTCGTCTGCTTCCGACAGCGCCGCCGTTCTCTTTAAGCAGGGTTCTAGTGTCGATGAGAATGCCAAGACCCTTGACGAAGAAAAAGCAGATGCAGAGTGTCATTCTAGACCCCACTCCGATGTAGTTGACTCCTCGACTTTCGACGGTCTCGAGAAGAACACCATTGTTACGGACCTCTTCACGTGGCAGCACCTGCGATATGAAGTCCCCATTGAGGGAGGGATGAAATGCCTTCTTGATGATGTCTCGGGCTATGTTGCCCCTGGGAAGCTCACCGCGTTGATGGGTGAATCTGGCGCTGGAAAGGTATGCCTCCCTGTGATTCCAGTCGCGCATACCGCTCATTTGAATGCTCGCAGACAATGCTTTTGAATGTTCTTGCACAGCGCGTCGGTGCCGGTGTAGTAAGCGGTGACCGATTCGTGAACGGGCAGCCACTCCCAGTAAACTTCCAGGCACAGACGTAAGTGTCGTCCTAACTTCGCTTATCTTACCTGACTGCCATATTTAGTGGTTTCTGCCAACAACTCGACACTCATCTTCCCGAAGCGACTGTTCGCGAAGCGCTCCTTTTCTCTGCTAATCTTCGCCAGCCCCAGTCAGTTCCTCTCGCCGAAAAGGAAGCATAGTGCGTGTGATTTGTGCTATGATCGATCCCAACTTAACTTCCCAATGCAGCGTTGACAAGTGCATTCAAATGTGTGGTCTAAAGGAGTACGCCGACGCTATTGTTGGTTCTCTGGGAGTTGAGTACCGTAAACGCACCACCATCGCAGTGGAGCTCTCTGCCAAGGTAGAACGTTAGCCCTGCAGCCTGAAGTTGTGCTAAGTGCCTGACAGCCCCAACTTCTACTCTTCTTGGATGAGCCCACGTCTGGTCTCGACTCGCAATCTGCATGGGCTATTGTGCAGTTTCTTCGTGAGCTTGCCGACCATGGTCAGGCCATTCTCTGCACGTGAGTGTTATTTTCGCTTGAGGGGTTTCGGTCATTCATGAGTTGTACCAGGATTCATCAACCTTCAGCGGAACTCTTCCAGGTCTTCGATAAATTGCTGCTCCTTTGTAAGGGTGGACAAACCGTCTACTTTGGCGACATTGGCGAGAATTCGTCGACTATGCTGAACTACTTTGAGCGTAATGGTGCTCCCCGCTGCGGTTCCGACGCCAACCCGTAAGTAAGGATAGTTATACCAGGTCTGGTGCTTACCAGTGCGTTCAAGTGCGGAATACATGCTCGACGCAATTGGCGCTGGAGCAGCCACAGTCTCCACCACTAATTGGCACGATGTATGGAAGCATTCATCGGAAGCGATGCATCTCCAAATTCAGATCGAAGAGATGCATAAACATGGTCGTACTCGCCCACAACAGCTTAGCGTCCGGTATTCTGCTTTTGCCACTTCATGGCTGTACCAGTTCGCTGCACTCACTAGACGGAATTTCCAAGCATACTGGCGCAATCCTACGTATATTCATGCCAAGTTTGTGCTTAATATCACTGGCGGCCTCCTTGTGGGCTTTACATTCTTCCAGGCAGACGACTCTTTGCAGGGCACCCAAAACAAGCTGTTTGTAAGTACATCTATAGGATTCCTCGCTTAATCCTATTTTCACACTCTTTAGTCAATCTTCCTCGGTCTTGTGCTCAGTGTTTCCCTTGTCCATCAACTCATGGCCGTCTACATTGACATTCGCACAGTGTACGAAATCCGTGAACGTCCTAGTAGAATGTATCACTGGACCGCTCTCGTCATCTCACAGCTTGTCGCTGAGCTTCCTTGGAACATAACAAGCTCTGCGACGTTCTTTTTCTGCTCTTACTGGACCGTCGGATACTCCACCGACCGGGCAGGCTACACGTTTCTCATGCTCTCTGTCGCCTTCCCGCTGTACTATACTACGTTTGGACAAAGCATCGCGTCCATGGCACCAACCGCTCCACTTGCATCCATGTGCTTCACAACTCTCATCATTTTTGTCATGATCTTGTGAGTTACACACTTTAAATCACGCTCCGTCATGCTGATGGTCCATTAGTGATGGCGTAGTCCAGCCATTTGACCAGCTTAATTGGTGGAAATGGATGTACAGGGTCTCTCCTTTCACATATATCATCGAGGGTCTCCTTGGTCAAGGTCAGCGAATGATTTTTTTTGCTGAATAGTCATATTCACCTTGGACCTCGCAGCTATCGGCGGGCGATCGATTAGCTGCTCTTCCACTGAACTTGTCTCTGTCAACCCACCTAAGGGGTTGACGTGTGGCAACTACATGGGTCCCTTCATTGAATTCACTGGCGGCTACCTCACGAATCCCGAAGCTACAGAGGGCTGCCAGTACTGTCCTGCCAAAACCACTGACCAGTTCATGTACTCAAGGTTCAACATTCAATACAGTAATCACTGGCGCAACCTGGGCATCGTCTTTGGGTTCGTTGCGCTTAACGTGAGTCACTGGTGGATGTTGTTCAAATCTCGTTCTGATATACCATCTGTAGATTATCGCTGTTTTCTGGTTCACATATTTCATGCGCATTCGCACTGTCAGCGTGTTTACTTCTCTCAGGCAGAAGTTAACCCGTCGTAGATTGTAATTCATGCATACCTCATACCTCGCGAATGCATTCGGTACTGTGTAGCACACACTGGCAGACGTCGTAATCATTTGCAACCTACCGTATTCAAGTTAATGTCTGCACTACCCCTTTCGGCTACAGAGTCGCGATACTGTACTCGGACAAAACAAAATGACTAGAACGATATGTCGTGAAACTTCACATCTGCCTGGCATTAATTCACGAACCATATTCGAAACTATAATCAGAGGGTTTTCTGTCAAGGACTAGTGTTACAGCATAACATCGCGCCTTGTAGTGGTGCGCTCTCCTGTGCTCAGATGACCAAGGCGGTCTGCGGATTTCAGAGTTAGTATATTAACATCTTGCAAGGTTATATTCTAGGACAAGCATGAGCTTCTTATAACTGATCGGAGCAAGTAATTTATTCATAAATATAAATATCATTGTGACCTCATGCTATGGAGTCTCCACCTCGACCACTTCTTTCTCCAGGCTGAACGTAGATTCAGGATGCCCAACACAAGGATTCATCTCGTGCTGCTCGAAGATGGGTGGCGAAGTCCAACATACACAATCGGCGAACGTCGTGCTGACGTGTACGCATTGTTCGTTGGCATGCGTATCCCAAATGCTGATGATGAGACGGGGCGCGAGAATAAAGGGCGCAGTACCGTTGAAGAGCTCTGCTAGACTCATCGCTGGCATCTGCGTGTGTATGCGTTAACCGATCTTTGCATAAGTTGGAAGTTTCATACCGGGATGTCCGCCCATAGTATTACCAATAAGATTTGGTTTGTCAGATTCCTGGCGAGATGTGATTATTGCTTTTGAAACCTCATGGACGAAGCGGAACTCACAAGGCGAAGTACATGATATGATAACGGACAATCATTACCATGTAGGTATTAGGCTTCATTTCGATCCTCCTCTGTTCTACAACATGTTTCACGAGAGTGAAAGCCGCGAGAATGACAAGTAAGATATCATAACACATGATGGGGATGGAAGTATAGATCGCAAGCATAGGCCCTATTTTGAAGAAAAGGGTGCAGTACTTGGCGTTCGGAGTTATTATCTCTTTCACTATAAAATGAGGCGGGGTTAACCTACATCCAAAGCGATCAGGGCACAAATTTACCAGAGAACACGCTGCGTCGACTATACAGATAGATATCTGTCCCTATTGAGAGGGCCACGATAGGCACAAACAATCCCACTAGAACATGAAGTACGAGCTTGGATTGGTTGCATATGGCATAAAGACGCCAGATGAGAATGACTGTGGATACAGGATCGGTGCATGTAGCGAGATGCAAGAATGTATACTTTACCTTCGGCAAAGCAAAAATACACTGAAAACCCCCATTCAATCAGAACGATAAGATCATAACCTATTCCAAATGCATGATGAGTGAATGCGTCTCATGTTGAAAACGATATACGTACAACTAGATAAGCGGGCAACTGTTGGAACTCAGTTAGCTGTGAAATGAACTGGGGACGTACGGCTGAAATATGTATCAAGCTAAAGCTCTTGAACGATGGAATATATATACTCACTGATTCAGGTATATACAACAGACCTCCCCCTAGCGCAAATCAATCAATGAAGGGTCGAGTTGGCATGGGCTAGTGACACATACAGCAGGCGCACACCCTAGTGTGAAAAATTGTCAACATGATGTGTACAGTGTGAAGGGACAACTACGGCGACGTACATTGCAAGGAAAAACCCAAAATATCGAACCTAGCAAAAAACATCATACATTTGATTGAACACTGGTAGGGTGAAACTCACGACAAGGTACAGGCATGACATGAACGACCACGGTCTTTTCTGGAGATTCAATTAGTCTTCGGGTTGGGTTTATCGTCCAGATAAGGGGTTTGACACTGACCCAAACATATTCAACCTATGCCGATAATCATAACCATCAGCACGCGACCGACAGAAGAAGAGTTCTCTGTTACCTCCTTGTCTAACAGAAGAACTAGACGATCTTTCACTCAGTAAGAGTACAAGGTTCACCAAGGCTACTAACGGTACTCATAAGATATCAGGGCAATGGCCGCTACTGCAGTCGAAATTCAGAGTAATGATGCGGCAAATCAGGCAAAGGAGCTGACGAACCAGACACATTATTGTTCCAGCGGAGACCAGCGGCAGCCTCTTCTTCCGACATGACACTGTGCAGATGGGATGGAGAATTCGAAAAGGATAAGGGATGTTGGAGCGACTTATGATAAGGCACAGAATTTCCTCAGGTTGACTCGTGATTGGCTCCGAGTCGTGGGGACTGAGGTGTTTGTTCCTCGTCTAGTAGTTAGGGTTCGGACTAGATGCAATGAAGGGTACGAGACGGTATCGAGTTTACCTGTGCTTCCTGTTGATTTCCAAGTCGATGTTCTCAATAGTTAGTTGTCAACGGTTAAACATCACACCCGAATTTAAGACTGATGACTCGGAGAGTAGCCGTTATATTTTGGCTAGATTCTTCACTACTCGCACGGTATGCCAGTCGTCGTGGTGGGCGTTTATAATAGCCTAGAGGATGTGAAGCATTATCAGCTGCGCACCAATCAACATCGGTCTAAGGGTTACTATTGTTATATCTTGATAAATATGATAGCCATGCCGCCTTTCAGCCTGAAGGAGCACAAATCAGGCTGAGGACGACGACAAGTTTTCATTCTTACATTCATGGGAACTGAACGGATGTAATGGGATATTGATGAGCGAGCAAGTGATTCATGCTGTCGTAGCGATTGTTGGTTCATGTGCGTGATGCAGTACTGTGCTACTAGTACATAGTAATAGTAGTACTGGTAGTATGAATCTAAGCAGTCCTGCTTATTTTATTTTAATGTAATTCCAATTGAGAACCCTATATCAGGACATTGACAACATGACGATCCGAATCGGTTACTTGAATTGGCTCAATTCCTTCAAGTTCTCAGAGGCACCGTTTGAATAACTTGGTTACAGCTTGGCAGCGACCCTTTCGGCAGCAGCCTTTCAGGCTAACAGTCGCCCTGCTCAATTCCATTTTATTTTTCTGTGAACGAGTATAACTATATATTGCCGTGTGAACAAGCAAGCGAGTAAAAAATAAAATGATATATTAGACTGTTGCGCGTGTTGCGTGTTGTTCAACATTTGTCATCGCGGAGTTTCAACAATGCGAGCGGGGGCCCCGGATGATACTTGAAATCTTCGGTGTACAATCGTCACTCGTCATGAGATGTCTCGGACGCCGGCCACTGAAGTACTGAAGCACTACCAGTCTGCAGCTAAACAGCTTGAAGTCCTCGCGATTGCACAACTGGCCACGGCAGAAGATGACGATGACCAGGGAATCTGGTGAGTGTCGGCATGTTGGACGTTTGATGTGCCGCCTCGGCATTATCTAATCTCAGCGAGCGCTGTGCGCCATCAGAAATAAAATAAAATACTCGACCAATATACTCGACCTCAATTAGAACACATTTTATTTCTCAAAATCACACATCCATCGTCTCACGCGCCTGCCAGAACCACAAGTATCAGACAAGTCAAGTAATAGTACTCCAGTCATATCGGCCCATCAGTGAAACTTGCACACCGGTGTTGATACTCACCGTCTCGAAGAACTTGCTGCATTTGAATACAAGCCTGTCCTTCGCTTTCGCATGAATGATCAACTCCCCATATCTTGTCTTCCAACCGAGATCCTCGTGATTGCCTTCAGATATTTCGAAGAAGGACGGTGCTCGAATCAGCTCGATGGATCCGCGAGCAATGATGTGCGGTAGTTACACGAGTCTGCGAATGCTGGCACGAAGTCGTTTACGAGTGCCCGGCTCTTTGGACTTTCTTTCTTGATTTCTTTCCTCCTTGTCTAGCCGTCATGCTTGAGAGGTCAAAGAACCTACCATTGCTCATCATATACAAATTACCGATCCAGCTACATGATTGTTTCGAGCCAATCCTTTCGTACCTACTGCAAATCGAATTTCTCCAATTTCGCGCATTACTAGTGGATTCTGGCCTGTTTGTCGAAAGCTGGACTCCACCAAGACCTGAGAATTAGCGCTCAATCCTGATAGGTGGGGATAGAAGGTCTTGGTTGCCATTCTTTGTAGTGAGGCAGCCACGAACTTCTGCGCAGGTGCCATCAGGGCATGTTTTTTTGGTCAATTCAATGTTTGAGGTGGTTCAACTCGTCACGACCTTTGAGTGTAGTTACATCTGAAAAAGTAGCGGTTAGAGTTGTTTTTTCTCCCAGGGAACAGAGTGGTTAGATGTGATTCTTTTTGCCAACTGTCAGAATCACAGTCTTCTGCCCACAACACTGACCGAGATCCATTCAAACATATGTCAAATTTTCATTATTTGTTAGTAGGAACAAATACTAGGCTATCATAGCTCTGCCGACTTCTGCCACCAACGGGCCACGACCTACTGCCAGCAATTGCCACCTGGCAAACATATTTCATTCTGCCAACAAGACTACTTCAACTCTCCAAGCCGATCAGATCGCTCGGCGCTCCCACAACGAGGCTCATCAAACACCATCTTTCAAGGACAAGCGCCTCAACTTCGGAGTGTTGAACTTACCAGTTTTAACATAAACTGGCAGCTCATATTTTCAAGCAACTAGTCCTTCCTATCGATGTCAAGAGTTCTCTAAGTCTCATAGATGTCGAAGGCTATCGAGACATTTCTGATCTGTTTGCGGCTATGGACATGCATCCTGGCGGATCTGGTTCCGTCATCTGGTCCAATCTGCCATTCGCACTCTTCCCTCTGTGTCCAGTCAAGTACGTCGTCGGCGATGAATCCTGCAGAATCCTGGAATCCTAGTGAAGATGATATACGACTATCGATTGAATTTCAATTCGATGATGACATTACTCACAATATCCGTGTTCTTATGCATCGACACCGACGTTTCTATGCGTGCTAGAGTACTAATTTTTGTTCTTATCGTTGACTGCTGTATCTGATAGTCTCCCCTAGGCGACCTAATCTAGTCTTTCCCAATACTGGATCGGTTGATCATTTATGTCGCTTTGAGGGAGCCAATGAACACGTCTACCACACGTTATACGTTGATATAATGAACTCAAGTGCTGACGATAGGTATACTGTCCCAACATTGAAGCACGACATCACACTTCAAGGTCGATTCTATCAGAATCAAAACTTGCAAAGTTTCAAGGGGACTGGCATTTTTCTTGATCACTTTACCCTCGACAACTACATATTCATATAATGATATCTCGACTACGTATACTAAAACTACTGTGGTATCTTTGTTCGATGCTCTAAAATTACTCCTAATCCTGCGCTTGCCTAACCAAAATCTGGTCACAGTACTCGTCCGAAGTTGATTCCGCCACCACTCTCCCGCAAGCAGTACACCAAAATCATGCGATGCAAGAACCCTCTATGAGTCCTGTCTCGGAACTCAACTCAGAATCCATTTCATACTCCTCGAATATCATCGGCGGCGAAGTCCAGCACCCACAATTCTCGAATGCTTTGCTGACATATACGCACTTGTCATAGGCATGCGTATCCCAGATGCTGATAATGAGACGCGGCGCGAGAACATACGGCACGACAGAGTTGAAGAGCTCTGCGATGTTCAACAACGAAGCCTGTGAATATATGAAAAGGTGGCATGAGCGGATTTCTGCAGGATATCAGAAGTATCATACAGGAATGTTCTGAATCCACATTACCACCAAAAAGACTTGGCTCAACAAGTTCCTATTAAGATTCGATTAGTACTTTCAGAACACACTAGACCAAGGAAAGTGGAACTTGCAGCACAAAGCACAAAACATGAAGTCGAACGATTATCGATATAGATGTATTAGGCATCACGTTTATCTTCTTCCGATCTTCAGTGTGTTTTGCGAGTCTGGCAGCCGCGAGAATAACTAGGAGGATATCAAAGCACACCATGGGGATAGACAAACACATCGCAATCTCAGGCCCTTTCTTGAAATCAAACGTGCAGTACTCGACGCCCCCAGCTGATACTTCTTGCACTGCAACGAGACAGGGATCAGGTCACAATTAATACCAATTGGACACGTACCTACCCGAGAACGCGCTGGATTGACTGTATAAAATGATATCTGTTACTATTGAAACGACGACGACGGGTATGAATAACCCTAGTAGGACCCGAAGTAGGAGCTTTGAACGGTTGTATATCGCGTAAAGACGCCAGATGAGAATGACTGTAGATGCAAATTCAGTGCATACAATGTGCTGAGCAAATGCATCACTTGCTTTCTGCAATACAACTATATGCGGAATAGCCCCATTCCATAAAAACGACAAGATCGCGGCCTATTTCGTTTTGATGATGAGCGAAGACAGTTTAGGCAGAAAATGATATACTCGCAGCTAGATAAATGAGAAATCGACGATTATTGGAACTGGCGATTCAATCAAAATAGAGACGTACAGCTGAAACATGGGTCAATTCAAACTCTGTCAAGACAGAGAGCATCGTTACACTCACTGGTCCAGGCATATGCAACAGTCCTCCCCCTATAGAGCTAGTCAGCAAATGATGATTCAGTTGGCATAGCATTACACACAAAAACCCCAAAGTCTAAGGTCGACGTCAACATACTATGCACGTTTGAAGGATACAATCAAATTTAATGACGTACAGTGCAAGGAAAAGTCCAAAATATCGGACCTAGCATAGAAGAAAATGAAAAGTCATGAAGCATCCTGGCAGCGCGAAACTCACGATGAGGTAAAGGTATGACATTGGTGACCACGGTCGTTTCTGGAGATCTAGTCAGCCCCCAGGGTAGTGTCGTTGTATAGATTTGGTGTTGGACACTAACCCAGACGTACTTGACCTACACCGATCACAGCCGTAAGTATTTGACCGTCATAGAAGAGATTCTTTATTACCTCTTTATCCAAGAGAAGGACTAGATAATCTTTCGCTCAGCAGAAATACAAGGATTTGGAAGGCTACTGACGGTATTCATAGGACATCAGGGCAATCGTCGCCACTGGATTTAACCTTCAGGATGATAGTCCCATCATAGATCGTTTGAAAGGAGCTGACGAACCGGAAATATTATCATTCCAGCGGAGGCCATTGACAGCATCTTGTGCCGACATCGACGAACCGGAAATATTGTTATTCCAGTGGACGTCAGCGACACCAAGTTGTTCCAACACGACCCTTGAATAATGCCACTGATCATCGACATACGAGACTTATAAGGGACAGAATTGCCTCGCCTTGTGAAATCGTGGTAGGCGGTGCTCCGCAGGGCTATGAAAATTGCACGAGACATCATTACGACCCACCGTTAACAATAGCCAGCTATCTACGAATAGCCATTTTCCGACCGGATCCACGATCGACAAAAGGGTTGTAACGTCTCGGCTAGAAGTTTAATTATTCGTTTATATGCTTGCCGGCGAGGAACGTTTTTCATCTCGTTCGGCGTATTCATGGCCTAGAAAATTTGGAATGAAGTCTTATCGGCTGGCGTCAATTCTGGATAAGGCGTTTGTTAACGCCCGTGCACCGATATTATATCGGTCTTGAGGGAGCAGAAATGAGGCTTGGGACGGCACAAAGTTCAGCAAGACTTCTATTTTACGGAACGTACCGAGCTTGATTTACCGCCTAGCTGTGACAAGGGCGGAGGCTGGTCAATGCACTAATTCTGTCGGGCTACCCATATGCCTACAAACGTAACCTTGTCATGAGGTGCGTCGGGCTATACACATGTCGTTGCATGTGAACCAACGTTGAACGGGGTGGCTTTGTTGGCGTAAAAATACACACAGCTATCAAAGTTCTCCTTGGATCCATCAAGCGCGTATGGTACGCATAATGGCGTTAATGGCTCACTGAATGGGAGCACTTGATCGAGTGAAGTTGATGAGTAATATTATTAGGTCTTGTTCCTGTACCAACAGGAACCTCTACCAGTCCAAATAAGGAAAGATTGAGAACCAGCAGACTTTGTTAGCCTAAACGGAGTGAATCATGCACTTGGCATATAAAAGTACATGTTGCAACAATGGCGAGGCAAAAACGCACGAAGACGAAGACGACAGAATGTTGGGCTTATGAATAGGTTTCAATTGAAGGTTATGCATTTGGCTCGTATTCACAAGCGCCCGTTCACTGTAGTTTCAGGAGGAATATCCCGGTAATCACGATCCCGATCCCGCTCCAAAGTTGTGATATCATGTGGCTATCAAGAAAAAGCTCAGAGATGACGATGACGAGGGATAACTTGTGAGCGTACATCTACTGGGCGATACCTCCCGTTAGCATGAGGAACACTGTGTCCGTTTATGTGGTGAGGTGGAGGCGGCGCCGCTGGAGGTGCAACAGAGTGTGAATATAGTGTCGGTGAGGGACGCGTGAGATGCATGAGGGAAGGTGTTGCTGGAACTGTGAGATTGATAGCATCAAGAAGCAAGCTTAAATTAAGCAAGCATGTCAGCAACGCAAGCCGAAAAGCAAGAGTAGGCGCACTCGTTCTCAGCTTGAAGCTTTCGTATGCGTGCATTTGCAAGCTCAAGATCTCTCTCGAGCTCCTCGTGTAACTAGCGGGGTTGAACGTGTTGCGTCAAGAGTGCTTCGGGTAAGATACGTACCCCTACGACTTGATCAAAGCGTTCCCTCAAGCCTTGAAATCTGGCAAGGAGTGAGTCGACAGGAGAGTGCACACTGCCGAGACGCACTTTTCTTTGAATCGTCCACGGGGTAGTACGACTGGCGTCTGGACAGCAGTAAGTTCAAGGTGCGGCAAATCATCAAATAAGTTACTCTGTTTTTATTGGTGTCATCAGCTGGTACTTTGTCTCCTACGCGTTGCCCTTTCTGTGGTTTAGATGAGTCTACTTGTATCGGTCGTGGCATAAGGGGCGAGTTGTCCATGCTGTCGTAGGCTGTCGTTGTTTCAGCTCAGTGTGTATGACCTGCAGAGCGCTAATAACATTCATACGATTGGTTGAACTGGGGTCCTTGCCTAAAATGTGAGTTCTTTGTCGAACGACTCGGGAGTTCTCCCGAGGTGGGACGGGAATCTCCGCAAACGCCCAACAAACGCCGCACAGGCTTACTTAATAAGCAATATTATGGGCGTAGTGATGAACAGAGGGCATCCGGAACTCATTGAAGGCATCAGAACGTAGTTATATTATTTCTTGGGGTGCGCTTTTCGTATTAGGAGAAAGAATAACCTTTCTCAGCATCTCATATTATATCATGTATGTACAAAGGTCAGCAGGATACATGGGAATCCAGGAAAATAACCCATGGAATTTGCGGCGGGCGCCAGGTACTACGGCTGCATGTCCATCCCCGCGGACTTCTGTGAAGCACAGCACAGACTCCTGGAGGTAGCGTAATTAAGCCAAGTGGATGTTATATGTAGATGTATGTTGAAATTACTTGATCTCGGATACATCATAACCCATATTGTCGGGTAGTCTAGACAAATTATCCCGCTCCTTGCATAGCCCCAGTAAGCTCTGACGACTTGGAGCATGTGTTGTGCTGTACAACACTGCCAGTCGACACATGGATTCACTCGTGAAAAGCAATTGTAGTCAGGCCTGTCCTTGCATCTGAGTCGGATACGAGCTTAGCATGATATTTTCGAACGTTAGGGATGAGGCGTGGTCCCAACACAAATAAATATATGACCATGACAATTTCAAGAATATCACGATAAATCTGACTCTCCATGACAGTTGAGGCCTATCGAAGGAAATGATGAACAGCGGTTTCAAATAGATATCATGACAGGCTGACGTACCGAGATGTTTGGAGAGAGGATACTGAGTATACTGGGGTTGAGGCAAGAAACAGCAGCAAAGCCAGCGGGTGCATAGCTTCAGTAGGAAGGGATAATCACATTGAAAATACGAGCTCACCTTGCAAAGCATAACACATGCGTTTGTATCAACAGTCCCCGATGTATGTTCTTTAGATGATCCAAATTGCCACAGCGCACAGAAGTATTTCACAGCAATCCGCATAGCAAGATACAGTGCGATGACCTCCCACGCAGTGTTGAGTACCCAATCTCTGACATTAAAAGATCAGATATTTCTCTCATAAGGGTACTGATAGGTGCCAGAGAGGACCAGCTCTTCTGGCATCTTCCAATGAGCGTGATGCACTTGAATCTTTTGTCCGTAGTTCAAGCTTACCTCCTGAAACATGATGTATCATGTATATTCCGACCATCATTCCGCAGGGAATATTGACGGCCAAGAAGATGACAACAAGAAAAACCAGTATCTTTCTAGATCGCTGATGCATGCCATATAACCGAATGATTAGATAACTTGCGACACAGTTTCAGTCAAGACAACATCACCGCTGATTTGCAGCTGGTAGCTCGCCGCCCTGCATGAGAGATGTGACCATTTGCATTTAATGTAGAATATATGTTTACCTGGAAATCCATTTAGTGATAAGCCTTAGATGAAATTCTGAACAAACTCACAGCTGTTGCGATCGTCACATTAAACTAACAAGATAGTGGTAAATCTGACTCACCCCTGACTACATAGGGGTGCAACTTGGATGACAGGCAGGCATGTAGAATACACTATATCTGGCACTGTCCATACTATGCCGCCCGTCAGAAGGAATACACACAGTGTAAGTAAGTAAATTCATGTTGATGCTGATTGTGAGAGGTGATTATTAGCACAACACCAATCTTTTTTGGCATTGCAAACATACCCAGCGTGTAGTATTCCAATGTAATGCACTTATGATATTTTGAAGTGAACACGAGTTACTGACTGCACTATAATACAAGCTACGTACACTGAGATAGTCACGAGGGACCAGTGTCGCCCCTTCCTGGGATCAATTACATTATTATGTTGTTGTTCTGGTCTGCTCACTCAGGTGTGTTCAACCTATAACACCATTGTTAGCAAAATGACGGCTCCAACGACCGCATCGACCTACCTCTTGTCCGAATGTCGGTGCTGAAAATATTATAGGAATATCAGTAATTCTTTAGGACTGCCTTTGCTCACTCCAATCGTATATTACCCCGGCAGAGGAAGCAGCTGCAAAGCCATAGTTAAATCGACAGACAACATCATCGATTAAATCTCTACGAACCTATAAAGTAGCTGTAAAACATATTCGAATTTATCAACTGGGATTGTCCGAGACTAGCGAGTGAATGAAGTGGGTAGATGTAAAATGGTATGGTTCGGATGGACCAGTCATATAACGTGAAATGTGCGGGACATGCCACTATGGCATCCAGCATGATTGCCATGGAATAGTGTTCGAGCACATGGCGCAAATCTTTAGGCTCAAAAACATAGTTTCAAGGACTTGGGCAAGTTCTCATACTGGCCCAGCTCCGGGAAAGCTCACAGCCCCAGTCTTTGAGGGCAAGTTGCCAGGACTCATAGCTGTGACCACGCGAACCTCAAAAGCAGGCGCGAGAGGTACGTGATATCACGCAACTCAAATCTTTGCAATCTGAAGTCTGAGATCTGCTCGAGGAGTTGATCACGATCTTTAAGTGCAAGCTCGAAGAGTCAGGTCTAGTTGTTTTGAGTTGTTTTGCCATCATCTCTGGCGACTACCGTGACTGGGCTCAAACTATCGTATAGTTGGCAAAACCTTGACGTTGCAACTGTTCTCCGAGTTATCGACAAGTACGTCGGCTTCTTATCAACCAGTTGAATACAAGTATCCGGAGAGTTTGAAATAGTGTATTGGATTTGCAGTGGTACGGCTGCAACTACAACCGGAGGCCCCCCGGTCGCCGTAGGACTTCTGAAACACGCTAGGCTACCGGATTCATGCTTTCGAACAGCAACCAAATTCTAGGCAGCGCCCATCTATCCTGTCGTGTTCTCTCACTGATGGACCTCAGTGTCTTCCTACTATGCGAGAACTACAGGAATACAAGGACAAGCTAATCGATGTTCCTTGGCAGACATCCAGACTCAGAAGGGTATCATCCGAATCGTGCTCAGCCTACCGGCGGCGGTAACCGGCAGTTTTCACACCATCGTGGGTGCATACCAATACACTCATACATATCAGAACGTCATCTCGGTGTAGCTAGGCTACCGTGAGCATCTGCGCACGTCTTGGAAGCTTTGGAGAACAGCTTTAACCGTGACATTGCCTGAGAGCAGGCGGACTGCCACTTTTCATGACAATCGATCGCTAGTCTCTGAGGCGCTGAACTCGCATGAGATGACAGGTTGAGTTATCTTCAAGCGGGGCGCTACCAGGTCCACAACTATGTACTAATATTATCGGCAGCAGGCTCGGAATCATAGCCATACCAGAAGCTGGTTCGGATGAGTCTAGCCACCGTTGGAAATCGTGCGTGGTGAGTGGATTCCGACTAGTGCGGACAGCAGATCAAATGTCATATTTGTAGAGACATGTACGATCGGATCAAGGGAAAGTTATCACTCGTGACCTGTTCGATCCTCACTAGATTCACCTTGTAATGAGTGACACTCGCCAACCCATTATACATTGTGCTCCAGAACTGATGTTCTTGGTGCACGAGCGTGTATACTACCGGCACGGCTAGTAGTACATGTGCGAACTCCACATGAGCTCCACCCTGGTTAGAGCAACAACCATAGCTCAGAATTGGGGTCGGCGCCACACTCAAAGCTAGGTTGGAAACACGCGACGCTCAAGATATTCAATCAATACCAGCTAATATCTACAAATTGTAAGGACGCGCTTGCCCCGGATATATATTTTGCAACACACATCCACAATATGTTCGGGATCCGTTATTTTAATCTGCGCTGGTTTCTAGCCTTCAGGATCTCATTCACAGCATTCCATCCATCCTCAAGATCTTCAAATGGCGATGGCGCGGGCGCAGGCGTGTGATCATCAAGCCAGCCGAGGAAATTAACATATGTCAACTTGGGCAGCAATCTAAGCAGTATGTTGACCACGGCGTAAGGATCGCCGATCGGAGACATCCCCACAGAAAGGGCAATGATCTTCTCATTAGGAACGGTTTCAAAAAAGAAGGGATCGTTGTCGTAGTCGACAGGAATTGCGCAAAAGGATATTTGAACCCAGTGCAAGCGCGGGCAATGTTGGATGAGGTGGACGAGTGCTGTGGAGGTCATAGATGGCGGGACTAGAGACTGAGTTCCACCTCCAAAGGAGAGAGACTCGAGCTGAGGCCAAGATTGCACAAGTGTCTTGAACGAAGCGTCGTTAATATCTGAAGTACAAATGCACTCGAGCAGTAAGTGCTTTAAACGATTAAACGGCAGCAACGGGGCAACCGCGTCAAAGCCAAGCACATAACTTCGACCGGCGATGTCTTCTTTAACATATTCGGGGTCGAACTCATACTCGACGCAAAATATCTCAAGAGCAGGAGAGAGGCACTGCGAGAGCGAGACGATGATGTCGGGGATATGCAGTATATTATGCAGGACCTCTGCCAGTGGATTATAGCATATATTATCAAAATACAGGTCCACCTTCGCTGATCGACAGGAGGGAAGACGGACACTTCTGAAAAAGTGTTCAACTTCGGACGGTGACGATGCAATGATGTGCACTTCAGCAAGTTGGGGGAAAATTGTCGGAGTGGAGTTGGATTGCATCTTGTGGATACCGGACATCTCCGTTGTGAAGTACAGAGACTTGAGGGACGGTAGAGAAGCCAAGTGAAGAAACTCTCGGCGACCGAGGGCGCGTGATTCAAAACGGGAAAGCTCCCGCAGGCCAGATAGAGCTTTACAAATTACATCTGAACTCTCTGCAGAATCACCGACACATAATGTGAGCTCCTGAATGGATGGACACAGACTTCCGAGGGAGGCAAACGACGCAGATTGGGCAAACGAGGGGGATGAAAACAAGAAGTCCGCCCGAATTGATGTGATAGTTAACCCAAGGAAGGTGCGCAAGAGTGGAAAGAAGTGTTCTCGGTCGTCATACCAATACAAACTACGAAGGTTTGGGAAGAAGGACATGGAGATTGGGGCAGACATGAACGCTTGCATGACATGATTTTCTATCATGTCTAACTCAGAGCTGCCAACCCAAAAGGAGTGTACACGTCGTGCATATTGATGGATCAGCCTCCATTCTCCAGCTAGGATAGGCCTCTGGAGCGTCTATTTGATTTCTTTGAGTATTCAATATCATGCAAATGGGTTTAGGCATTTTTCTCACCAATCTTCCTCTCCTGTCTGTGTTACTGATGCCTTCAGGCAGGCATGAGATGAGTGGTTTAAACCCAGATATGCATTCCCAAAGAATATCAAGGGCAGGCCCCTTGAATTCCCTACATGTCCTTGCAAGAACAGCAAGTTGAGCACGTGAAATAATAGGTATCCAACCGTAGCCGTTTGGGATGTTGATAGTGAATATGTGGAGTAAAATTTCTGTGGGTAGGAGACAGACATGCATGACTGCGAGAGAAAGCATTCGGAGTTGGCGGTGCGCTCTGACTTCAATCTGCTTCACAATTTACATAATACCGGACTTTCCTCTTAGGTTGCTGTCCTGATGTACAGCTAAGTAGTACACGTAGCGAAAGAATGATAGGGATAAGCTTTCACGCGTCATTCAATTCTTTACGCTGCGAGGCTTGTTCTGCCAAATTTATTGTAGCTAGGCCACCGTGACATCTCTGCGCGTCTACTTTAACTTTAACGCTGCCTGAGAGTAGGTGGACTACCACTTTTCACGATCAGCATGAGTGCGCGCGTAACAACCAATCCACCGCTAGTCTCTGAGGCGTAACGACGAGATGATAGGTTGAGTTATCTTCAAATGAGGCGTCACGACTAGTATGTACTGGTATTATCGGCAGCAGAATCATCACCATACCAGAAGCTGTTCAACCACCTTTGGAAATCGCACATAGTGAGTGGATTCCGACCGCAGACAACAGCTCAAATATCAGATTTGTAGAGATATGTATGATCAATTGAAAGTTACCACTTGCGACCTGTTCGATCTTCGCTGGATTACCTCGTAATAGTGGCACTCGCCAACCCATTAAAATTCTGTTCTAGGACTGATATTCGTGGTGCACAAGCATGAATACCACCGACACGGCTATATGTGTGAACTCCATCTGAGCTCCACCCCGGGTAGCGTAACATCCATAGCTCAGAGTCGAGATCGGTGCCACACTCAGATCTAGGTTGGAAACATATGGCGCCTAATATATTGCTTACAATCAACGCCAGCTAATATCTATAAATTGTAAGGACACGCTGTAACCTCCCGCCACTCAGATCCGTTGGACGCGCCCGCCCCGGATATATACTTCGAAGCATATATCCACAATATGTCCAGAGTCCGTCATTCCAATTTGTGGTGGTCATTATCCGCTAGGATCTCATTCACAGCAGTCCATCCATCCTCAAGATCTTCAAATGGCGGTAGCGCATGTGTATCATCATCAAGCCAGCCAAGGAAATAAACATATTCCAACTTGGGCAGCAATCTGAGGAGTATATAGACCACAGCGCAGGGATCGCTGATCGGAGACATCCCCACAGAAAGTGTAGTGATCTCCTCATTGGGAATGGTTTCAAAAAAGAACGGATCGTTATCGTAGTCGACCGGAGTTGCGCAAAAGGACATTTGAATGGTATGTAAGCGCGGGCAATGTTGGATGAGATGGAAGAGTGCTGTGAATGTCATAGACGGCGGGATTAGCCAACAAGCTGCACCTCCAAAGTAGAACTGCTCGAGCTGAGGCCATGATTGCGCGAGTGTCTTGAACGAGGCGTCGTCGATGGCCGAAGTACATAGCCAATCGAGCCGTAAATCTATCAAGCGATTGAACGGCAGCAACGGGGCAACCGCGTTAAAGCCAAGCACATAGCTGTGACTGGCGAAGATGGCTTCTCTGACATCAGTGAAGTTGAACTCGAACTTGACGTGAAGTTTCTCAAGAGCAGGAGAGAGGCACTCCGAGAGGGAGACGATGAAGTCGGGGATATGTAGTGGGTCATACGGGACGAGTGCATAGTTTAAATCACGATAATCATAATGGATGTACATCCTCGCTGATCGACAGGAGGGAAGACGGACGCCTCTGAGAAAGTGTTCAACTTCGGACATTGACAATACGGTGAAGTCCACTTCCTCGAGTTTAGGGGAAACTGTTGGAGTGGAGTTGCATTGCATTTCGTGGGCATCGTATGCCCCTAACCTGAAGCACAGAGACTTGAGGGCTGGTAAAGAAGCTAAGCGAAGGAACTCTTGTGGACTGAGAGTCCCTGTGTCAAGACGGGAAAGCTCCCGCAAGCCAGATAGAGATTCACAAATTGCATCTGAACTTTCTGGAGAACCACCAGTACATACACAGTTGAGTTCCCGAATGGATGGACATCGACCTCCGAGGGAAGTTAACAACGCAGATTGGGCAAACGAGGAATTTGATAGAAAGCCAACCCGGACTGATGTAATAGTTGACCCAAGGAGGGTGCGTAAGAGCGGAAAGAAGTGTTCCCGGTCGTCACACCAACGCAAACTACGAAGGTTTGGAAAGATGGATGTGGGTGATGGAGCAGACATGAGCGCTTGCATGACATGATTGTCTATGATGTCTAGCTCAGAGCCGCTGACCGTAAAGGAGTGGACACGTCGTGCATATTGATGGATCAACCTCCATTCTCCAGCTAGGAGTGGCCTTCGGAGCGTCTATTTGATTTTTTTGAGTATTCAAGATCATGTGGGTAGGTTCAAGCATTTTTCTAACCAAGTTTCCTCTTCTGTCTCTGTTACTGACGCCTTCAGGTAGGCATGAGATGAGTGGCTTGAACCCATTTAAGTGTTTCCAAAGAACATCAAGGGCAGGCTCCTTGAATTTCCTACAGGTCCTTGCAAGAACAGCAAGTTGAGCTGAAAAATCTCTGAATCTCCCATCATTGCCGATTGTGAATATGTGGAGTAAAATTTCTGTGGGTAGGAGACAGACATGCATGACTGCAAGAGAAAGCACTCGAAGTTGACAGTTAGTTGCCGACACTGTGACTTTTCGATTGGAAGGATGTGTGACTGTGATCACCGCCTAGGCTAGACGAATAGTTTTACATATGGGGATAAGCCATATTGACGCGCTAGGTGAGGCTTCTTCGAGGTCTGGCAGTACACTCACTCGTGCTAAAGTTGTAGCTAGGCGGCCACCACTGTGATCTCTCCGCACGTCTCGGAAGCTTTGGAGAAAAACTTTGACTTTAACACTGTTGCCTGATTCGGAGAGCAGGTGGACTGCCGCTTTTCACGATCAGCATGAGCGCGCGCGTGATAACCAATCCATCGCTAGTCTCTGAGGCGTAACGCATGAGATGATAAATTGAGTTGTCTTCAGGTAAGGCGCTACCAGGTCTACGACTAGTATTATTGGCAACATACCCGGAATCATCGCCATGCTAGTCTAAAGCTGGTTCAGGTGAATTTAACCACCGTTGGAAATCATGGGTGGATTCCAACTGCAGACATGTACAACGAGTTACAATATCAGATTCGTAGAAACATGTGTGATCAATTAAAATTTATCACTTGTGACCTGTTCGATCGATCCCTGGATTCACCTCGTAATGATCAAGTTGCACTCACCAACCCATTAATATGGTAGAACCTGATCTAGAACTGATGTATACCAATATTCATGGCTTGGAGTCAGGATCAGTGCCATACTCAGATGTAAGTTGGAAATGCATGATGCCCAAGATATTGTTTTTCTTCCAGTCAGTGCCAGCTAATACCCACAAATTGTAAGGACGCGCTGTAGCCTCCCCCACCCGGATCCGCTGCTCCGTCGCAGCCTTCCTCGAACGCGTTCGCCCCGTTCGCAGCACATGTCCACAACATGTCCAGGGTCCGTCATTTTAATCTGCGCTGGTTGTTAGCCGTCAGAATCTCATTCACAGCATTCCATTCATCCCCAAGATCTTCAAATGGCGGTGGCGCAGGTGTGCCAACATTAGACCAGCTGAGGAAATCAGCATATCCCAACTTGGGCAGCAATCTAAGTAGTATATGGGCCACGGGGGAGGGGTTGCTGATCGGAGACATCCCCACAGAAAGGATAGTGATATCCTCGTTGGGAACAGTTTCAAAAAAGAACGAATCGTTGTCGTTGTCGTAGTCGATCGGAGTTGCGCAAAAGGACAGTTGAATGGCGTGCAAGCGCGAGTAATGTTGGATGAGGTGGAAAGTGCTATGCAGGTCATAGATTGCGGGACTAGCGAGTATCTTGAACGAGGCGTCGTTAATGTCCGAAGTTCAAATGCATTCGAGCTGTAAGTCTTTCAACGGCAGCAACGGGGCAACCGCGTCAAAGTCAAGCGCATGACTTCGACCGGCGATGTCTTCTCTGATATATTTGAGGCCGAGCTCAAACTCGACGTGAAGTTTCTCAAGAGGAGGAGAGAGGCACTCCGAGAGCGAGACGATGAGGTTGGCGATATGCAGTGGATCATAGCTGCCATGATAATCGATGTCGATCTCCACCGTTGCTGATCGACAGGAGGGAGACGGTAAAGAAGCCAGGCGAAGAAACTCTCGTGGTCTAAGGCCCCTACGTAAAGATGGGAAAGCTCCCGCAAGCCAGATAGAGCTTTACAAGTTGCATCTTGGGCAAACAAGGGGGATCTAGATGCCAAGCCCACATTCATTGACGCGATGATAGGTTGACCCGAGGAAAGTGCGCAAGAGCGGAAAGAAGTGTTCTCAGTCGTCACACCAATACAAACTACGAAGATTCGGGAAAAGGACGTGGGTGATGAGGCAGACACGAGCGCTTGCATGACATGATGTCTAACTGAGGGCCGTTGACCGTAAAGAAGCCTGCTAGGAGTGGCCTTCGGAGCGTCTATTCGAGTATTCAATATCATGCGGGTAGGCTCAGGGATTTTTCTAACCAAATTTCTCTTCAGGTAGGCATGAGATGAGTGGCTTGAACCCATTTCAAGGGCAGACAGACGTGCAAGAGAAAGCACTCGAAGCTGGCGGTTATTTGCCGACACTCGACTTTTCGATTAGAACTCACCGCCTCAATAGGTTTACATATGGGGATAAGAGGATGTAACGAGATGTTGACGCTGGCCTGGGTGAGGCTTCTTGAGAGTGAACCGGTTCGGGTGAAACGCCGATATGCGGTGTCTGGTACATGAGGTGTGCACGTTTGATGACATAATTAGGATTTCTGGCAATGAAAAGCGGTGAATTGCCAGTGAACTTTCGGACTTGACTTTAACTATGGACTACGATTATTCTAACCAACAACAATCACCAAGACAATGGTCACAACCGACTACATCTGGTTTCTCATCCCCAGCTTCCCCTACGCCGGGCTACTATTACACCCCAAATCAACAATCGCCTTCGAGGCCAACTAGCAGTAATTTAACGCTCAATCTCAGCTCACTTTCAGTAACTTCACCGGTCAATCTTGGCGTATCCCCAATAACACCAGTATCTCCCACAAATTTCAGTCCAGCTCATCTCAGTCCGCAACCGCCTACCTTTCAATTCAATTTTGATTCAACAGAAGACTCCTCTCTCTTACTAGGACAGCGTCGTCCAAGCACAGGTTCCCATTCTACTTCATCAAGCGAACTAGCAGTAGAGAAGAGCGTACCGCGTAAACGAAGTCTCACAAACACTGCTCCTCCTCCAACTCATCATACACACGGGCACTCTCACTCTTACGGCGGACACATACTCCCACATCCAATCATAACAACAACTGCTTCATCACCGCCTTCGATAAGCGAACCTTCTTCACAAGGTCCGCTCACGCCGGCTAGTTCACAGCCTTCGAATCAGATCGATATCAACGCAACTTATGATGATCCTGACGGTATAAGTGCTTATTCCATGGCAGATCAAGGCGACAGCGACGACGAAGGCGCAAAATCTAGCGCAGCAGGTCCTAGTTTAGGCGTCATCGGTAAACCAATGGGCACGAACAACTTTGTCACAAAGCTTTATCAGTGCGTTCAATCTTGTACTTTATATCTATCATTCAACTTCTACAGGATGATTAACGATCCAAAGAGTCAGCTTTTCATCGCTTGGACTGAACTTGGAACAAGGCATGTCGTCGTATTTCATCACTTTCACTTTCCTCCTTATTCACTCTTTCTAGTTTCGTCGTTTCAAACATAGGCGAATTTAGCAGGAGCATCCTCGGCTCTCATTTCAAGCACAACAATGTCTGTCTCCTCTCCACTGGTATAAAACCCACTCACTCCCCCACAGTTCTCAAGCTTTGTCCGCCAACTCAACATGTACGGCTTTCACAAAATCAACAGAGTACGTACTTCACTCCAGCTATTTCACCATTTAACATCTCATCAAACAGACCCCACGCGCTCAACGCACATCAACAACATCCCAGACTTGGGAATTCAGCCATCCAAAATTCCTCCGAGCACGTCCAGATCTCTTAGACGCCATCAAACGTAAAGCTCTCGAGCCTGACCCTCGTGAACGTGGACGGTTAGTCCCGCTCAATCGCCACCGAACTAAAACTGATCTAATCCCTAGCGTCGAACTCCCCGGCGAAGTCGCTCGTCTCCTAAACGACATGCGAGATGAAAACAAGGCCCTCTGGCGCGAGATCTTACGTCTAGGCGGACGCGTCCCTCCTCACATCGCAAACACCCTCTCCCAATCTACTAGCTCGTCTACGACAGGCCCGAAATTACATATTGGGGGAGACGAAGAGGATGAAGACGGGAGCGATGAGGGGTTTTCGTTTAATGTTATGGGGCCTGGTCTCAGTATGGGCATGGGTGGAGGAAGCGAGGCGTGGATGAATTGGGCGGGTGCTGAGATGCGCCGTGAACGACGGAAAGTGGAGAAATTGACCGGGATCGTAAGAACGCTGTGCGATGCGATTGGATCTGGTGCGATTCTCCCTCCCCATTTTAACTTATCACTAACTACTATTATACAGCATCGCCAACGCTAATCCACGAGCTCAACGCCCTAAACGCACCAAGCCCCTCCCCCTCCCCAGTCCCTCCAAGCCCAATCCCAAGCGAGCACAGCCCCAACATCTACATCACCTCTCCCCCCTCTCCATTGCCCTCACACTCACACTCCCCCTCGCATTCGCACTCGTCCCATCACAGCCAAAGCCATGGACACAGCCATCACCCCTCAGTCCCAATGCTCAGCATCCCCCAATACGCCCTGCACACGTCAACCCCATCTCCCACCTCCAGCGAGTTCTCTGCATTTGGTCGGCACGGACACGGGCGTCAACCCAGTATCACCCTGACGCCTACTCCTGATGTAGACGCACATGGGATGCGGGAGGTAGGAAGGGAGAAGAGGCAGAGGAGGACGGGGAGTGTTGTTAGTGTGGGTAGTGTTGGATCTTCGATGGGTGGGTCTCCGATGGTTTCTCCCATGGCGGGCGGGTCCGTCTCTGGACTTGGTGGCGCTTCGATGGGGGGAGAAGAAGATGCCGAAGGGGAGATGAACTTGAGTTTGGATCTGGATATGGATATGGATGTTGGGGGGAGCGGTGGTGAGAAGAAGCAACAGCAACAGCAACAGCAACAGAGGGCGAGGAGCGATTCGGCGCCTACGTGGGTTACGGGCCAGAACGCTGGTGCTGGTGCCGGCGGGGGTGTTGGCGTTGGCGGGCTTACTGCGAATTGGGGACGACCGAGGAGCGGGAGCGGGTATGGGAGGTAATTGTTGTGATTAATGGGGTTCATGCCTGGTGTTTGAATGTCTTTTTTTCTTTTTTTTCTACGTTTCCTTTGCTTTACTGTTTCTTGTCTCCGTTTTCACGCTTGCGTGTTTTTTTCTCGTGTTTTTGGTTTTATTCTTGCTATCTTTCCTTTCCTTTTCTCCCCCCTTCCTTTCAAAATTGTATAACTTGCAGACTCAAAACTTATTATCGTGATCGCCTATCTGTATATTCCTATCAGTATCACCTCCCCCTCCCCCCTCCTTCTCCCTCCTATCTGACACACTTCCCACTTCCCTTGCCACGCTACACCAGGTGACCTGCTTCTCATTGACGCTACACCACCTACTTACTATCCACAGTAACGGTACGCTACCTATTTGCCATACACAGTACGCCACACCACGACGCACGCTCAATCTGTACTAGGTCAACACCACTCGCACTCGTACTAGTACATATTGTATACTGCGCTGACTACCAGCTGATATTAAATTAGACACGAGTACATACATCGATTCATCGATCGCTCCTTTTTTTTTTTACGTAGACCTGTTATTGTTGGAGTTGGTGCTTGCCAGTGCCACACTGCCACTGCCCCGCCTCGTTCCCTTTAGAAATCCAATTCCCTTCTTTCGGGTTCGAACTCGAATTGGGATTGGTTTGGTTCTTTGCTGGATGGGAACTTGGGGGAGGCATATGAATCCGATTATCGATGATATTTACCTTGCTTTGACCTGGTGTGATTGCAGGCGAGGATCGAACGTCACTGTCAGAAGCATGTCAGGATCCTTGACTGCGGTGGGTGGGTGATGATCAGACCACTATCATGATGTTAGTGTGCTAGTTTGACTGCGGAAATGTCAAACGAACTAACTAAGTCACTTCGGATATTAAACTCGGGCTTCATCTTCATGTCCATGTCCTGCGCGATGACACGGAATTCGTGAGGTATTCATGTTTTTTGTACGAGGGTCCAGGATGGATGGTTATGGTCATGGTCATGGGATGAATTCAAGTGGTGATCGAGAAACCTCTATTAAATCCTACGTCAGTTGACATACATCTACTTGCCATCGTGGCTGCCTTGCCTTAATTTAATAGTTGACGGATATTATAATAAACATGACGATAGCATGCCGGATGAGAGGTATCATACACAGCTCCGATGTGACAGGCGAATCAAACCGGCGAGGCAAAAGAATGGCTGAAACAATAAGTACTAGTAGTAAACGCCTACGTGATGCATGCCGGGTGAGACGAGACACAGCTCCGACGTGACAGGCGAATCAAACCAGCGAGGCAAAAGAATGGCTACAGCAGTAAGTACTATACTAGAAGTACTAAACGCTAATGTCAGTGTGCGTGTACGTGCAAATTATAAGCAGGCTTCGTGTCCCTTTAGATCTACGATATATTTGTGTCAAGGGGCCGTGCAATGCAGTGATTAATACGAAAATAAACAAGGATGCCTGTTGGTTGTCCATCGTGATAAGTATGTCTGCATCATCACCTTTAGTAGTGTAGATTCCGTTATTATCGTCCGATACCTATGTAATTATTTTCAAACGTGGCCTTTTTGATGGTCCGGGACTACTTGCAGGGTGTGCAGCGGTAGAACTGGGTGCGTTGCAGTCGCCTACAGGGACTGGGAGTAATTTAATTCTGATATATCGGATAAATTCGAGGGCGGTGCCAGCTGTGGGTCGTGAGGCCGGTGATAACGACCAGCACTCACGGATAAACGGCCATAATTCACCGACGAGGGGAGTGTGGGACGGACAACAAGGGGTGTTTCCTTGTTGGATCTCCCGTATGATAATCACTTCCCGTTTGATCTCGTGCCAAGGTACCTTGCCTGATAGGACCTACGGAGTAACGTATTGTGAACTTTGTTGAACGCTGGGAATGGTTTGGACACTTACTTGGAGCATGATACTGCCAAGAGAGTAGATGTCGCTGAGCGTCGTCGGCTGTACGTCATCTGACAGGAGGAGCTCGGGAGCTGTCCATCGTACTGCGCCTGGATACATAGCGGTGGCTGCGAGGTAAGTCGAACCGGTTTGCAGGTCGCCGAGCATGCTTGATAGTCCAAAATCGGCGATGCATGCAGTCATGTCCGCGAGGATAAGAACATTAGACTTTGAACGAATGAGTTCGAGGTGTGGAATAAGTATGGGGAGGTGTTACGTACCCCAGTGAGATCCCCGTGGGTCACGGGATTATTAGGATAAGAGTGTACTGTAGAAACTCTAGACTCAGAATGGATCAAAAGATGAGTCAAATAGACACGTACGGTAAGTGAGACCAGAGACGATATCGTCCAACTGAACAAATGATCCCGTTAGAGATAGAGGACAAATACGAGTGATGCGATCATACCAAACTGAGTTGATCAGCAATAGTGATGATCAGCCAACTTTTTTCCAGGCAATCGGTTAAAGTCCCATTTGCAGCCCAAGGCGCAACAAGGGACATCGAAACACCAAAGCCGAAAGCATAGCCCATGAATTCCATGACATTTGGGTGATTAAGTCTTCTCCAAATGCCCATTTCTCTCCTCAGTCTCTGTAACACATAACTATCAGGGTGTAGGTATGGATGATCAGCGCTCTGGCAAACCTTTGAGGTATTCTTGTTAACTTGGAATCTGAAGCCCTTCACAGCAACCTGAAACGGATACCTTGTTAGTATATCGTCGTCGTCGATTAACATCTGTACGAACCGGGATGCACCTGGTACCATCGTTGTAAGTACATTTCCAGACGTTTCCAAAAGCACCCCCAGCTATGGGATCAAGGCCGTAACTCCGAGTAATCCAACCTGTCAAGTCAATCGGTTGAACAGGGGTCGTCGGACTGCATGTGTATTAGTAGGGCTCTGGAAATTTTGAACAGACAAGTCGTCACCTTCCGGATTGTGCATTTGGAGATATGGGCGTAGGAAGCATCCCAGAGAGATCACTAGCAAATCCATGCTTACGATTGTCGTTCCCTTCCACAAGAACTGTGCCATATGAACCAGGAATGCTTGGGAATAGATGTCCATGCACTATCTGATCCTGACCATGTGCGGTACTCTTCCCAAGGTCGGAGGGGTGTAGAGGGGAATCAGGTGTGATGGGAAGTTGGCCATGCGTACTCTGAAGATATTTCATATCGAGTCGAGGCAACTCAATACGTGAAGTAGACGATTGCGAGTTGTGAACACTGGGAGTCGAAAAATATGGGCCTGAGTTGGGGGAAACCGGTGTATGTGGAAACGTGGGAGAGAATTCGTTTGGCAATATCTGGCTCCCTTGTGCAAATAGGCTGCGTAAGTCAGATGTACTGATACTATCTGAAACATCGCGAGAGGTTGCCGCCGAGGAGACGAGGTGAACGGAAAGGAGAGGCACGGATTCTTTGTGCTGGTCGCTCGATGGAAAGACCATTGGATCGATAAGCCTTCAAATCTTGTACTTGCAAGTCCGGGTATCTAAACGCGATGACCAGTAGATCGGCATACAACCCAAGCTTGTTGAAGTCTCAGCCAAACGAGTGAGAGGGGGAAGTACTGCGGGGGAGAAAGTTGTTCGCAGGACATGTCAGCTAGGATTAATTTTGAACGTTACTCGACCCAACGCGAGAACAGGTACACGCTGTTCTTAATTTGGAAGGGATGTCATCGCTGGTACCTTGAAATCATGAGACCTCAAACATTACGAGCACTCTGGTAAACCTGCCTTACCATCGTCTTGGATACTCACAGCATTCGAGAGCAGGTGAGATAACTCAACACTATAAGCGGCTCAGGTACTCTGGTTGATGAACGTCGCAGCACATGTGACACTTTGAATACACAGCATGTAACAGTAGATCGTGACGAAATACTGGTCCTAGACACAGGTATGATTAGTCTACAATACTAAGTTAGTAATGAGTGGACATACCCTCAGTCTCGGATTGAGGGAAACCGACAGTGAGCAATCAGGTATTATGTAACTGAGCGTTTCGGGGGTAATCGGGATACTATATACGATAAGTGAGCGTTGAGTTGCAGTCTATGACTTCAATATCCAACAGCCCGATTGTATACTTTTAACTGCGTCTACACTGCAAATCTTCAGTAGACGACACCCTGAGTATGAAACACGGATGAGTGAGAAGTAGATCATGATGAGATTAGTTATACATGCAGCAAGATGAGAGAGGGTGACCGAGCGAGGTAACAAACAGCAAGTGGAACTATCGCAACAAGTCGACAACAAAAATAAGCTATCTAAACTGAGAGGAGCCAAGATGTCACTGCTCGCTGCAGCTTTTGCAATAAATAAGACATCCTGATTCCGTGCGAAGAGGGAGAAAACAAGGGGGTCAGCGCAAAAAAAAAACATGTACACGTATGAATTGAGGTAAGAATGTTCGAAACGCAAGAGGAATGAAACAAACACATAGCCCGAAAAAATCATATCTTCCATCCACCGTTTACTTGAGATCCACACCGGTCGGATCGAACCATTCACGGAAGTCTTGCTCGAAATCTGTCCGAAACATGGATGGATCTAGGTCCTCCAATGCTGACATAGATTGAATGAAGTCTGAAGACATGAAATTAGGCGGTAGATCGGATAGATTGGGTTGTGGTTGGCTCGCGGAATTCGAAGCCGGAGGGACTGAAGGTGTCCCATTCGGAGCAGGGGACTGTGTGATGCTTGAGTTGATGGTATTTGGAGTAGGGGGTGCAGTGCCGTGTGCGCTCCCCGTAGGGTTAGATGAAGGCCCTCCCTGGCCTGGAGCAGCGGGAGCATTGTGAGGTGACCCTTCTGGTATACCTGAAGGGTTATTGATCATGGGTTTAACATCCTTCTGATCTTTCATGGGACCACCCATGGCTGGTGACGCAGGTGGCGCCATGCCGCCCATAGGTTTGGCTTGAACCAAGTTCTGGCCGATTCGATTATTCTGGGGACCAACAAATTGTTGTTGACCTTGCACAGAATGGAAACCTTGCTCAGAAGCACCGGGAGCGGCCGCTGCTAATAGGTTCTTTGTCGTTGCGGTCATACTCTGTCGGTACTGCAAGGCCTTCAGAACAGTTGAGGGGTAGCCAAGGGCCGCAGCAAAAATCGACGACTTACTGCATTAGCATTGGCCATCATCATGTTATGACCTGATCCTGGAACCATGTTCGGGCTCATGGCGTTACCAGGAGCACCTATAGGCAGCCCCATACCAGGATTACCCATGTTCGGTGGAACACCGTGCGGCTGGAAGTTATTCATGGGCGGGCCTTGCATCGGACGCATTATGTTGCCATTGGTCATTTGTTGTGGCCCGCCCGGCATACCCTGCTGTTGCGGGTGCGGGTATCCAGGACCGGGGCCCATGGATGATGTTTGTTCCATGGGGGGAGGTGTGCGGCGCTGCCGCTTCCTGTCCGGAGGCGAGTTTTCGCTATTCGGGAGCGTGCCATGCTGTCAAATTTCGCAAATTAATATGCTGTAATATTAAGCCAAGAAAAGAAACAGTACTTCTTCTCCAGGTGACGTGCTGTTACGTTTTATGGTGCGCTGTTGCTGTTGTGGCTGCTGTTGCTGTGGAGGCTGCTGCATTGTTGGATGTTGAACAGGTCGGCGTTGCTGCCCGGGTGGAGCCATCCCTTGCAGGTTCGATGACCCTACAGGGCCGAGTTGTGATGCCTTCACGCTCCGCAGCCGCACCTCATTGAAGATTCGTTGCTGTAATTCAGGTAATTCACGTTAATAAATTTTCTATAATAGCGATGACGACGAAAGTACCTTATCTGGGAAGCTAAGCGAGTGCAACTCTTTATCGCCATAACCCATTGCTACTTTGGCTGCCGCAACGAGTTCGTGAGGCAAACGGTTGAGTTCTTGGCTGAGGGCTACATTTTGTTCGTTCGATGGCGTCTGGCGGGCTACCAACGATGGACTGCGTTGTATCATACCACCTTGACCGGGGGTACCAGGACGACTGGGCGACCGTCCCATCGGAAATGGCGGCGTCTGCGTCTGAGGAGCGGAGCCAAGGGATGCATTTGAGGGATGCATGGGGCGATTGAGATTAGTAAGATGACCGGACGGGCCCACCAGCTGATTCATCGGGGGCTGTGTATGCTGGGGTCCAGAGCCAGGGTTACCTGTAATATGGGAAGAATGAGACATCGTTGGGGATTGGAATGGAGGTCCAGCGCCATTTGGTCTTGGAGGGCCACCGGGCCTCTGCTGTCCGGGTAGTAGCTGCGAGAAATTTCCTGGTTGACCTGGAGGGCCGCCCGATGACATCGGCATACCGTTAGTTTGAGGTCCGTTCATTGGGAATGGCATAGGGCCCTGGGCGCCATTTTGCATTGGGCCTGCATTACCTGGCAAAGCAGGTCCAACACCGTTAGGCATCTGGCCGTTTGGTGGCATCGATGCTTGGGGTCTTTGCGTACCGTTCATGAAACGATTCATCGCCGGTGGCGCTGGCCGCATTTGGGGCGCGTTGTGCTGTCTGAGGTGCTGTTGCTGCAGCTGATGCTGTTTCAGAGGTTACGGTCGGTACATTGCTAAGAACGTTGCACCCCCAGCCCCACATACCTGTGTATAGACCATAGCATCATCCGTTCCTGTTCCATTGCTTTTTGCTGTGAAAAGTACCCAAAAAACACTCCACCATCTGGAGTCCCGCATATTGGTTAGTCGAGCGCTTAAGGAATAAGTCGGGGAGGACGTACTCAAAAAGTAGACCCTGACGTGCATTGATGGGGGGAGCAGAGTCTGGTGGTATCTCAGCCTCTGCTAGTAGCTCGCGAGCTGTTTTACGGAATCCGCGCTTATTGCAATAGTCATAAATGTAAATGTTGAACCTGGGTGAGCAGCCAACAAGTTAAGTTGGGGCATGGGAATGAGATATGCGGCGACAAACATCCTGTCCCCTTCCCAAGATGGATCCGACGAGGGGGGAGAGGGTTCGCCTGCAGGAGGTTGCGCAGGCATTGATCCGGGAGGGCCAGAGGCCATGAAGAGCTCCGATACAGGTTGACGAGTGAAAGTAGAAACACAAGAAGGGTGTTTAAAAGATCAGCGAAAGAGAGCGCACGTTTCACGTTTGGCGGGTGGAAAATAAAGTCGATGACAGAGACTTTAGAGCTGTGTAAGCCGCAAAGATATATAAAGGCAGCTCAAGCTGGACAGACAGCGCACAGGTTCTCCGGCCAACTGAGTGAGGGGAAAATGAAAGATATTACAGGACGACAACAACAGCGTCAAGATATGCCTGATCGTCGTCGACAACGACGGCGACGAAGTTACCTAGCGGAGGAAGAAGGAGTAGGCGAATGGGAAGATTGAATTCGTGCCAAACGAGAGGCGCAAGGTCATACTAGATGGGAAATTTCCAATTGTCGCCGACTTTGCCACCCAAAAACTACACGCTGTTTGCCGCATGCTTGTCAAGGCTGGATACGTTCTACTTCCTTCCTACAATACGTTAGAACATACGATACATGCGAGTTCTAGCGTAAACAGTACAGAATCGCAAATCTCCATCAATGTCGGCGAACAACTGCAATCTGAAAGTCCCATCCACCAACAATATACTTCACTTCCAACAACCGTCTGATCTCCCGCCACCCCGCGCTCTCCTTGGCATCCTTAAGATCCGTCACAACGTAAATGAAGTCTGCAGGTGAGAGAAGCGATCGCAATAACGATCCAATTAAGAAAGCAATTAGCGCTATGATTAGAACAGTCGACAACGGGTATGTGGTCGGCATCCGAACAATGTATGTTGTCATCGTGGTGCTCGTGCTCTCTGTCAACAGTCCGCCAGGCAGCTTCGGAACACTTTGAGACGATCGACGAGAAGATGAAACAGATGGTGGCATTGGTGAAACAGCCTCCTTGACTGCTGATGAAGTCCAGCGAGATAGCGGATTGGGATAAGCGTTTAGGAATCCAAAAAATCCGCTATTTGATAATGGCGGCGGCAGAACCTGCGTAACAGTACTGTTCTCGGGGATATCCTATAACATCGTGGCTTAGGGAAGCCATTACATTCTAAGTAATAAACTTACCAAGGCCGGCCCGTTTTCGATCACTGAATCCGCCTTTGGTCGACTCTCCTCAGGTGCTTCCGGATCTTCATTGATATCGATAGCAGCGATGGTAGCGCTATCGTCGAGGAGATCATCCGCACGGGACAGGGGCTCTTTGAGCTCGTCGGGAAACGAGTCTCCATCGTTTGCGGATCTGATGATGTGCGTCAGCAACGGCTCGCGCATGAATCGTAATGTATGACCAACTTTTGCAGTACAGGCATACGAGAGACCCGGTCATCCTGGAGCTCATCGCGTCCAAGTGCAGTTAATGACTCCTTCTCACTAGCAATCCCAACACTCGTGCCACCGACTTTCACAACCACACCACCGTCACTCTTCTTGACACCTAGAGCAGGCACCATGACAGGCTTAATCTCCACCTGAACAACAAACCCTTTTTCATGCAGATCATTAAACCACTGAGGCTTGGGAGGTGCTGTCCTGATCTCGCCTGTAAGCGGATCTTTTACCGTAGACACCTGGTACTGGGCTGTGGGCAAAGTCAACCTTAAAAGATGTCGAGGTGGTCGATCAGCGTTCAGTCCTGATGAGTGTAGTGGCGAAGCTGGAATAGTGTATACGCTCGAATTGATAGGCAGGTCTGTTGTACTTGCACTTGAAACCAGCTCCATATCGTTCTCGCGGGAGGTTTCGAGGGAGATGAACTTCGCGTTGTCCCGTGGACGAGATGTAATGAGTACTTCGTAGCCCACCGGATAGAGTTTTGAGTCTACGACAATCTCGGCAACTAGAAGATCTATGGAATGTCTGATTTCGCCCTTCAACGTAAACGCAGAGGAAGATGGTTTCAAGGGCTCAGAGGTAGAGCCTACAGAGGCTGAAGAGGTCCTGCGAGGATAAGGCGCGGATGAAGGGGTCTGAGTAGATGTAGGAAGTTCAACTGGATTGTTAACCCGAGCCTCAGGAGTAGGACTAAGAGTTGGGAGACCCACTCTGCTCGGCCTAGGAGTGAGATCATCAGTTTTACCTGATATGGTACCGGCCATCGTAAGCAACACAACACTGCGATGAGTTTGATTGGCAGGGTTGAAGGTCGACACGATCAACTTCCGATTGTCATCCTTCTTCCTTAATCTCCAAGATGGCGCATGAACTCCAGTGCCGCCCTTCTGTTCCGCCAGGACAACACCTGCTGCTGGAAGCCTCGTGTATGGCATGGGTGAATTGCCCTTCAGGTAGATCTCCACCGCAAGTATCGACTTGGGGAGGGCGCTGTTGATAAGCGAGTTTACTGCTACCGGTATGGATCCTGCGTAGTCCACTGCAACGACTCTGGTGCACCGTGTTGATGGAATGGCATAGTTCTCCTTGGTATACGGATCAAGTGTCTCAAACATCCAACCATCGATATACGTCCGCCCAATCGGCAAGGCATAAGGATTGTACTTGGATGAAGAAAACGATGTAGCCGAATGTGGACTGAAAGACGTGGACACGCAGAATATGACAGAGCGAGCGTCCTGTGAGGGACCCGTCTCTCCTGGTGTGAGGTCTAAACTTGAGAGTGGAAGCCTGGAGCGAGCCATGATAGACGCCATGAAGAACCCCCGGTCACGGAAAGGGAACCCTCCCTTGGATACCACAAACGCAGTATGGGACTTCGACCCAAACCTTTCCAAGATCGAGGCAGAAGCAAATCGGACATCCCACTGCTTGCGACACTCGTAGTTCGTCACAACAGCAGCAACCTCTTCTGCGGAGACTCCTTCAATGACTTTCTCGCCTTTGTGCACTGGGATGGAGGGCGAGATGTCTGTGAGCAGTTTGCGATGCACTGACATGCCCTTGTCTCCTAGCGGTGCCCACCCGGCTCTTGCATCGGGACCACCACACTGAAGATCTCGCATCCATTGCAAAGCTTCCACGGCATGTTGCATGGGTGATCGTGATGTAGACGGGGCACCCCCATCTCCAGGAGCCATTGCAGCAACCGCTTGCTGTGTTGTAGTCGTCGCTGATTCCACTGCAGTCGACCAAAAGTTGGCAAGCGGACTCGTGATTTTCGGAGACGTTAACCACGTTGACACTGGCGTGGGCTTCGCAAGTTCGGGGGGTTCAGGTGATAAATTTCTGGGGGTAGAATCTGAGCTCTTCGGAATATCGCCGTCTGCGTCCCACTCCGCCCGCCGCCGTCGAATAACGCCCACGACTGGAGGCTGGTCGAGCGGAATGCGTATAGGCTTGATGCGTTTGCGCTTCGCAAGTGCCTTAATTTCCAGCTCAGGAAGTTCTTCGACATCGACAGTTACACGTGCCCCATTCACCATCACTACACCCTTATCTTTCCCAGATCCCATGGGCCCACGGCGTACAATAGCGAGAAGTCTCTCATCTGCAGCGAACAATGCATCGTGCGTGAGCGTCAACCACAGTCCTCCTCCGCCGGCGGATAGTCGGTGACGGCGCAGGGCTGTGACACTATGCGGAGGGGGGTCGACAACAACATCGAGTGCAGATGCCCACGTGTCCATATCACAACGGATCTCGCACTCAATCGTGTGCATCGTGCGAGAATTGGCGGGCAAGGTTGATTCATTTGCCGAATCTTCGGTGATGGTTGTGGGTGCTTGGCGATTCTCTAAACCTTCATACTCGACGCGAAAGGCACCCCTCTCATGATCATATCTCATGTCGTTAGCTTTTGCCCCCGCAAGTCGCGTCACCACTGGGGGACCGCCGCACTTGATGACAAAATCACCAACGCCAGCGAGAGCAGAGATCATAGCCTGCGGTATGCTTGCTTTGTTGGACCATCCTTTGGGATCTGACTGCTCGAGCAAGGTGAGCTGGGTGGTGCTTGGAGAGAGTGTTTCGATGGCCCATCCTTGGAGATCGACCTGCGTACGAATAAGAGTTGGGTCCTGAGGAGGGATGGAAGGGAACAAGTATGGGTCATCGGCCGAGAATGAGAAGACATGAATTGTGGTAGGAGATTTATAGACAGTTTTCAAGAGCACGGTGTCTCGACCCCTATACTCAAGTCAGAAGTAATTCATAGTGATAGCAAGTGAAATTTACGCACTGTACGGGCCATGCAGGTTTGGTCTTGAAATGCCACAATTGTGTCAGCTCGTTCACATCTTCGAGAAGCGTTGCATCCTCATGTTGTTTGTCCCAAAACACCCTAGCACCAGGCGAAACCAACGCGCCGTATAAGTCCCATAATCCAAGGCCAACAAAAGTGGCTTCTGCTCTATACACCACCAGGGTCGGATCAATAGAATCTAATTGAGTCACCGAAACCCCACGTGCTTCCGTAGCTGCAGGACATCTGAGTACTAGTTCAGAAGCAGAAAATGAGTTCCACTCACTCCGCTTCCACTTCGCCTCTGGCTCCTGCAATAGTGACGAGAAGTATATATAACTTCTTTTCACGCGCGACAATATTGTTTTCTCCGCTGCCACAGGTCGCTCAGTCATCGACTGCGCCAGTTGTGGTCTTATAGGCGCTGTGGAGCTCGATGCAACGGAGCTTACTGAGGATGACGTTTGGAAGCTCACATCCGCAGCACTGGTGGCATCTTGTAGGATTTGTTGTTGCTGTTGCTGCTGCATGAAAGACGACGGATCGCGCTCTTCCAGAAGCTGAATGGTCTGCGGAAGCCCATTCAGCCTGATTCCGCTGGATGGCGCAGAGAGTTCTATAACCGCGCGAACTTTGGCTATGGAATGATCATCAGGAAGAGGTGCATGGGATATACGAAGGACCGTTAGTTCCGGCGGCCTACTCCCTACGATGGGAGAAGAAGGCTTCTGTCGCGAGGCAGTGGCGTTCCAAGGGAGACTTTCGACTTTCTGAGAGGAGCCTTTCACAGTTAGTTGGACATCCCACCCTTCATTCGACGGAAGGACGCATTCAAGAGAGCGTACGAGGCGCCTGTGTTCCTTAATAACGTCTAGCCCCTGACCTGTCTCCCCTACATGATCTTCTTCCTCCGAGTGTATCACATATTCGATGACAAGAGCCTGCCTGTCGAGCTGGAACCGTATTTTTTCAATGCTAACTCCATATCCGTGTCCTGCAAGCACCGGTATGCGAGAGCCACGCGCTAGGACGGTCTTATACAAACCCAGCATCATCGTGCACAGCTGTTGGCACATGCTGGAAGCAGAGCCAAAATTCCAGATCGCGCGAAGGTCGTGCTGCCAGAAACACGCAATGCGAAGACGTGGCTGCGCCATATATGTCGACATGCGCCGTTTGATTTGATCGGCCGGGGAATGCGGCTGTGGAGTTGAAGATGGTTGAACATACTGAATACACCAAGCGAACACTGAAAGTTATTAGCGACGCGGGAATTGGAAAAGTGAACGACTTACATGCAACTTGTGACCTGACGTAGGGGGGCGATGGCCTCAAGTACGCTGGCTCGTCAGGTGAGCGTGGTAAAGAGGTAGAAATATCTATTATCGTGGATGTGTCCTGGTAGAGGCGTGAAATCGTTACAGTATCCCGTGGACTACCATACAATCAATACAACTCAAGAACGAACATAAAAATCACGCACTTGGCAGGCCAACCAAGCGTAAAATTAGTCTTTGATATTCGTGTCTGACGATCAAACATTTCCACCAAATGCGCGCTCTCAACCGCGGGGTCCCACTCCTGTCTAAGTTCCGGAGTGGTAATGACGGCCTTCCATGCTTCGAGGGAAGCGGATTGGTCGGTAATCGAGACGTCGAGGACGACTCTGTACACATTCTCACCCGACTTGGTAGCTTTGCGGTGCACGACAACGTCGGTAAGCTCAGGCGTTGGAGATGCGCGTGCCTTCCCCTTGCCTGGCGAGGGCGAATCGCTCGCTAAAGAAATATGTTTCCACTCCGACGAAGAATGGGAGGTAAGGAGCTGGCGGAAAGTGGCTTCAGAGCTGTCCAGTGCATCCTTCCAAGTCTGACGTAGTCTAAGACAGAAAACAACATTGAGAGCTTTAAATGACGATGGTGAGAAGAGCAAACCTTGTACCGTCAGTCATACCACAGAGTCCTATTGAAACAACAAACTTCAGCTCTAAAAGCTCTCCACCAACGTCAGTACTACGGAACACGCCCCTCCCATTTGTAACGCCACGTGGAAAGAGCTTTTACCAAACAAGGAAATCTACGCTTCTGTCGGGCCTTCCGGATCGATCTATCAGTCCGAGTCATGATAGCGGGGAGTATCGACGACGAGGCGACGATGGCTATACAGTCAACACCAGAGACCATTCAAGTAAATGGCACGACCTGGTCCGTGATTCACGTTTAAATCCCTTGATTCTGCAACTAACACCAAGCAGTGAGCCCGCAGACGAAAACGACAGGATATTGAGCATCCAGTCACACGTCGCATACGGTTATGTGGGCGGAAAGGCTGCTGTATTCCCCCTCCAATGTATAGGCTACGATGTTGATGTATGTCTCTCAACTCAAGTAGAATGCCCTCTGACTGTACCTAGGTAGTCAACACCGTGAATTTTTCAAATCACACCGGTGGGTTTACCGCTAGGGTCGCCATTACTTCTCAGTAAAACTCTATTTAATACAGGTTATGAACGCTTCGGTGGAACACGAGCATCTGCAGAAGAACTCTCGTCGATCTTTAAGATGATGGATGAGATTGGCTTGCTTTCTCGCCACAGACTTCTCACAGGTTATATACCAAACGCCGCTGCTTTGGAAGTCGTAAAGGAACTTGCGCAAAAGCTCAAGTCACGAAACCCGCACCTCATATACCTTATGGACCGTAAGTTTGCAAAAACCTTACCAGAATTTTTCTTATGTTGATGACTCAAACACAGCTGTGCTCGGTGACTCAGGAAAGCTCTATGTATCACAAGATGTAATACCCATATACAAGGAGATGTTTTCTTTTGCGACCATTATCACTCCCAACTGGTTTGAAGTCGAGTGAGCACGTTCTCATTATATATCAATAGTATCTAATATTATAAAGGACTCTTACCGGTGTACCACTCCTCTCTCTAAGCGCTCTCCGTAACGCCCTATCCATCCTACATAAGCACGTTCAACACGTCATTATTTCATCCATCCCCTTACAGCCATGGTTATCCAAGGTCCTACCTGAAACCATGCAGCCTCCGGCCTCTACGGATAACCAACAAGCCTATCTCCTCTGCATCTCCTCATCCCGCACGATAGGAACAAGCTCTCATTCCGCAGTACACGCCAGACTCGTCCCACTGATTGCAGGATACTTCTCCGGAGTAGGCGACCTCTTCTCTGCACTGACTCTCGGGCACTTCAACCCATCTCCTACTCCTTCAGACAGCAAACCTCATTCAGCGACACAGACCCCATTGTCGTTCGCCGCCGCTGCCGCTCTGCACAAGACGCACTCCATCCTTGAGTTCACCAATGCCTTTGCAGCGCGACTTCCACCTGAAGACCGCACGAGTACTGATGATGAGCTTGACGCAGCTGAGCCCGTGCGAAAGCTCAAACGGATGAGGGGCAGAGAGCTTAGACTTGTGCAGGGCCAACACATATTGCGGGAGGAATGGAGGGAGGGGCAAGGGAAGGACCTGCAATTCTGGGATGGATTTTGGGACTCGGTTTAAGAGAGGTACCAGTTTTCTGCATATCACTTATCGTATTATACGCGGTCAGACTCAGCACACCTAACATTAGAAACTTCATCTAGATCTTGCTTTTCCTAAGAAATGACAGCCCAGCGTCTCGGCGGCCGAGAGTTGACATTCAAACCCCTCTAAATCCGAAAACACTACATTAGTGCACACCACTGAATAAAACGAGCCTGAAGTATATACAACCAGGTTAGCAGTGCACTACGACCCTACCCCATCCTGCTGCACAATCTCTATCGGCGTCATGCTCCCATGACTAGACGCCGGTATCGACGACGCCGCATTCCTCAACTGCTCCTCCGTCATCCGCCTACGACGCTCCCCCACCTTCCATATCACATCCTTCAATTCCTGCACCACCTCCCCACCCGGCCCCCACCGCTCAATCTTGGGCGCATGCTCATCAGTCCCAACAGCTCCACCCTCACCTCCACTCTCCCGCCGTGCCTTTGCAAGTTTTATCCGTTCCTCCCTCGTCATCTTCGACCGCTCACGCGTGAACGCCGGCGAATTCCCCGTCTCGGCCTCAAACACCTGCTCGATGCCAGGCGGAGGCAAATGGTGCGATGACGCTGCGAGCAGCAGAGGGGACGACGCATCGTCTGCGTCGAACGTTTCTCCGGATGGTGAGATTACTGTTAGCCCGATGTCCTCGGTCTGTATGTCCATGCCCGGTGATGCTTCCTCAGGCTTGTCAGAGTCATCGCTGCCCATGTCGAGAGCTAAGGTGGGCAGGTCATCTGGTTCCTCTGGGGAGGGGCTTGGCGGGAGTACGATGTTTGTGAGCTTCTCCCGGCCGCGCTCACACTCCCGTAAGGCAAGACCGATCTCACGCCGCAGACGTTCGTAAGCCAGAAGAGCAGGGTGACTAGAAGACTCCTCAATGGAGGACGTCGACGACTGTAGAGAATGCCCGAAAGGTGTCTCTTCTTTCAACGAGGTCACGCATTGCTCGAGGTGATCTCGTGCATCGTTGAGAGCGGTAGAAATAGCATCGACGTGGGCTGCAAATCGTGCAAGGTCACTGGGCAGTGGCGCAAAGGACGTGATTTGGGAGATCGAATGCGAAAGAGGGCGAGTGGGGAGTGGAGGCGATGATAGTGAACAAGCAACCTGTATGTCGGATGACGAGTCTGATGCAGCCGCATCTTTCAATTGCTGTTCCTGTTCCTCCACCTCGTCCAGAACTTCAGTAAGTCTCGAGGAGGCATCGACTAATGTTGTCGTAAGGAGGCTCATGAGTGAACGCACGTCCTCCCAGTAAGCATCATCTTCATCCTCTTCGAAACGAAGAGCTAATAAATGAGAACATGCGTATCGTTTCGAAGCAAGCGCGCTCTGAAGTGACTGCTTCAAAGATGAAAAGGAGAGCGGATGCCGACTTGTTTGCATGCTCGTGTATTTCGAGGCAGGGGACATTGTTGGAAGGTGCCTCGAATCAGAGTTACTCCTCAGTAATGATACGGCAGAATTCCGGGGTGGCGTCCCAAATTTACTCATACCCTGACTGTGATACTTTCGACGTAGATCAAGAGCAGCAGTTCCAAAGCAAGCATCCTCAATCTCTGGTAGCAATGAAGCCCCGGGATGATTGTCGCCCTCCTCGACTACATCAAGAAGTGGTTGGTTAGCTGATGGGCTCGTGGGCGCGCTGACACTGCTTCTTCGTGATGGTGACGCGGCACCAAGTAATGCGCTAAGATCTGATCTCCGCTTTTCTCTCCTCTTTGCAATGTGGGACATAGGACTTCCTGCTTGTGCAAGAGCAGAGTAGGACCCATTCCACGTTGACCTCTTGTGATCGCGGACGGAAGTAATGTTGTCATGTTGCCGAGATCCAGGCAGAGAAAGCGGTCGGTGATTATCGCTATTCAGAGAGAACGTGAGTTTCATAGGTGATGGCGGGGCATACATCTCCGAAAGCTGCGCAAGTTCTGGTGGAGATACAATAGCTGAAAGCAGTTGACGAACGTTGTCACATTGAGTTTGGGTCGTGAGCAGGGAAGTTGATAGTGCCACCCTCAGTGACGAAGAAGTCATTACTGGGGAGGATGGTCCGTGAAAGATGCTGTAAAGGACCCGGTCAGGGCACGCATTTCGATGATGTCATATCAATTACCTTCGCTCTTCATTTTCCAGGGTATCAAGGGTATCTTGAACAACGGCGTCCCACACCTTGCCCGCTGTGATCAAATTTTGGAGTGCTTCCAGAGACTGCAAAAGGAGCAGTAAGTTCATTGCCTATAAATTGCAATTGCGAGGCTCACGGGTGTGATGATGTCAGGTTTAGAGTGTAGATCCAATCGGTGAACGTGCATATAATACAGTGTGCTAACGAGCAACAGAACAAACAAAGTGTAAAATCGAGCGCTAAGCGCTGCAACAGCAAGAGTGATGGAAAGTGTTACGGGCCATACATGTGGTTCGGGTTCGACGGGTATTGTTAGGGAAATTTGACCAGTCGCTGTGCTTTCAGCCCCGCTGGTACTTCTGCTGTGATTGCTTGTGAGTCTGCCAGGGATTTGGGGTGAAAACGAACGACGGTGTGGGTGAGGGATGGGGGTAGTCGCGAAACCCGGAGATAGGAGGGATGATGTGATGACACCATACTTGAAGCGCTCAGCGAAAGCTTGTGTGCGCTTCGAGACCCGATCAGAAGTGAAGAGCGAGCTGAGGAACTTCATGACATTGCAGGTGGGTGAATAGAGATGATTAACCGAGGATATAAGCGAGCTCAGGAACGGCGTTATGACTACGAAAAGTAAACATACCTGAAGCGCGCCAAAAATAATGAAACAAATTTTTTCTACTTGGGCACTGTACTTGAAGACTGCTGGCGACTCCGTGAACGAGTGCTGGAGCATTGAAAAAAGTGGCCAGCTTCCAGGCATTTGTTCGGGAGCTTCACCCGAATCTGCGGCGAAGTAAGGATGAGCAGTGATCTACAAGGGTAGTTAACAAGTCTTTGCACCTGTCAAATACTCTTCTAATGGATGTCCGTCATAGTAAGGCTGGGCCATGAGCTGAAGTTGAGGCGTTCAGTAACGATCGGTTAGCGATATGAGCACTGGTTTTCGTGATGTGTTCGTGAAGAAAAAACCGGTTATTAGGTGAAATGAGAGGACAGCTCCAATGAACTAGTGAGGAAATGGCTAATAATGGCGTATGGTAGTATGCAACTGGCGTCCTCAGCTATAATGCCCTGTCCTGCGCAAACAGTCTTGGACGAGAGCTATGCTATTTGCTTACTTAATCTTCCATTGTGTTACCAAGTTAGCATGTTGCCATCATGCCACTCCTTCTCGAGATCGACCAATACAGCATGTCCTCCTTGAGTTGTTCATCTTTATGGCTATCCAATACCTTCTCCTTGGCTTAGTTATACGATCCATGACGACTGGAAACCTAGACTCGTGTTTGCCTGCATATTCAGATTCTGTTCGTGCGGAACCACCCGCTGTTGCAAATAGGACAGGCTTGGCGCCAGGCTCCACCGCTGCGGTTCTCGCCTTCTTCGTGTGACATGATATAGAAACACTAGCTTTTCACATGATTGATGAGTGCTATAGCTAGCGCTTGGGTGTTAATAAATTTCTCCACCGCGGAACCGCACATCAGGTCCACCCGTCAACACGACCATTGGGCTCCGCTGGGCGGATCAGAGCACTAGGTGCACCCCATCGTGATGTCATATTCTGTCACTTCCTTCTTTCCAAACGAGGAATCGATGAAGACTAACTCCGGCCGCATTCAGCACCCCGAACATTACACGGCGAGTCACCGGATCTACATAACTCCCCAGAAGTTCATAACAGACGAGAACATCGGCACTCTTTCAAGTGGATATTCAGAACACGCGGTTGTCTTGACCAATACTCGTGGAGGCAACGAAGCGTCGATCAGCCCCCCGAATTACTGTCAAGATAGTTTCTCTTGTAGAAAAGTACATTCACTACATATCTCTAGCAACGGCATGATCACACAAGTCCTGTGTATCGGAATAGCGCTATGGCGTGCGTTCCTCATGCTTGGATGAAAGCGAGCTGGCAGGCACGCGGTTATGATTCTCACTTCCTTTTCCCTCGACAAGACTCATCATTCACTCATGGTCCCACACTTGAAGCACTCAGAAATACCCACGAGGACGATTCCGTTCCAAGGACATGCTCTTTCCGAACGTCTTTTTGTTACCTCGCCATCCCTTCATGAATACAACGAATTGCCCACGTCGAGTTACAACTGACCGCGCACTGCCAGGACGAGTTCGCGGGCCTAAGTAAGATCGAATTGGGCGCCGGTGATTTGAATCTTCTTCGGATCCGGAAATGTGAATGCAGAATGGGCAGGAAGGTTGTGAAATTGACGTTTTGGGTTGAATACCAAGTATCACCCTAGACGGCCTACTTGTGGGTGTTCGCTGGGATTGAACATTATGGTTCAACCCTGACAGATCACTGACCTCATATACAGGGACCAACATAGCACAGGGGTTTGCGGGCGACGAAATACCCAGTAGGGACCATAACCATTCAATTCCGGAGGACGCCGGGATGTTAGCTCTTCATATATCCGACCAAAGAAGGCCGACCACGTTCAAGTTGAAAGGCACGCCTCTGCCTCTTCAGCGTGATGTGAGTGTGCTTAGTTTCAAAGTCTTACCACTTGCAGGATAAGCGGATACAAAACATTGCTTATACATACAGTTGGCCAGGCATAATTGTTCTGAATCCCGATCATCGTCGTATGTATAATGACCCTTCATATCAAGCACGTATAATGGAATCCAAAAGAAAATGCAGGGTGACAGAAGCTTGAATCTCAATGATCGCAACCTTCGATAATCGCCCTGGAATATGCTTGGGCTTGTGGGTGTTCGCTGGGAGCCAGGGATCCAACCCCTAAGTCCCTGAAGTACGATATAGCATACAAGGGCTGCCGATAAAGGCTGACAGTATATATTCTTCATTATAACAGCCGGGGCCTGGGATCACAGCCATGGAACTCAGGAACATATTATCACAGGGGTTAATATTTCCGACCGGGAGGTTCGGTGGAGCACAGCTGCAAGGGACTCTGATCCTTTGCAGGATAAGTACTTGTGGGGAATGCAAATATAAATATGGGGACACGAAGGCGAGGTCCACAACCTTCAATAATCGGTACAAACATCTACAATGCCAATTTGACCTCTTCGGTCCTACTTGTATATTTATATTTCTTTGACAGCATACAATTACTTACATAGAATTCGGTCCACATTTTCTGATTCCACCTAAAGCTCTCTGCCACATTCTGGATCATCAAGGCTATCTTGACCCTGAGGTGACAGGCCGTAGGATGCTTCCGTAAATGCTTCAAGCTGTCGGTCCACCTCATGGCTGAGATCGTGTGTCGAATAGGAACGCGTTGGGAGACTTTTCAGGTTCAGGACAACGCGCTGACCGGCCACTGAAAGTAACGGGCCCGAAAATCTGCATGCAATGAATTCACATAAGGTGATGAGGTCACATTGATTACCAACGCACCCTTTAGGTAGGAAAGTATATGGACCCTGTGGATTGTCTCGTGTTACTCGGGAAGAAGAGATCCACTGTGAATAAGAAAGACTAACGTTCGAGTACACAGTCCTAAACCATAACATAAGCAGATGGAATAAGTGAAAAGTTCGAGCGAGTCTCACCAGGAGGCGACGATCATGGCATTATTAAACATGCTAATCTGGTTCTTGTTGTCAGAAATGTAGTATATTGTCGTCTTATACACTCACAATAAAAAACATGGTTGCTAATTAGTTATGGTCAATTACAGATGGGACTCTGCAGATCTGAACGAGTATGCTCACCATCTCGGACAAGTAAGTGGAGGAGATCGGAGGGGTAGAGACATTGAAATTCCTTAGAGTATCTCCGCAGACTTCGCGTTGTTAAGACAAAGGTTACTGCATCGAGAATAAAGCTTCATGATCTTCAGCACGCCTTGTAAACGTGGAACACAGCATGCCAACCTTCCGACATAGCAGAGCCACTAGCGTTGTAACAGAGCCAATGAGGTTACAGTCAATGCATTGATTTGAGATTACAACTAACCATTAATTCTTTGAAGTGGTAGCCAATTAGTCTGCAGACGAGGCAAAATGACAATCACATACTTGGCATCGCCGACGCGCAGATCTTGATTAGGTCGAGGTACTGAAACTGCTCACCTGCCCGAGCGCGACTACATCAAAGAATATCAAAATTGAGAGTAAGGAGTTAGCCTACTGGAATCATTGTGTGCACCATACGAAGCTATGCCTAGCAAAATAAGGACGTAAGACACATAGCCCCCGACAAGCAAATTTTTCGTGTTCCTCCGAGCCCCCCAGATAGCCCACGCACGTATGAGCACAAGTACTGAGTATCACATCTTAATACAGGACACCATTAAAATGAGGCACACGCACTGTGAATCGACTCTGAAGATAAGATCATAAAGTATGTGGTGATAATGTCAAACCTTTGACAGAACTGGCCCATCCAAAGGTCAATAAATGTCTACTCGTGAGGCTGCGACATACTAATTGGGAATTATTTGTGAGAATGCCAACCTCTTCCAACCGAATGAGAGTTTGCCCTGCAAGGTCCCCATATCGGTTGATGAGGAACAACACTTTCACGACTGTCCAAGGGGCATTCCAAATGTACGAGATCTGGAACCGATCCTATGTTTTCAGTATTGTGCATGTCAAGCAGCGAACTCACTTCATCGTCGAAGGTCAGAAGGTAATCGTAGATTAGCACGGTGTGGCCAGCTGCGGAGAGTGCTCTCAACAAAAATGTGAGAAGAAAAGGACGTCGCAAGAGATACCGACCTACTTCCGCACCCAGATTTCGTACAAGAATTCGAGCGATGGAAACATGAGCAAATGAGCGCCTAGCAGTATTTCAGCACAGTACTTATGATAATGACGAAGCTCAGCGATCCCCAGAGATGCTGTGTGAGACCCATTAAGCTTTATAGGGTATACAGAGGCATGCCAACTCCCAATGACACGAGCAACTCGGACATAGTAAGCAGAGAACTGAATTTGGACCTGACGTGAGTGAGTAAAACGATAGCAGGTCACTGCCTTGTGCTGCCAGTGTTTGGCGAGGGTGTCGCTGAGATCTCGAGACTACTGGCAGTCACCGAGGTGTCACACTGCCAGGGATACATCAGTCTTCGCAGGTCAGGTTGCCAGCAGTGTACAGATTGAGGGTCGCCCTGAAGATGTTTGCATACCCCGTCAAAAAGTTGAAGACTAGTGAGCAAGAACAAACCACGGGCAACTTCATCTGAGTGACAAAGATAAGAATAGCCAGTGCCATGCCGGCAATTCATATTTCTATGCTTTCAACACGTAGTGGATGGTGAGCGATAACGGACAATGAACTGAGGTACAGAGATTTAATTGATGAAAAGGAAAGATATTCGGGTAAAAGCCCTGCGGGCTTTTCGGCCCGGCGTATGTACTTATGGTTTCAAGGACTAGAACGGCGCACTGTGCAATAGTAATCGTCTTCTGGCAGCGTCGACCAATCATACTGAGGACAGAGTTGTAAAGCCCCTCGAGTCAGATAAAGTCGATCTGCAATGATACAATAATCCGGGAAAACCAAGAAAAGTCAAAGAGAGGCACATTTCGGCACGTTGCCGCCGCATTGTGACTCAGTTACTGGTAAGTCAGAGGCTTCACCGTAGCAATATTTGGTCAGGGCGGATTAGGTTAGGAATAAAATTAGCCAGGGCTGCCTGACATCAAATGTATTAACAGTATGGCCAGAGAAACATAGATAGCGACAAGTGATGTAGATTTCGTGATAACGAGCCGACGGTACGTATTTTGACTCCCGACGGAGAACGCAGGAAGATTGGGTTACACCTGTGCTGAGATGCCATGACTTAGGGGTTTGTTCAATTCTAAAATGTCATTGTCAATGTCGACTTGACCTCACAGGCCCGACCGTCCTCTCGTAAATTACTTACGCGGACCATCACTGCGTCGATTAAACACTCGCAGTGGTGGGCCGGCCTGGCTCTGTTCGATAGGGCTCAGGCTTGCTGAGATCGTAGGCCGGGCCCTTCTCGACGGCTCAGGCTCAGACTCAGACCGCGGCTTCACCTACGAAAATAGCACAAACGACAAATTGTTTATATCAGCAATGGGGGAGGGAAGATTTAAGTGATAGTAATATGATGAACAATTGAACAATGGTGGCCAACAAGCGTCTATGCGAGACAAGGTAATTATACTCAGCCAGCACCTGCAAAATATGGTGCGCTCGTGCGGGTCGAGCGAGTACAGCAGAGTCCATGTGCGTGGAAGACGAGTGAGTGCTGGAAAGTGGGGACGAATCTGGAAGAATATATATGAGTGAGCACTGGGTACGTGAACTGAACAAAAGATCGCGGATGAGACCTGCAATGGTCTTGCTCAGCACCACTGTTGTGCCCTCTCCTTCCAACAAGATTGAGACCCTGCATCTTCTTCCCCTTTCCCAACACGCTCCTTACCTCACTAATTTCCTCATCCTGGAGTACGTCTGAGAAGCCCTTGTCCCCGGTCCGGCCGCCTGTAAAACCAGGGGTACTGGATGGTGGAGCGTAGGACTGAGTGCTAAAAAGGGTGACACACGTAATGCTGGACGTCCGATGCGCTGCATGCATGTACGTTGGTTGAGGTACGTTACCACGCACTGGCTTTACCAAGGTCGACGTAGAAGACCCCATGGATTATCTAGATCGGGAAGATGGCAGGAACGCCGAGACCCAGCTAGAGGAAAGGCAGGATAATGTGGTAAGTGTTAGAGGCGTGGCTGTGGAAGAGGGGAGCGGCAACAAGGTTGATGTTGAAGGAATGTGTACTGATGGAGGGGAGGAAGAGGTGCACGTATGTTTACGAGAGACTGAGAACTCGGTGACTGTGTAAATATACAAGTTTGAGCCGATGTTGGTTGAGTGTCGAATAAGGGGGCGTGCGCCCGAAGAAAATACAAAGGATCATCTTCGTGTTCCAGCAGCTCATCAAGCTTTCAAGGACAGCCCTTCTATTCTGTTCAGAAGCTGTTTTCGCGCTGGAGGTGAACCAATGAAAATAATGCAAGTTTGCATTCCCAATAATAGCAGGTCCACGAAACTTCCCGACTACCGGAAAGCTACATAAAAGCGGGTCCTGAGCAGCCGGCACCGAATTCGGGATGTACACTGGCTGTACGATTTCTGTTTTGCTGCGGGCGAGTTGTTGTTGGGGCCCCGACCTAGGCTCGTGGCCAGCCTGGGGTATACTACCATGAATGCTCGAGTCGAAGGGCATAGTCAGGCTGGTCGATGTCGGAGAGATTTGGCAGGGGAAGCATAGTCTCGTGAACCAGCCGCCTTGTCTGAGAAGGGAATGTGTGACAAGGCGTCTGGAAGAGCTTACCGTAGAAGCAATTACAGTAGAGTACATTTTCAAACTCCGCATATGAAAAAAATTGTACCGTGTCGCTCTTCTAAGAAGCCCTGGCTCATAAACGCGTCGCGTCCTACCTGTCCTGCAAAACATACCAGAAACAAGGGACGAGGACAGGCTGTATGTGCGTTTTGAGGTGACGCATACTGTTTCAACAGCCAACCGAAATAATATATTGGCCTGCTACACAACCTTCAAGAGTGTCCCCTTGTCTTCAAGTTCGCAGATCGCTTTCCCCGAGGTTCGAGAGTTGCAGCAGGACTCGAAGGATTATAAGATGTTTCACTGATATATTTTTAACAGTACTTGCTCTGCCATGCATTACATTTCATGCTTGCACCTTCGAGAGTCAAGCGCTACCAAGCCCATGACCTCAATCTTGAGGGACTTGCTCGTCGTGCACAACGTAGTCTAGATCAGCGGCCATTTGACTGGCAGCTCGAGGCGGCAGCGGCAGTCATGGAGGTTTATGATGTTGTGCTAGACATCGTGACCGGATGTGCGAAAACACTGTGTTTCTCACTTCCGCTACTCCAGAACGAGCAAGACATTGGGCTTGTTATTTCTCCACTCACAGCACTCATGATTGACCAGGTCAGTGTGAGTTCTTTCAGACACCTTGTCACACATTCCTTTCTCAGACAAGGCGGCTGGTTCACGAGATTAGGGGAAGTATGGTGTTTGAAAATGTGCAGTTGCCGATTGTGTCGATGGTACTCAATACTCATTTACCTCTGCCTACGGCCTTGCATCCATGGATTACAAGGTTGTTTCCGTTTTCCAAATGTCCCTTGCTGCGCTTGAGAACCCTCCGATAGATTTTATCGATCCTTTAGATATATCCGGGTCCCAGTGCCAGAACATCTGAATCGTGATTAATATTCCTGTCTTATGATCTCCATTCAACCGAGCAGTATGGTAAGTTTCCTTGTGATTTTTAGAATGTCGACTTACAGCGCATATATCCACAGATCTGATGCTCACAAGTCGCGAGCTCTCGCAAGCCCCAGCAGGTTGGTTGGTTTTTCTTTTTTGATTCTTTAACTTGACTATTAACTATTCTACTTTAGTCAGATACCATGCGGAGAACTTGGTGAGTGGGCCAAGCTATCATTCTGCAGCGTTCTAAGGGCATTCTTTCTGCTAGGATATTTAACTATACTTGGACCGGCAGTACTGTGGTCGTGATCTCTCCAGATGTGAACTATGCTAGGAAGACAGTGGAGTCTGGAAGCGGGCGCAGGGACATGGGTAGTTGTCCTTGGAGACAGGTCTGGTTGCAGCATGTTCTTTTGGGGGCAGACGAGTGCGGGTGGTTTTGAAGGCGTACGTACACAAGCACGTATGCGCGCCGTTTGCAATAGCAGTCACTTTACACACCACCTCCATGCTCACATCACCAACTAATATCATCATTGGTACTGGAACCATCACTGATCTGCAACTCCTTCGACTACTGGGTCTTCAGGCTCAGTCAACACTGCTGCAATCGGAGGTGGTATCACCGGCTATCTTGCAGATTTAGCTATACTGTGTTTCCTCATCATGTGATGCATTCACTGTATGTTTATTTTGAAGATTCGTTTCGCCTTCTCACTTTAAATTCTAGCGCCGCAAACACAAATCCGATGAAGACGAATGGAGTGCTTTAGCCGCCAATCACGATCGAACGCCACAACATATCCCATAACCTCAACGCTCAACACAGCTATCAGAGCTGTTATGGTCAACAAGCTGCCCATAGTGATGCCCTGCATGCTCAGATGGCAATCCCAAATGTCCCTCACGAGGACCATAGTCACCTCACTAGGCAGTCGTCCAGTGCGGCATGCTTGTCTCGTCAATCATCCGCTGCACCATACCCCATCCCTAACGACCCTCAGTCGATCGTTCCAGTTTAACTCCATTCAAAGCCACCCAATATGCCGATATATCCCGTCAGCTGGGCAGTGACCTGCATACCACTATGACTATGTCTTCACCCCAGCCACCTGATCATTCTTTGCCTAGCCCCTTCGACGACAAAACAGCGGAAGAAACCTATACTACGCATGATGCTGCGCCTCGTGCAACATCTCCCGCTCACGCTGTCGATCCTTTTGCTGCCGCTGGTACGGGATCTGCACTTGAACCGGTCCCAGCGTCCCGCAGGCGAGACATCACCAATTCCCAGCGGCCCGATACCGTACTAGTATACACTGTACGAAGAAGGCGATGCCTACGATGGCATCTAAACGCCAGCGCAATCAAATCCAACTCTATTTATTCATGTTCCTGCTTTCTACGGTCTTAAAACTGTACCGTCACCTCGTCATATGTCACTTACTTGGTCTTATTGTTGCTTTTTAGCTCCCTTACATTGATATTTCTCTCTGCATGCTGGCCTGCTGGTGCTTACGTGATTGTCAGATCTTGCCCCAAATCCGTCACGTACACACCTTTACCTTTCCGCGCTGTCCGACTACCCTGCGCCACCTCCCACCCATTGTGAAGGATCATTCAATGCTTGAATGTGCTTTTACTCGCCGGTTAACGAGCCTCTCCTCAATACCTATTCCTGCTGCTCATCAAGAGCTTTTTTTATAGCTTCGCCGCTTCTATCGTTATCATTATTGACTACTTTCCGGACGGCTTTTCCTTACGCGTGGTCGACGCTGTAGGACGTTTGGTGTGCAAGCACCTGGCCTTCTAATTCAAGATTCATTCACTGGTAGACACATAAGTATGGGCCTGACATACACTGTCTGGCATCACTCTAACGGAACCTTCCAGGTCAAGTGTACGAAAAAATGTTTCTTGTTCACTCCCGTCAATTTGAGCGCTGACGTAAGTTTTATGCGCCTACCAAACACCTCGCACTGGTATTAGCCTGTCGTAACGTCTTCAAGGCGACCCTCTCCAATTATATGCATTTGTGGCCCACACTGCAGGAACTGCCAGTGGTCTCAGGATCCGTGTCTGCCGATATGTATTCCAGGTGACATTGGAGCATTGGTAATTGCCATCAGTCTGTCGCTCTCTCACCAAGGTTCTGCCATCGTTCTACCCACTCAAGTGTAGGTTCACACTTCAGTTCTCCCCTACATATTTATTACGTTGGTTGTCCATGTCATTGCTAGTGAAAGCTGTGAACCGGATGGCTTGTGGTTGTCTGTATCAAGATATGACTATCAAGGTCACTCTCGTACGTACTCATCCTTTTCTTTCACATACGCAATCACTCGTTACACGCCTCATACACGTTCCCCTTTGATTCTCCGTCTCAATCAGCGTATTAATACTTCTCCCCGTTGAATATCCTCCCTCAGTCTTTTGATCCAAGACTGAGGTGAGCTCTCTTATTCACAGTTCTACATACGTTTTCCTGACTATTACCCTACTTGATCCCGTTCTCGTTCTTAGGTATGGTTTATAGCTAATTGAGTCTCTTGATCCAAGATTGAGTCCCGTTCCCAGTCCGAGCCCCTTCGACGTTACAGTCTGGGCACCCCATTAAAGTGCGCCAGCTCTTAGATTTTAGTACTGGGTCTGTTGGCAGCACCCGTTTGTTGTCGTTCGATTGGTCTCGACGTTGTAACTATTTCCACCATGTCTCCATCCCCCCAGTTCATGGAAGGCCTTTGGGTGCGGAAGTATGTCCATATATCGTACGACATCCCTCGATTCTCACCTACCATCGTCTAGATCATTCTCCGCAGCTGGCCATACGTTACTAGTCTACGACCATCTCCTAACTTTCGGAGATGAAGTGAGTTTATTGGGTGATATGCACAACATTTAATAATACGCCCTTGATAACAGTTCGTCTACATCTGGGACGCCCCTTGGACGGTTGTCAAAGTCTTGTTTCTTCTCAACCGGTATGGTAACCTTATTGGACAGACTGCCATCCGGCTGGAAGAGGCTGGTCTCCTCGCACATAATTCTCAAAAAGTATGTTGCAGTTTCACGAGTAGACATCTATCGAGTGATTAATCTCGTGCCAGTTCTGCCAACGCTTCACAATTTTCACCACTTGCTTTATGTTTGTATCCACTGAGTCGATCCACAGTGCGTACATTAGGCTACTCTATGATCATTGCACGTCTTGAGGGTTTTGATTTTTCCTCAGTCCTCGTGCTTGTGCGTGCATGGGCTATCTGGGGAACTCGGAAGCGCCTGACGAACATCTTTACTTGGAGCTATGTGGGCTACGTCCTTATGCTGTTGATCAGCTCAGTGCATAGTTTGCACGCCAGAAATAGTGGGTCACTTTGCTCCGTTTTTACTCCTATTTATACAAATGGTCGTGACTCTGTAGTTCAATTTTTGTTCCTCGACGTGACTCAGGTTTGCGTGACGATAATGCCTAGTATGTGATTGTTATTTGACTCCTACAGTGTATTAATTGTCTGTTACTTCAAAGAATATGTGGTTGGTTGCTTTTACATCGTGTTTAGTGTATTGACGAATGTCTCATTGACATTACTGATATTATAACGCTAGTGGCTGGTTTATGTCGGAAGGTAGGATAATTCTGTCCCGGAGTTGATTGTACTTGTTGAAGAGCATCATCCAAGCTTTATTCTCGACACAGTGCTCTTTATCTTGACGATGCGAAGTCTCCGGAGATATTCTAGGGAATTTCAGCAACTCTACCCGTCCAGTCTCCTCCATGTGCTCTTTCGGGACGGTGAGCGCGCTTTTTGGAGCGCTTCAAGGTCTGTATTTGACCACAATTATATAGCGATCATCTTTTTCATCGTGAGTGTAGAAAACCTGCAGGATGTATCTCGTTGCCGACAATACAAATAGGCTAGTACCTTCAGTAATGCATTGACCATCGCCTCTTGGTGAGATTCGCTCATAGTCTTGACTCGTTCTATTGGCTTATGATGTTCAGGACTGCATTCTGGGACGTCAGTATGAATCTTTATTCATAGCGGACCGTCGTTCTTCCTGATTGATTTACAGAACCCGAAATATTTCCTTGCTAAAGGGTGCGTTAACCATAATGCGACCCCATCGCATTCGGTTAAGATATTGCATGTAGGTTTGCGACTCCGCTACTTTCAGTAGCTGGTCAGCGCCTAGTCCTGAATCTTCGAGGTCTTCAAACGCGTACCTACACAACTTGCGATCTCAGTCGTGAAGTGGACCGGCAACTTCAAGCGTTTGTTGAAGTCAGTTCGCCAGGCCTGGATGAAGTGAAAGAGTTGGAAGATGTGCGGGTGTAGGTGTGTATTGGAAATATGGTTTCAAGGTTTATTTGGTAACCATCTGTTATAGGGTGTTGTTTTGTACCAAAATGCCTGGAAATCGATCGAACATGACCTTGGTGCTCGTTTTTGTTTCCGGAATTTTCTTTGCGTTTCCTATGCTCCTTTTACATAAGTATCCGTATATATTCAGTATCAGGTGTATGCCTCAATCGCAGTGACTATCTCCGACTGACTGTATGTACTAGTAATGTGTCAATGTGTAGTTAGTGTGCCTTGTAATTCTGCTGCAGTTCTACCAATTTCTGTATAGTAGTAATTTGATGGTTGCGGGCCAGTCTACCATACTTTTATACCACGAGAAAATATCACAAATCACAAACAGTATATATAAGATCGCTGGTATTCTATCGCTACCCAGAAATGCGCAAGGCATCCAAAGAATCCTCATGAACTGCCTAGGTCAGCGTATCTAATGATTCGCTGCAACTCGACATAGACTGACGGCAAACAAAGTAAGACACGAGAGTACTGGTCCCTCCAGAATAGATTCTGCCACCTCCGTGAGCCACTGTATGTAGTAGGTTGAGCAGCTAGCTGCTTGAATGTTCTACAACATCACCTGAATCCTCGGTGATATGCTTACATTGTGTCTGGGTGATTTCCTTTGGCACTCACTTGCTGAAACACCGGGTTAGTAGTTGATTAAAGGCTAAGAATACTCTAACCACGGTATCGAACCAACACACCTGCCTCGTTTGAAAAGCATGTTAGAGGAAACGGTTTGAGAGATGCTGAAATTTGGAACAAGTCAAGTAAAGATTGATATAGGAATCATACTGCGTTCAAGGAATTCTGGATTTCTTCAACGTGGCAGTATGGTTCCCATATGAGTCACCGTTCATAAGAAAACCTCAGTGGTGCCCGTCAAAGGTAAGATGACGAATTGATGAATGGATGCACGCATGATAAATGTGTTCTTGAACCCACTTACGACTTGGCTTTCCTGTTCTCGAAGTCAAACAAGATGTAAGCCCCTCGTTGGTGTTGTTCTACATCAAAACACCTAAAACTCAATTGAACATTACCGACCTTCATGTAGCTTTGTGCTCGCTTCTGTCTCGCAATTTCCTTTGCATTCCCCCTTCTTCTGATTGCTGGGTATTGACTCAGGGTTTTATAATGGCGGTCAGAAACAATGACTACGATAGAGGTGACAATAGTACTCACTGTTCATAGCGTTCATTGGATGCCGCTTCAGATCAATCCCACATTATGTACATATTAACAAGGAAACGTGTGCTGCCATCATGTTTCGTAATTTCCCTCTCGATCAATCATTGCCTGTTATCTTTCAATGTTTCTAGTCATCCTTCGGGATTAGTGCCTTCTTCGGCATAACGCGTATTTGCATCTTCATCCTTCGGCTTCGTCGCTCCGGTCTGCACTACAGTTTTCTGTCTCGAGGTTGTCCCCTCTTGTACAGAGAGTGACATCTCGAAGGTCGTGCTGCTGGGCATCTGCGTCAGAATGACGCTCGTGAAGACTTGATTGGATGTGAACGATTGGTCGAGATCGACCGTTTCCTTTAAGCATATGCGGTATAAGAAGGTTACGATCACCAGGAGGTTGCAGATGAAGAGACTGAGGGCAGCCTAACTTCTGTAAGATTTCATAGAGTAATGCGAGGACGGGAGCGTGCTTGCCTTGACGTACGCAAGGATAAGCGTGGTCGGCGTGTGGCCCATGGAGAGCATTATAGAGTGGGGGATGGTGATGGCAGTGATTAGAAGAGATGCGCCGAACGCCGAATAGACTAATATTTGTCTACTACGCGAGAGCCCTATATTGCTCCAGAGATACAGCGGCGCGGCAACGAGGGAAACATCCGCGATGATGTCCGCTGCAAAGAAAAAAATCGAGGACCATTCTAGCCACAAAAAGTGCAAAGAGGTACTGACTGATCAGTTGCGATAATGCCACCGACGGCGGCATGATGCACGAGCGAATTTCGCACGCGCTCATCTTCTGGGCGATCAGCCCAGCCCACATACACGCAAAGGACGCTGCGATGAGATACGTGATCTGTTTGTGGGTCTTGCAGCCCGAGTGGTTGGCGACGCGGATGGCGGAGAAAATGATGCTCATGCGCGCAGCCCTGGACCAGCGAGTAAGATTTAAACGTAACTGAGTGAGCTGTGATGCATACCACAGGACGGAGGTGAACGTTATTGAGACGATCCAGGCTGGGAGTGATATGAACACGCGATTGATATTGGAGTGCGAAGTCAAGTACTCACAAGTTATCTTGTGGTCGAGCCAGAGACACGCCAGGGAAGGAACTGGGAGGATATAATCGGTTTACAGAACAAGGCAACACACGAGAAAAATTCTACCGTCTGCTACTAGTGCAACTGCCGCCCATGCATCTTCCCACCAGAAGTGACCCGTCCAGGCTCTGTAAATAAGCCTGGCAATGGTGCAGAGTATAGCAATGCTATGCAACACCAACCCCGCGACTTTGCATGTGATGATACACATAAGAACACAACACATATACTAGCTCCTTTCCACTCACCAAACAGGCTAGTAGTCGGGTAGTAGGCCATCAAATATGTCTGGTGGACAAGGAAAGGGCGAGCTTCAGATGCACATTTTGAGGACTGACCTTATATGTGACACAGGAAGACTCTTTGTGCATGCCTTCATGACAAACTTTCACACGTCATTCCTAGGCAGTGAAGATAACCTACAAGGTTACGCAGACTGATTTTCGGTATAAAAAAAATTATTGTCCTTAGGACCCTGATGTCGAACGGACTTGGCCCTACTCGAATGCGAGGGGCTTACTCCCGATATCATACCACTTATCCGTACTTACCTGCATGGTACGTCGTAGCAAAACTGTCACTGATCAGAAGATGTTAGTAATGGATAGGTTCCGGCAGGGATGCTCTGCGATAACTTGGCCTTCATAGAGCTATGATATTTCGCGAATCCTCGCTGGGCTGTGTCACGCGTTAGATAGTGATTAAATCAATCGATCCTAGAACTTACTAAGCACTAATAGCCTGTCAAGTTGAATGAATTGTAGGTGCAATTGGTCCCAGTGAAGTTGGAGCACGTCTGGAACAATCTGATAAGGCCGTTCAATTAAACAACTTACTCTGGCATGCCCCCCAGATATCAGCCTTCGGATCAAGGGCCTTTGATAATGATGCGCTAATAATGCAGGTAGTCTGATATTCTGATTGTCATGCGTGAGAAGGCTTATGATAAGGTCGTGCTTGCTAGACACTTGCAAGTTGCCATGGTATCGATGAGTGAGTCGAGACAGTAATATAACTGTTCTCGATATCATCGTGTCTTTATCCTTGAGTTATCAGCGGGACATAACCCAAAGTCAAAACTCCACAAGCCATTCGCGCCACGCGAGTTCGACATTCTTGGGTCATTGCCCAGCCTGGAGTCAAGTGCCAACAAGTATTCGGGGTAGTAATCATAGTTTGATTTAAGCCACAGTGCTGCGTTGGAGTAGGCTTAGCATCGGGTACTCGAGGTGACGTGCTGGGGTGTTTCAAGAGAAACACAGACATTCTGAATATGAAGTTCGTCGGTGAAACAAGCGCACCAAGAGAAACTGAAAAGCCATGCATGACTGTTCGGCCCATCAGGAAAACCGCCAAACCACTAGTTGCTTTGCTAACTTAATTTGTCACTTAATTACGTAAAAGGAGACTTGCTATGTAGAGGCCTGGCCCGGGGCCGGGGCTGGCCGCCCAGAGCGCTCAAGTTCAAGCTGCAGCTGGGACTGCCCTTTAGCAAGAGTGCCTACGTTCTACATTCGACTCCCAGATCGGTCGAGTTGTGCGGGTTCATGACCATTCCTTCGTTATCTTATTCACCATAGGGACACATGCTACTAGTGGGCCTAGCTACATCAGCCGATAACTATTTTCTTTTCCTCCTCTTAGCACCCTCTGTGAAGCATGTCGACGTTTCATGGGTGTCGTGATGGCGTGCCAACTTCCTGTGAGTAAGGATGACGCCTGGATCTCCTTTTCTACTAGTACCCTCTCGTCCCTGTTTGTAATCTAGGGATGATGTTATATTCTCCGCGCATCAAGCATGGATCTTGGATCAGGCTGTGACAATTGACACAAATCAAGTGTGGTGCGCCTTGTATTCGTTCCGCACTTACCGTTTAATGTCATCCTTGTGACAGAATAGGCTGATGACCAAGGCGGAAGGCTAGAAGGGAGGGGCAGGGGCATTGAAACTTAAAGGTGTGCTTGAAGGGGTTGTACTGGTGAGTTATCTGTCTGCGTCATTTAGACCTGCCTTATTTAAAGTTATTTTACATGTCCAGCATAAGTTCACCTTGTTGAACAACCTCAAGAGATGCTGTTATGTTCGGGCCTACGAAGTGGAGACGCGGCTGATGCTCATCGAGAACCATGTCCTCTCTCAGCGCTGTCTCAATCTAGCGATGTCATTGTATCTTCACCAGATATCAATCATGGATTCTTAACTACTTAGGACATCTCTGGCTGATGCCTGTCACCACCGCACCAATACCATGTTGCAAATTGAAGATTCTATGCTCATCAAATTTGGCATCCTTATGATAGTACGAAAGTCTGATGACTGTAAGAAGATGCGCATGCACGTTGAAGTTCCTCGATCTCTTGCAACGTTCAAGTACTCACCCCGCGCACCTGCTTCACGATCAACATCTACGTCGAGCGCCTGGATCGAGTTCATCTTTCTCTGTATGAAAATACTTACTTCGTGTAATCAATGCAGGAATGGCCATCATCGATCACCTCTCGATCTCACTTTGCTGATACAAGCACTGGATTGTGGTATATATACTATCACCACACGTCTACCAAGTTCGCCTCTCATCCACACCCCCATTCTCTACCGATATGACCATAGTCTATCTGCGAGGTCCTCTCGGCTTCTCAAACCTCCTACCATGCAACAACAAACCGGCGGAGCGACCCAAAGTAATCACGGCAACCAAATGCCACAACGTCATAAAACGAGCTGGATGGTGGGCTCATTTTGTGCATACAAAGCCGTAAACGAGCCTAGGGAGCTGCGGCTTTGGCTCATGGCTCGGCCTGGGTTTTGTGAAGGCCAAAGGCCCCTCAAGCTAGGCCTAGGCCGGGGCTTTCAGGCCGAGCCGGGCCCGCACATCACTACCTGAGGCTGAGAAGTTAGCAAACCCGCAGAAGAATTACGAGGCACATTAACTACCCATTAGTACATTGCTAGTACATACAGCCAGCCGGAGATAGTCACGGCGATTGAGGCATACACCTGATACTGAATATATACGAATATTTAAAAGAGGCATAGGAAACGCAAAGGAAGTTCCGAAAACAGAAACCAGCAAGTTTTTAAAAAGGTCGGTCATGTTCGATCGATTTCCAAATATTTTGGCACAGAACAACACCCTATAACAGATGGGTTACCAAGATAAACATTGAAACCATATTTCCAATACTCGCCTACTCTAGCACATCTTCCAACTCTTCCACATCATCCAGGCCTGGAGAATCCATTTCAGCAAACGCTTGAAGTTGCCGGTCCACTTCACGGCTGAGATCGCCAGTTGTGTAGGTACGCGTTTTAAGACCTCGAATGTTCAGGACTAGGCGCTGACCAGCTACTGAAAGTAGCGGAGTCGCAAACCTACATGCAATATTTTAATTGAATGTGAAGGGTCGCATTATGGTTAACACACCCTTTAGCAAGGAAATATTTTGGATTCTGTAAATCAATTAGAGAGAACGACAGTCGGCTATGCAGAAAGAATACTGACATCCCAGAATGCAATCCTAAACATCATAAGCCGATAGAACGAGTCAAGAGTATGAGCGAGTCTCACCAAGAGGCAACGGTCAATGCATTACAGAACACACTAGCCTATCCGCATTGTTGACAACGAGATACATCCTGCAGGTTTTCTACACTCACGATGAAAAAGATAATTGCTATATGATTGTGGTCAATTACAGACGGAGCCCTCCAAAAAGCAAACTCACCGTCTCGAAAGAGTACATGGAGGAGACTAGACGGGTAGAGTTGCTGAAATTCCATAGAGTGTATCCAGAGACTTCGCATCGTCAAGACGAAGAATACTGCATCAAGAATAAAGCTTGATTGATGATTTTTAGTAAGCGCAAGCGCGCAGAACAGAACATCCTAACCTTCCGAAATAAACCAACCACTGCGTTACAATATCAGTAATGTCAACGAGACGTCCGTCAATATACCAAACACGATGTAAAAGCAACTAACCACATATTCTTTGAAGTAGTGGACTATTAATATACTGCAAGAGTCAAATAACGATCACATACTAGGCATTGTCGTAAAGCAAACCTGAATCACGTCGAGGAACAGATACTGAACTACAGGAGCGCAACCATTTTTACAAATAAAATAAAAACGGAGTGAAGTGACTCACCATCTCCGGCGCGTACACTATACGCTGAGCTGGCCAACATCGTAACGACGTAGCCCACGTAGCTCCAGGCGAGGATGTTCGTCACGCGCTTCCGAGTTCCCCAGATAGCCCATGCACGCACAAGCACAAGGACTTTGGAAAAACCAAAACCCTCAGGACGTGCAATGATCATCGAATAGATGTACGCACTGTGGATCGACTCGGTAGATAAGAACATAAAGCAAGTGGTGAAAACTGCGAAGCCTTGACAGAACTGGCACAAAATTAGTCACTCGATAGATGTCTGCTGCAACATACCTTCTGAGAACTATGTGCGAGGAGACCAGCCTCTTCCAGCCGGATGACAGTCTGTCCGATAAGGTTTCCATACCGGTTGAAAAGAAACAAGGCTTTAACAATCGTCCAGGGGGCGTCCCAGATGTAAACGAACTGTAATAAAGGGTATATTATGAACATTAATTAAATATCACCCAATAAACTTACTTCATCTCGGAAGGTCAGGAGATAGTCGTAGACTAGCAACGTATGACCAGCTGCGGAAAATGACCTAGACAATAACAGATGAGAATCCAGGTATATCGTACGGATATATGGACATACTTCCGCACCCAAAGGCTTTCCATGAACTGAAGGGATAGAGACATGGTCGAAACAGCTACAAAGTTAAGACTGATTGAACGATAACAAATGGGCGCTACCAACAGACACCCAATACTAAAATCTAAAAGCTGGCATACTTTAATAGGGTACCCAGACAATCACAAGCCATCCAGCTCTCAGCTTTCACCGGCAGTGACATGGGCAACCAACGTAATAAATATGTAGGGGAGAACTGAAGTGTGAACCAAACTTGAGTGGGTGGAACGATGGCAGAACCTTGGTGAGAGAGCGACAGACTGATGGCAGTCACCAATGCTCCAGTGTCACCTGAAATACATATCGGTGGACATGGATCTTGAGACCACTGGCAGTTCCTGCAGTGTGGGCCACAAATGCATATAATTGGAGAGGGTCGCCTTGAGGACGTTACGACAGGCTACTCGTGCGAGGTGATTGGTAGGCACATAAATTTACGTCAGCGCTCAAATCGAGGGGAGTAAACACGAAACATTTTTTGTACACTTAACCTTGCAGTGATGTCGGACGGTGTATGTCAGCCACAACGCGTAATACTTATGTGTCTACCAATAAACGAATCTCGAATTAGAAGGCCGGGTGCTTGCACACTAAACGTCCTACAGCGTCAACCACGCTTAAGAAAAAGCCGTCCGGAAAGTAGTCAATAGTGATAACGATACAAGCGGCAAAACTGAGAAAAGCTCTTGTACCGTAGCAAGAAATAGGTATCGACGAGGAGAGGCTCGTTAACCGGCGAGTCAAAGCACATTCAAGCATTGAATGATCCTTCACAATGGGTGGGAGGTGGCGCAGGGTAGTCGGACAGCGCGGAAAGGTAAAGGTGTGTACGTGACGGACTAGGGGCAAGATCTGACAATCACATAAGCACTGGCAGGCCAGCATGCACAGAGAAATGTAAAGGAGCTAAAAGGCAACAATAAGACAAAGTAAGTGACAGATGACGGGGTGACGGTACAGTTAGAAGATTGAAGAAAGCAGGAACATGAATAAATAAAGTTGGATTTGGTTGCGCTGGCGTTTAGATGCCACCATAGGCATCGCCTTCTTCGTACATAGTGTATACGGTGTCGGGCCGCTGGGCATTGGTAATGTCTCGCCTGCGGGACGCTGGGACCGGCTCAGGTGCGGGCGCCGTACTAGCGGCAGCAAAAGGATCGACAACGTGAGCAGGAGATGGTGCACGAGGCGCAGCGTCATGCGTAGGATTGATTTCTTCCGCTGCTTCGTCATCGAAGGGGCTAGGCAAAGAAGGATCCGATGGCTGGGGTGGAGCCATAGTGGTATGTAGGTCACTGCCCAGCTGACGGGATATATCTGCATATTGGGCAGCTTGGAATGGAGTCACGCTGGAACGATCGAGATTAACATAGTGAGCCTGAGGATCATTAGGGATGGGGTATGCTGCAGCGGATGGCTGACGAGACAAGTATGCCGCGCTGGACGGTTGCCTAGTGAGGTGACTACGGTCCCCGTGAGGAGCATGTGGCATTGCCATCTGAGCATGCAAGGTATCACCGTAGGCACTTTGTTGACCATAACCACCGTAATAGTTCTGATAGTTGTTTTGAGCGTTGAGTGCAGGGGATGCGTTGTGACGTTCGATCATGGTTGGAGGACGGGGGTTGAAGGATGGTTCAGGATCGTCCACAAGGATGGCAGACTGACGTTTGAAGGCTGAAGCGCTCCACTCGTCTTCATCAGACTTGCGTTTGCGGCGCTAGAATTTAAAGTGAGAAGATGAAACGGATCTTAAAAATGAAACATACAATACACCACATGATCAGGAAACTTAGTATAGCCAAACCTGCGAGACAGCCAGCGATACCACCTACGACTGCACCAGTGTTGACGGAGCCTGAAGATCCAGCAGTCGAAGAAGGCGTTGCGGATGTGATGGTTCCGGTACCAATGATGATATTAGTGGGTGATGTAAACATGGAGGTAGTGTACAAAGTGGCTGCTGCAGGGGTCTACCAGATGATCAATAGTCTGTAAGTGTAAAAAGGTCTGATACTGACCGTGGACAGCACGGTTTGTGGGGCTGAAGTTGGGGAAGTAAACGTAGTAGTACTGCTCGAGGTGGCGGTGCTTGAGGATGTGGTTGACGAAGACGTGGTTAAAGAAGAGGAAGTAGTACTAGGGGTGATGGAAGTGGAGGACTGTTGGGTAGAAGTAGGTACAGAGGTAGTGGTGGTAGGGGTGGTGGTAGTGATCGCTGGAGCCGAAGTACTAGTGCTGGGTGCTAAATATTTGTTAGCTCATCAACATTAAATTGCAAGTACTGTAAGTGAGCTCACTGTCATGTGCAGCTGATGTCTGCATACTAGTACCAGTAGCAGAAGTCAAGATAGACAGAGGAAAACTTGGGCTGAATCGAGCAGCGAAGCGCATGTGGTTGCGCATTTCCAAGTCCTGATGTGCAGACATAATTAGTACTGGTATTGGCGGCGATTTAGTTTTGTTTTGTAAAGAGCGAGTGTGTAAAAGAATGAAATGATGATAAACGAAGGCTAACAGCTGCAGTCGAAGACGTTGTCGTCGAGCGCTGTGGGGAACAAAGAATGAAAACCTTGGTCACACACATTGTAGTCACACAGTCACACAGCTACGTTCGGAACATATTCAACTCACTGCCCCTTACTACATTAATATTGCCAATCAACTGGGCAGCGCCGCTGCAGCTGATAATGCGCAGGTTGGTTCAGCCAAAGTCCAGGTCACAAGGTCTTCCATCAAGTGCACCCGATGATCAATTTTCTTAGCAATTAATCATTAGTTGTGATGCGCGGCCTTTGCAGCGGCCACCGTTGGGCTACCGTGTGTGTTTCCAAGCTCAAAAATATGGACCCAGTCGTACTAGCTAGTTAGGCTCCAGTGCCTGTCTACCAGCGCCTATTTCTTGATTATGAACGTCGATCTTTAGAGAAGTTCACACTCAACTTGGCATATCTCGCTGGTAACGAGGTTAGGACACATGGTATTTCCGGTTTCTAATCTGAAGCTTCATCCCTTCCTGGTCACCCAGAAGTCCTAATAATTTCGTTATAAGCATCAAGGTTCGGCTTTTAGCAATCCTTTTCGCCACACTCCCTGCTGTCGCATGTTCACCACATGCCATACTGTCTTTCTCGGTTATTTCTCTCTTTTTATCTGCTTATTAGCACCGTGACCCTGGTAGTTTCTGCTCAACAGCAGGTCGTCCTTGGGAGTACCAGTCCAGATATCGTCTACCTTCCTTCACTATGCAATGTTTCAAATATGGGATGCTTTAGTGCATGGCAGTGAGCATTTCATCCCTACCACGAACTGGGTTTCGTTAACTCTTTATGTCAAGGCAAATATACATTGACTGTCCTAGCATTAACGGAACACCGGTGATCGTTACTAGTACAACGGGCCCAATACCACAAACCGGGAACATCGTACCCCAGTTGTTTTTGACCTTTAGAGGTGCGTCATATTTAATTCAATCAATTTACAACTATGTTCATGCTACGCAGCATCGACGCTATATCTGCGCACATCTCCCTTTTCCAACGCGACCGTCAATTTTTCCATAACCGCTGATCCGAGCGGCGTCACAATTACAAAACAGGTCAATACTAACATCAGCCTTATCATCGCCGATAACCTGCCCGAGTCACAGACGACAACATTAGGCGTCACATTCCTCCAAGGGCTTTCTCCCACCCGTTTCGATATCGAGTCAATCACGCTCAACGTCACGAACAGCAGGTAAGCACCGCCTTGTCTTTGTCAGAGAGTACCCCAAATACCGCGATCCATTCATATGCGCAATAGTGCGACCTCCTCTTATCTCCCAACACCAACATTGCCCATATCGAGTTTCCCTGCGAGCCTTTTGCCCTCCTCGACGAGCGCAGTAATTTCGAATACCAGCCAGCGAACAGGCGTCATCATCGGTGCGACTTTGGGCGGGGTGCTCGGCTCTTTGGCCATATCGATAGCAGGGTTTTTTATTTATCGGAGGTGGCGAAGGCGACGAATATGGCGGTCAGAGGTAGATGTAGGAATATATCCGATGAGACGACGGACTCGGTGATTGTGATATACCCTATCCTTATGTCGAGACTTGGACTTATGGATACTGGACATCTTATTTAATACACTGTAATTTATTGTACAATTGATCACTGCAGATGGCGAAATGAGCTGAAGCAACTTTCGAAAGTAAGTATTTCGACTTTAAGAAGCTAAGTACTTAGTCGGACACAGCCGTTGCCCTGCTAAGCAGCACAAGTCAGACAAGATCAGTGACATACATATCTATCCGCTGCAATCCTAAATCACATCCTATAAAACCACACTTCGTGTACCGTTCTAGAATGGACTCAGAAGCACCGCTCGTAGTCGACAACGGCACGGGTGTGAGTCTTTAAGTTCTCCTTGACATGCTCTGAATCATCTCAATCCCATCCGCAGTTCGTCAAAGTAGGCTACGCAGGATCGAACTTCCCAGAACATGGTGCGTTAGCCCCACCCAAAGCACACACACATTCCAAGTCAACTAATTCCACAATCAGTATTCCCCTCCGTCGTAGGCCGCCCCATCCTGCGTGCAGAGGAGCGCGTGGGCTCCGCAGCGATCAAAGACATCATGGTGGGCGACGAAGCCGCCGAGAACCGCAATTACCTCCAAGTCACACAACCCATGGAACACGGTATAGTGCGCAACTGGGAAGACATGAAGCACCTCTGGGATTACACTTTCGACGAGAAACTCAAGGTTGACCCGCGCGGCCGTAAAGTGCTGCTCACGGAGCCACCCATGAACCCAAAAGTCAACCGGCAGAAGATGGTGCAGGTGATGTTTGAGGAGTATGGCTTCCAGGGGGTGTATGTGGCGATTCAGGCTGTGTTGACGTTGTATGCGCAAGGTGAGATCTGTTCTGCGCCGTGTGATGGCTGAGTGCTGACTGTTGGTCTGGTGTAGGTTTAACAACGGGCGTAGTCGTCGACTCGGGTGATGGAGTCACGCACATCGTACCTGTATACGATGGATTTGCTCTTCCTCATCTCACCCGACGCTTGGATATTGCAGGCCGAGATGTCACGCGGTACCTGATCAAACTGCTGCTTATGCGTGGTTATGCGTTCAACCGTACTGCTGATTTCGAGACTGTGCGTGAAATCAAGGAGAAACTGTGCTATGTGAGGTGAAACCTTTGATGATTTGTATTACTTCATGCGATTGAAATATCGAACTACAGCTACGATCTTGACCTCGACCAGAAATTGTCGGAAGAGACGACGGTGCTTGTAGAGAGCTACACGGTATCTCAACTCTGTCGTCCATTGTCGTATGGCTGAAGCCCATTCACTACAGCTCCCTGATGGCCGGACAATTAAAGTGGGCTCAGAGCGTTTCGAAGCTCCAGAATGCATGTTCCAGCCGCATCTCGTGGACATCGATCAGCCTGGTGTGGCAGGTGTGTGAAACCCTCTCAAGTCTCCTGCTCCACACAACTCACACCTCCATCCAGAAATGCTCTACTTAACCATCCAAAACGCAGCAGTTGACATCCGAACGGAACTGTACAAACACATCGTGCTCTCAGGCGGCTCAAGCATGTACCCAGGCCTCCCAAGCCGACTGGAGAAAGAAATGAAACAGCTATATCTTACGCGTGTACTGAATGGCGATCCAACGCGATTGAACGTATGTCTTTTGTCTTTTGCATTTCGCTTCTTGATTCCCCTTTCACCGTCACTCACACGTTTCACCCCTTTTGCAGAAATTCAAAATCCGCATCGAAGACCCTCCTCGTCGGAAACACATGGTGTTCCTGGGCGGTGCTGTCCTCGCTGACATCATGAAGAACCGTGCAGAATTCTGGATATCAAGAGAAGAGTGGTTTGAGCAGGGTATTCGCTGTCTGGATAAGCTAGGACGTGGAGAGAATTAACCAATGATGAGTAACTTACCACGGACATCCGGTAGTTTTATGATGGATCACCAAAAGCACGGGCCATTGGCCTTTATATGATCCAACGGGAAATGAGAAATAACTGCCCCATGGCTGAGTTGGTTACAGCGTCCGACTGTTAAGCGCAATCGGAAGGTCGTGAGTTCGAGCCTCACTGGGGCAGCTTCTTTTGTCACTTGCAGTACCGTACTATCAAGTGCAACTGCAGGCCCACCAGTCTACCTTTTTCGCCGCAGCCCAGTCATTTTGATTATGATAATTAACGTGGGAGCGGAGACTGTATATCTTAACGATATGTCCATGACTCCACGCAGCGACATAACAACCCCGAACAAGGCAAACGAGAAGAATCACGAAGAAGTAGTTCTCTACTGAGTCTTATTCGTAACTAGGGGTAATAAAATCCTAATAAATAGTTATATAGTCCGCGTCTATCTTTTTGCTACAAGTATACTACAAGTTGTAGATAAACCAAGCACTTTCGTCACCCAGACCTTTTGGTTCATCCTCAGGAGTGCCAAACTGTCGCCTGCGGGTCTTTAAGCGGTTCTGGTGTGCAAGGTACGCGAGGGTGGCGATGGAGAGCACCACCATGCCCACTGACATGATAATGAAAGTGATCGTGGCTTTTGTATAGTTGGGTGCAGGAGACAAGGAGCCTAAAAGCCAGGTGGCCAAGATACCCCCCGAGTTGGTCATAATGAACGCAATAGCGACCGAAGTTGCGCGTCTGACATGCGGTGCACTGTTATTCGCTACCCATGTGATGACCGGCGGAGCACCGCAGTAAGACCCGCTGATGGTCAGGAAGAGTGATCCATAACGAACATGATTTGATTTGCTCGCTGGCAATTATCAGATGGCTTGTTCAAGACAGGCGCTGGCAAAACCCACCATAGAACATGATAAATCCGACAAGGTTACAAACTGAGAAGAAGATGAGCATGAAGCCACGGCATTTGTACCGATCCGATATCACTGCGGTGATCATCGAGACTGAAAATATAATAGTCGGTGTCTTGATCACTAACAAGGATTAGAAATTAACTAACCTACAAACGCAAACGCGTAGGGCGGCGCGCTCATCAACTGTGCTTTATTACCGGTGTAACCGAGGCCGGCGACGATTGTGGGCTCGAAGCTAAAGAGTCGATAAGCATTAGTATGAATAAACTTGGCAGTACCATGTACTCACTAAGCAAGGCCATACAATGTTGTACCTGAAGGAGAGTTTGCGTGAGTACACCTGACCCAGCAACACATGCTTACCGAGGAAAAATAGAACGGGCGCCAACAACCAAACGTGAACTGACTGGAAGCACCGAATCACCTCAATCCAATTGAAGCCATCGCTCTTGTCGTCACCAGCAACAGCACCATCCGCTTTTAGCTTGGCCATGACATAGTTACGTTCCTTCGTAGAGAAGAAGCGCGCACTACCTGGGGAGTTGGGAAGGACAAGGAAGGCTGTCAATCCAAACAAAAACGTAAAGATTCCCTCCTATTTGAGACGATGAGCTGCATTTAGCAACGTAGCGAGATGGGAAGCCACTGACAATAATGAAAATCCAAGCCCATCCAGGTCTCCCACCCCTCCATTGATATTCATAATAGCAGCTGCCAGCAGTCCAGAAAATGCACCAGAGAGCGATGCAGATGCGAAGAACGTGGCAACCCTGGTGGGACAAAATCAAAATATGTCCGGGAATCGAAGAAGCCACATAACAAACCTAATCTGCAATCTCTCTCTGGGATAGAAGAAAGACAGATATAGCACAAGACCAGGGAACAGACCACCTAATGTGAGAATTGAGCAGGTCTGGCAACATGTCACAGGCAGTAATGTGCAAATTTCATACCTTCCATGAGACCCAAGAAGAATCGACAGGTAAGTAGACCCGAGTAAGTCTTCACGACGCCTAGATATTCAATGGATTGGCTGCTGCACATTACAATACCACGGCAACTAGACTGACCTTGCATGGTTGCCACAAGGCCCCATATAGTGACCATGGTTGGGAGCATCCACCGTGGTCCCACGTACTGTTTTAGTGTTACCATCAGTCACCCATAGAGAACATCTGTAAAATGTCATAGGACAATACTTGCCTTCAACAGCAAGTTCGAAGGGAACTCTGCTGCGATGTATGGTCTGGAAATTGCGCTATGTCAGAGGACGCCAACTCGCTAAGATTGCGCGCTTACACATATGTCATGGTCAGAGCAATACTGTACTGCAAAAAAGACAGATATCAGAACAGAATACATTACATACGAGACGGCCGAGTTCTACCTGATAGTTGGACATCTTGAGACTGGTCTGCATGCCAGCAACCCGAGCATTTGCAATATTACTCCGGTCCTGTTTGTCAGTCCTGTTTGGTGTAGCTTCATAAATGATACTAAGCATCACTCACAAGGAAAGAGAGGAGATAGAAAATAGTGCAGACGGGCAACACCCATCTATCTAACTTCCTCCAGACCGTCCCTTCAAGAAGAGTTTTCTCTGCGTCTGAGAACTCTTCGAAATGGTCGACGTCCTTCATCGTGTCTGACATGTCTGACGAGGGGGAGCCATGCAGAGTCTCTTCCATCCTGTGGACGTCGTCAGAGGCAACTCGTATCGATAGCGGTCGAGAAAGATGCAATGTGAGTAAGAGAAGCCCGAATCGGGTTTAGAGCTTCATGAAGGCATATCTATATAATTATAGTACTTGCTCACCTGTTGGAACGGTCAAATGCATTTTCACCGTCGACATATTCTAAGGTCCAGGATGTCCAAAAAAATGTTAGTGCCTCATCAATTGGTAACTCATCATCAGGCCAGATCATAGCGATGGCATGTCGGCACGGATAAACAGGTATCCGAATGATACCTGAGATCAGCTTAGATTGTAATGGTCAAATTCATCTATGTCAACCCCTGGTCAACTGGAACTGTACAAGCAGCTGTGCACGATCCGTTGCAAAGGAACAAGTACTTGGGTACAATGACCAGTGGTGAACAAAGTGAGACATAGGATAATGCAGTGGTTGAATTATAGATGCGACGTGGCAGAGTTTTCATCATGTGTACTTACTGGGAACACCTTGGACACGTTCTGACAAAGTCTGACAAGAGGCTCAAAGTTGCGTACTAAAGTTGGACAGAAGGTCAAATCTTGCAACAGATCTGCCGAAGTCATATAGCAGACGCGCGAAAACTCCACCTATTATTGACCTGCAGAAAATGTATATACGACGAGTTGCAACAAGCCAGGTTGCTTAAGAGCTCGTGTCTAACAAGCACCCAATCTAGGCGCTCACGTCTATGCAAAAGTTATTATACATAGGACCTACCCCAGGCCAGATCCTTGTAGAGGTTTCGTATTACATCGTTCATAGTGAGAGTTATGATCCTGGTGGGAGGTAAATTCCACGCTTAGGCGAAGCGTGGAGCAACTCACGTATGAGGGGTGATACGCAGGAAGTGCGCAAGTGAACCTTTGCCATCAACTAATTCAGCTTTTATAATCATCCCCAGGCCATAAGCACGTACCTTTATACCAGCCGAGAACTCCCTCTGTTTTGACAGTCCTCCACAAACAATCTATCGGACTCTTGTACAGCGCCCCTACGACCCTCCCATCGGGTAGTTTCGTGGTGGGCTGGTTGTACATTCTTGTGAGTGCCTGAAAATGACACGTCAGTGGTGCAATTCAAACAAAAACGCGTCAACTTACAGTATCGGCGGGTTGCATGACAAGGCACTGTGAAGATCATTCAAGAGTTATGACGGCATATTCTGACGGGAGCATACCACGCAAACACCAGAAACCGAGCTGCTCGCAAGAAACGTCCACACACTGTCACTGGGTAGAATGGCATGTCCAACAAGCTGATTCTTAGTCCAGTTATATGTCGGTAGTTGAACAGATGAGCCCATTGCTGTACGAAGAATAGCAGCATCCATTCCGCGGACGTAACCGCGAATACCCTCGGTCCGCCAGATCGTAGCCAGGGCATCGAAAGAGTTCTTATAATGGCGTTGTGTTCCTATAGGAAGAGCGGGCGAGTATGCCTGGAGACATATCAGTGACCGGTGGACGACGAAGAAGTCTGATCACCTGCATACGAGCCTTGATGAGAAACAAGGGATTCCCGATTATAGCTATATTCAAACGTGTGAGCAACATCACGTATGACCGCATGATAAACACACCTCCGACAGCACCACTGGCTGCGCCAGCCACCAAGGATGTGATAGGTATCTGGTCTGCACTCGACCAACCAAATACGCGATTGATAGTCCGTCGAAATGGTTCATAAAAACCTGCAGCAGCCTCAGACCAGGGTTCAAAATTGCGTCACATGTCACTCACTTAGGCGGGACCCATTCAGTGGGATCTAAACTTAGAGTAAGTAGGCGATCATATTAATAATATTCAACACTTGCCTGATACGCATACTGCAGGGTACCCTGGTCAGAAAGGCAAGCTGAAAATTTGGAGATTGACATACTGCTACACCTAGTCCGCGTTGCATACCGCGGATACCTTCATTCTTCCATGTCTTTATCATGGCGTCGAAAGCATTATTGTACACCTTGAGACCGCCGCCCTTGACGAGCTCTCCTTGCAACTGCAATCGAGTCTTGGCTACCTGTTGTCTCCAGAGTAAGCAACAGAGTCTACGCGTTGATTGAAGCGCTAACCTCAGCAGGGTTGGATATTGTCACCTGCGTTCATGCATCATTTAGCAAGCCAATACGAGAAGTAAACAAACTACTAACAGCTATACAGGCTGCCAAGCCACCGCATAGAAAGCCTTCAGTAGTTGAGAGTTGACGGACATCAGTGGACATGGTTAGTACCTGCGGAAGCAAAAGCAGTGACAGCACAGAAGCAGAAGCCTTAGTACGGAGTTTTGACGCGGCCTGTGTAATTACATAAAAATTATGATTGACCTCTAAGAGGCTCGCGGTATAACTCGAAGGGCAAGTAACTCACCGATTAATCAAATCACTCGTTAGCGCATCCCCGAGAGCCACGAAGAAGGCTAACCGTGGAGTCTGGAATTGATCAAAATCGTTTTTGGTAATTTATTTTTTTCTTGGACGCCCGGCCGTGCACTATTTGCCGTGCCGAGTGCGCACTGCGAGCTCATCATTTCTACTTATCGCTCCTTCCATCAGATGCATCATTGTCCATCACTGCGGCCACACGCCTCCTCGACACGCCGCATCAAACTCCCACTCAAAGGTTCTGAACCGTATCAAATTTAAACCCCCCGATCATCGGTCTTATGGAAATTGCCGTGACTCGGAAGAGCTAACCTCACACTACGCCCCCTTCCGAATCAAAGCTGCTTCAAAACTCATCCCAATGATTCAAACATTCTAGCTCTGTGCTACCATATGCTCATAGTCAAAGCATAGCAATTGGGTGGTAGGATAAACAGATCTAAGTCAATCTGATCCGTGGTTCTCGTCAGATTGATGGAGTATGCTGCTGAGAAAACAGCATGAGCCAGCGAATGGTGACCGGTGATCTCTGGCAATGTCCGGCTTAATCACTAGTAGTAGGTATGACCCCACGCTGTCCTTTCAGTGTCCTTCGTCCAAAAGTAGTTTTAATCGCGGGACATTGTTAGGCAAGATCCCTTATACGGGAGAATCTATTCCTGGGTTTATCTAGCTTCATCAGAACTGTATAAAACGTGTTAGGTATTAAGGCGATCGCAAGAGTCGCCGCCTAGTGCTGATGTATATATCCTCCCCATGACTGTAAATCCTAATAACACGCTCGGTGCTCTCCAAGTGGGGGGCTCGATCATGGTATTTTTGTTTGGAATTGATACCTTGCAGACCTATTACTACTTCAAAAGATATCCGAACGATCGCCTCTGGATAAAGCTGCTGGTGAGTACTTCAATATATTCCTAGTATCAACCTTATACCTCTTAGGTGGTCTGGATATGGTGTGCAGACCCTTTCAAATACATCTTCCTCCTAATGGCTAAACGGACAGGCTGGAAGAAATCGGTCACACAGTCTCGGTTCTGAGTGGAATGTATCTCCTTACTGTGACACAGTTTGGACAGCCAGACGCGCTCGCCGTGACTACCATGCCGACTGGTTACGCGTGGTCAATCGTATTCAGTGGCTCAGTAGGATCTATCGTGGAGGTAAAACATTGTCTTCTCGATCCCCGGAATTTCCTGAGTCTGAATATTAAAATACAGGCCTTCTTTGCCCACCGTATGTACGTGCTGTCAAAATCGTGGTACCTCCCGTCCATCGCCTGGACTCTTGCATCATTCCGATTTTGTGGGAGCATGGTTGCGGCGGCAAAGGTATTTGGAAACATATCTTTAGACGTTTTCTCGACAAAATGGCGGTGGTTAATCACCGCCTGCTTTGCCACGGGTGCGGGAGCCGACCTCATTGTTGCAGGAGGCCTGTGTTATTATATTCACCGTGAAAAACGTGTTGCGATGGGGCAGTGAGTAATAGGCCAGTGACCCTCCTATTATAAGCTCACCGGTTATAGGACGACAATGAGAATACTCGACCGCCTCTTGGCGTACACCGTCGGTAAGAGAAAAACCAAAAATATTTTCTTTCAAAAATTAATCGTTTTGCAGAAACTGGCCTGGTCCTAAGGTACAGTAATATATCAGAGATGATGTACCCTTCTGACCATCAACACTAAGCATGAGCGCGGTTGTAATTCTCATCATATGGGGTACAACTCCACATAGCTGTGAGAACTTTGTCCAGATCAGTGTGCTTTGGATCTTGCTGATGTATTCAGTCTGGTGGTTCGGCATCTTCCTATTTTACACCGAGGGTAATAACTCAATTCTCATCACTCTGCAAGCGCTCATCCCTCGTTCCTTAGTTTTTGCAAACTCTTTGATGGCATCGTAAGTGATTTAGCATTGCAAAACATGAAACAATGTGAAATTTAAATTTTATGTAGCCTGAACACTCGAAGGGTCCATGAAGATGTTGCTGGTGGAACCGTCATCAGTCTGCCGCGTAATGCACAGATCCGCAGTGCAGACCGTTCCATAGGTAGCGTAAGTGATGGTATTTTTCACAGCCCCGACATTACTCATTGGATATGTAGCGTGTCCAGAATTTCATGAGAGATCCTTCAAAATCCGAGTACGACATGGATATCGAACGTTATGAACTATCACACGAGATTTCTACCGACAGTTCTGGATACACAGGTGATCAATTTCAACGGCAGGCGGTATGTTTCTCCTCATATCCGTCTCGTAGGGTTGGTCCTGACTGAGACCAGATAAATCAACCAAATATCGCTATTTCAGTTTCTCGAGACGTTTGCGTTAAACACGATAGGTTGACGGAAATGAACCGTCTGACCTCTCAGGCATAGCGCTCTCGCCGGTATTTATCGTTGCCTATTTATACACATCCCGACCCAGTGCGAGAAGGGTATATGCAAACTTGTATTTTGGATTTTATCTAGTATTGCCAACACTGAGCGATGCCTTGCTACTTTGTCGTCCTCTTAGTACGCCCCAACTCTTGCTTTCTATATAGGCTGTCCTATAGCCCCTTGTATGCTTCAATGTTTCCGTCTTCACTCTCCTTTCTGCAGGCTCTATTAGTTCGGTGGCTGCTACGCCCCATGGTGGCCCCATCATAATCTTTCTGTTCAAGTTGCGGCGGTCCCCTTCTCTATAGTATAACATCCGGAACAAAAAAATTCAATTACCATATCATATTATCTCTGATATGCCTTCTCACACTGTCTTCAACGACTGCTAATTATATTATCAGTTCTCCATGCCGCGGGCGCCGGTACCTCTAAAGATTATGTTCTATGTGATGTACGAATGCATCCCATGCAGGTCAAAACCTACCCTTATCCCCATACGATCTATCAATCTTTGTGGCTGAAAGATCGGCGTTTCGACTGCTCTGTCTGCTCGTTCAGGGTGACCCAGGCGGTATTTACGACATCCGAATCATCGCCGCGATGTTTATTTTGCTTGTTCTTGTCTTTCTAGTTTATATCTTCCAGATTCGTTCGAAGCAATTTGAAGTAGATACGGCACCATGGTGGGCTCGTAACCATTCCGTCCATGATGCAAGCTTTTTTGCAGCTATTTCTATCCTATGCAGTGGTCTATGATGGAAAATGTTTGCTATTTTAAGGGACAATTTAATGCCCAGGTGTGGGATCCCGAGTCCAGTCCCGGCCGGCCGTTTGAGACGCGCAAAACCTGGTAAAAGTGACATGACTTTGCGTGAAATAGTAAGGGCAACTGTAACGATGAGACAAGTGCAGTATGATGCAAGCTTGCTAGTAGTATACCGAACAGGTCATGATAGGTGATAGCGCCACCAAGATCGACCTACGTTTTGGGATACACATACTAGTTTGTGTTAACGTTTTTCAGCAATTTCTCGGACTTAATAATATTTAAATTGTTTTGTCAGGCAGTTTAGAAGTGACAGCTATTGAAATAACCGTGGTGCACGGCCTCGATATTTTGCGTTTTGTCTCCCAGGTGAGGGCACGCTAAGAACTGAGCTAGGCAATGACCGGTGACCGTGCAAGTGCCTGACCGATATCCTCGGTAATCACAGCATGTCACATAGGAAAGTAAGCTTGGCAATCAAGCTAGAGCACAAGTTCAGTTACTTAACTTAGTACAGTATTTACTATTTACTAGTAGATATGTACGAGGGTGACCATTAGTGCCGTGGTTGTAAATTGAGGGAGACGTAGTGAGACTCGGACCATGTACATCGTCTACATGGTCCGAGTCTCAATACAAGTGTGAATGATAGTGCAATAGGACCATCAGATGGATTATCATGCTGCATTGTAGGACGTGGAGAGCTGGGTTAGCCCAGAATTGATAAAATATTCAGCAGCGCTGCACCCAGTACAAGTCGCGGCACTTCCAAAATGTGTTGTGCAGTGTTGAAACTCCGCCATGGTAAATATCAGCGGGTGACATTTCTGCGTGACTTTGGCACTTTCACTCACTCAATTCTGCTTCAATCGTTGTTCAACCTTGTTATGAGATGTATTAAAGAAAATGATAATTATGTTAAGAATTGCGTTTAAGTAGCTAGAAATACAAGTGTTGTGAAAGTGCCGACTTCTATGGGGTGTCGATTGCACCGGAAGGGGTAGTAAATATATAAGTGAGGGCGATCTACTCATGTAGACTGCATCAGGGATCTAATGTCACCTGACAATTTTGCAAAGTTTACACTATAACAAAAATGTTACGGTTGATCATGAGTTTCACTGCCATTAGGAAAGCAAATCCTAGAATATTGAAGATCGCTGCGAACACAATCATTCCCGAGTATCCGCCATGTTGGCTTGCATAGATGGCACCTCCGATGGGACTTCCAACCAAGGACCTGTCGGATAATAATTAAGCTCTCATCAAAAAGCATGCTGCAACGGGGACCTACGGAATAGACATGAAAGCGTACGACATCCCAACACGTGTACCAAAATTTTCCGGTGGAGAAATTTGTGCTGTAACAGCGACATCCAATCCCATCGTCGCGCCTGCAAACAAGCCGTACATTACAGCGAATGCCGCTAGGGTTGCAGTATCGTGTGCAAATAACCAGAGGGCGATACATGAAATACCAGCCAGTAGAGTAGAGGGAATCATGAGGTTTAATCTCCCAAGTTTGTCCGCGAACCATCCCGGAACAATGCGACCGACAGTGTTGGCAGCATTCATAATCGATAGCAGATCAAACCCTATATTTTGGGATAAGCCCTGAGCCTGTGCATATTGGACGATATAAGTGGAAGGAATAAATAAGCCTGTGCGTGATCAGTAATCAGCATTAATCACCGGGCGTGGCCTGATGATGCTCACCAAGGCATATCAGAGCATATGCAAGACACACAAGCATGTATTTTATATCGCGGAATGACTTGGTATCTATCCACGGTGTGCTTTTATTTTTAGGGGAGGGAGTCGAAATTGTGAGCGTTGCGATAATGCAGCACGCAAGTGCAAGAAACCCCTGTATTCGGACTGCCCATGCGAACCCAACAGTGCTGAGGAGGCGTTGAAGCAGTATAGGAAACACAGCCCCGCCTTCAAACATAATTAAAATCCATTTATAAACAGTTGATTCAAGGGAACCTGCCTGCACCAGAGCCACCTAGCACGATACCACTGGATGTACCTGCGAAATGGCGAAAGCGAGCAGTTGATGCGGCAATGCACGGATTATACCTATATCCTATGATGAGATAATAATTCCATGACAATGAAATAAATTCAAGCGAAACTCACACTAGTCCAGCCCCCAACCCAAGAAGAAATCCTTGAGCGATCATAAACTCGTAGTACCGAGTTGCTAGTGACGTCATCATCAAACTGAGCGTGTATATAAGCGTCCCAGATGCGAGCAACGGCGTGGGTCCATAGGCGTCGAATAAGCGGCCAACAAATCCACCCTGTGATAACAACATAAGTGAGGGCTTGCATTCAAAAATGGTGATCTACTGACCGAGAACATCATGAACCAAAGTTGAAGCCCACCAATCCAGGAGATTTCCGACGGTGAATAAGCGGATAGCTGGTGCTCGAGGTACCATGCCTGATAAGTTCCGAATGAAGACACTTGCCCCATGGTTGCAAAACTTCCTACGAAGCCACCAAAGAGTGTGAGGCACCCTAGAAAACCACCTTCAGCCCACAGACTTGTAGGAATAGATGGACGGTCGTGGTCTGCTTCCTGCCAAGCTACGACACTGGAGTTTTTTGACTCCAGGTCCTGGCCGGATCCTAGGGATGATGTGAGATCATAGGGTACAGGTGCGAGTTGGCCGAAGGGGCTGGACGCCTTCGACTCTGGATCCTGATGGGAGTCCGAGGGTGACGTATAATTACAGGGTGCGGTTCCAGTCATGGTCGATTGAGGGATGAAGTTGTTGTGTCGGAGATAATCCACAGCTATTCATATGAGTGCTTCGGAACCTGAATCGGAACCCGAGAGCGAGGACCACATGCTACTAAGGTCTTAGTATAGCGTTTAAAAAAAGCAGTACACACTAGATCAATCTTCATTATTGTAACATGACTGGTTGGTAAAACAACCACACGGTGCACGGCCCGTCACCATGATTTCCGTAACATCCAGGACGCGATGAAAGCTGATCCGCCGAATAGTCTTGTGAAGCGGCTCGGGGCGTTCAAAACGGAAAACGGAGAATAACTTAGTAAGTATATTTATGTCACTTACAGGTATGTTACAAACCACTCGGAGTAGGCCCGGTTAGACAAAGTTTTACGCAAATTCAAGGATACGATGACTCGTTGATGTGAATCCCCTTAAAGTTAGCAGTCCCGTCAGGCTCGAAGAACACCGCGGTGATGTACTGATGACTTACCCTGTCAATCATTCACACATTGTATCAGTATAGTTCGAGACTTAATTGGGCTCAGGCTTACAACATGTATTTCATGAAACGATGAGTACTTTTAGCCTGTGTGATTCACCGGGCTAGCCATATGACTGATTAATGAGATATAGTTGATCATGCACATGGAGAGCCTGTGACCTACGTTACGTTGGTGCAGGTGTGTAGCAAAGATCAAAGATCTGCAATCACATGTGTAATTACCTCGTGTAGCCTTCGTAATGGCTTCAGACTCGTGTGTACGCAATGTTGTCAAGAAAGCACAGAGGTATGGGGAGCTAAAGACTTAAAAATTATGTTATTTACGTAACTTGCTCACTGAGAGCGCTTGACACACGCGGGTTTCTATCATCGCACCATCATCGCAACCAATCATAGCCCGGCGAAGCATTTTCGCTGCTATATAGATCCAAGGATGTGATTCCTAGTACAGCTAGTCGCAGTAGCAGCTTTGTTCCAATCCCATCATGATCAGAAGAAATAGAAGTTTCGCCTTGGGGCTGTGCGCTATGATATTATAGTGTCCACCTACATCATGATAATCAGGGTGATGATGGTCCTGAATCCTGATAACTCCGAGTACCCAACTGCTGCGCTGGACTCCATCAGACTCCGATGGCTTTCAAACGGCGTCAAACGGACAATATCAGGACTGGGGCTATGCAGCCGCATATTTGATCCTCCTACTCGGCTACCTACTAATACTCCCTTTGATTGACGACCCGGTCTTTAGCTTTAAGAACTGATGGCAGTCCTATCGGTTCCGGCGCTTGATACCTTGGGTCCTGCTTTGATCGCCAAATGCCCTCCTCCACAGCATCATGTCTGCGCGTTCTTTCCCGCCAAATACGAGCTAGTCCAAGGTTATTAATAAAAAAGTCATTCCAGGCTGCCACCTATTCGCTGTTGGCGCCAGCCCAAAGCTCTGGTGTGACGAATGTTAAGCGCGTGAGTCGTAATAGTAGTCAATCAAGGAGAAAAAATAACAGGTATTACGAACTTATTCAGGCTCTTGCTACCAGAGGGTTGAAGACGCTCGACTTTGCTGGTTCAAAAGAAGTTGTGTACGAGCGTAGTGATTGGCCTCTGGCAAAACTTCAAAACTACTTCAAAAATGACACGCTCGCCCTCATTGGCTATGGCTCGCAAGGACATGGCCAGGGCTTGAATGCTCGTGACAACGGCTTGAATGTGGTCATTGGCGTCCGTAAGGACGGAGAAAGCTGGAAACAGGCAGTGGAAGATGGATGGGTTGGTTGACTCAAACGTTCCTGCAGATGATTTTTGACGATTTCTGGTATAGGTACCTGGAGAATCACTCTTTTCCATCGAGGAAGCCATTGACAGAGGTACAATCGTCATGAACTTACTCTCAGATGCAGCACAGTCATCAACATGGTCTCATATATCTCCTCTGATAACAAAGGGCAAGACACTCTACTTCTCGCATGGGTTTTCAGTGGTATACAAAAACGATACCAAGGTGATTCCTCCGAAAGATGTCGACGTTATTCTAGTAGCGCCGAAAGGCTCTGGTCGCACTGTCCGAACCCTGTTCAAGGAAGGCAGAGGCATCAACTCCAGTGTCGCCGTTTTTCAAGATGTAACCGGCAAAGCAATGGAAAAAGCCGTGGCTATTGGGGTCGCTATCGGCTCTGGCTACATGTACGAAACAACCTTCGAGAAGGAGGTGTTCTCAGATCTGACTGGCGAACGTGGTGTGGTAAGTACTCCATCATCAATCTGCATGCATACGCTAAGATCGAGTCTCTTTCCTAGCTCGCAGCCGCTATCCGTGAGTCCATCACTGTCATGCCATTGATTGCAGTCTGACTGACTGGCCATTTACAGAGGGATTATTCTGCGCACAATACAAGGTGCTTCGTGCAAACGGCCATTCGCCTTCGGAGGCATTCAATGAAACCGTCGAAGAAGCCACTCAATCTCTGTATCCTTTGATCGGAGAAAAGGGGTAAATATATTTATAACTCTGAATTCACAAGTCATTAACCTATAACTATCCGCAGCATGGATTACATGTTCAACGCCTGTTCCACCACCGCTCGACGAGGGGCCCTTGACTGGGCGCCGATCTTCGAGGCAACAAATCGCCCGGTGTTCGAGAAGCTTTATGAAAGCGTGAAGAATGGCACGGAGACACGCAAGGCGCTCGAATTCAACGGACGCGCCACTTATCGCGAAGATTTGGCCAAGGAGTTGAAAGAGATTGACGAGCAGGAGATCTGGAGAGTGGGAAAGGTCGTCCGTTCGTTGCGCCCTGACTACAAACCAGTGCATTGATCTTGATTGTTCGGTATGCTGTAAACAAAAGCGTTAGGTCGTGTCTGATAGTCGATCCAATATTATTAGAATGATAGGAGCGGGTGACCTACATCCCAACCGGCACTCCAAGTGTTGCGAATTCTTACCAAACGTTCGGTCTCCATATGTGCAAACTGCATGGCGCAAACCCGCATAAACGGTAATGATAGTAGCAGGACTACGCCAACTGGGGTTCCTTTACAGCCGAAGTCAGTAGACTCAATCCTGTACATAAGACTTCCAGTGTCTTCATCTCCGAAACTTATGAACTTCCGGCATGGGATAGTGCAAAGTGGTGCAGCTGCGCAGTACGACAACAAGTTGCAACTCCCCTCAGCTCGATTGAGGTCGACATGGATGTACATTTAAAATATCCTATGATACTACATATCTGCATCTGCACTCCACGTCGGCTTTTTCAGGTTTTCATGCCAAAATCTCATACCCTTCCACATCGCATTACTCTCCCATAGCGTTACAAACCGGACCTCATCGCGATCTGTAGTACGTTTTCTCGTCCGTATAAGTTGATCCATGTGATAAGTCACCGTGTCGTGTCTGGAGTCAATAGCTTCGCCAAGGCGTCTAGGAGAACTAGAGGATTCCACCCGCGTGCCTCGGTGTGTGACGGACAATGCGGTTTCCGTATCCTCGTAGTTTCCGTTACTGCAGGCCCCTGGCACCGCTGACTTGCCTGGTTGCTGTGCAGCCGAAGGCACATCCTGCGCAAATTGGTTGCGTATACGATTTGGGGCTGTCGGCCTAGCAGAATTTTCACCATCCTCCCTGCTCCCGACTTTGGCAGTTGCAGTAACTGGTTTTAAACGTAGAAGAGGAAAGCGCAAACGGTTCTTGGAAGGAAATTGCAGTTTGGTGAAGTCGATCGCCGGTACAGGAGGAGAGTCCTTAAGACACACAACAGGACTGGTACCGTTCACGGTGAGAGTAAATTCAGGGGCACGTTCGTAGGCGCGATTGGGGTCGGCGGCCTTCTCATGCTCCTGATCATTTCGTGAAGACCAATGGAATGGTGACTCATGGGATTTGTATTTTGACATAGCTTTGAAGGGGGGAGTAAGGTAACGGGGAGCAGATGACGCGTGGTCATCGGGAGGAGTATTTGCGACGCATATATCGGGTGAATAGTTGATCCAGCGTCGTGGTTACGTTTAGTAATTGCAGAGTTATGTACTTCTATAATCGCGATGTCGGATGAACTTTCTGCTGATGAAAATGATGACAGCCCCAAGGAGAACATATGACGTTTACGTGGACGTCGCGGGAGACTGTCTCCTGATTCGCTATGCTGTGCGTTGGGATAGGCGAGGCTGTCTCTCTGGCGCTTTCGCTTCTGGAGAACGTTCGGCAGGATGCAGAGAGGTGTTTGTGACTGACTCCGCGGCACAAAAGGACCAGATACCCGTTGTGGATATTGAGGGGACACTACGGAGGCGAGTATGCGATCTTGAATTCCCATACGACTGAAAGGCAGCCCGGCATCAAAGTCATCTGTGGAAAGAAAGGTACGTGAGATCCTGGGGCCGTGTGAGGTGCGGCAGAGATATATCAAATAAGCAGAGAAATCAGTAGTGTGCCATGATAAGTAGAGTATTTCACGGCCAAGAACGCAGCATGAGACGTAATCATACCATCAAGTATGTAGCCCACAACTGGAACGCGAAATGAATGCGCGACGCAGTGCAAAATCCAGCCCACATGTATTACCTATAGGAAGCCTGCTTAACAAGGGAAAACTGATGTTAAAAAAGCAGCTCACCACTACCGATCTTCTGCAAAGTATGCTTGTCCACTCGTCTTCGCGACTGACGGCAAAAAAGTAAGACGCGACAGCACTGGTTCCTCCAGGAAATATTCTGCCTCCGTGAGTCACTATACGTAGCAGGTAGAGCAGTTAGCCACAATGTTCTACGATATCACCTAGGTCCTCAGTGATATGCTCAGAACTTACACCATGTCTGGATGGTTTCCTTCGGCACACGCATACTGAAACACGCTGGAACACGGATCAGAGATGCAGAAAATCCACTAGCCACGGCGTCAGAATCAACATACCTGCCTCGTTGAAAAGCATGTTAGAGGAAAGACGAGTTTATGTAAGAGGATGCTTGTATGCAAGGGATAACCCCTGAGCCTGAGTGACTGAGAATGTTAATAACTGCAACCCTTTCTAATACCGGAAACCCAGTGGACAGATAACACTCAAGGATCGGGTGCGAATAAACAGGACGACGTTATATTATGAGAGCTCGAGTACTTACGAGGGTTCGATATCGAAGTTCGGGAAGAAGAAGGATAATTTCAGTACGAACGTTGGTTGGATGATATATATAAGGAAATGTGAAAACACGTAAACATATGACGTCGTAAGCCTACCCTTTCTCCGAATTGCACACCTTGCAATGGCCTCAGTCGAGGTGTGGACTTAGGCATGCATATTATGGCACACCGAGCCTGCGTATGTGATTTTTCGCCAGAAACTAGGATGAGGTCTACTTACTTATAGTTGGTCTATAGGCTATCGAACAAGTGCAGCCTGCATTCAGCAGATCGATACCAAATTCCAGTCGCTTTCTAGTAGGGGCCCGGGCTATTTCCATGTGGATCTCACCATCGTGCTGGTGGGACTGTCATGGGCTGGAGTGAACATTCTCATCCGCATCACCTTGCGTGTCCCTCATACAGTAATATAAAGACCAGATGGAGGGATCTAAACCTATCTAAACCCTACTAAATTGACATTTGTCACCGAAAGCCATGGGCAGGAGAAACAGCTAGTTTGCAGTTAGTCAGGCAATCGAAAAGAGATCGATATGGGAATTATACTGCGTTCGAAGAATCCACGGTCCGAGTCGTTCTCAAGAAAACGTCACTAGTGTCCGCTACGGGAAAGATGAATGCATACTAAACAAGCGTTCTTGGACCCGATCACGACTTGTTCCCGAAGTGAGCCTTCGTTGTTGCACCGTTTACGATTGCCTTTATTTGTGCACACATACATACATACCAATAGAAATTGCCGATGTGGTGAATTAAGAAAATACGACCCGCGCAATAAAAATAGCACCAAAGGGATGACCACACCAAGCAGAGGTAAAAGAAATCGTGTCCGAGAGACATTTCAGTTATTGGGTATGCGCATCGCAAGGCTGGTAGCGACGAGCAGGTCCAGCATGAACTTCCCCGACTGTCATAGAAATGATTACAAAGAACAGGGGATTGCAGAATGGAAACGTACGGGTTGAACCACGAGAACACCATCTTTCGTCACTGACATGGATGTAACACGATATGTCGCTATGAGGGCGTCCTCGGCATCTAAACACTGACGAGAGCCACGTGATAAACGCTGTAACATTCGACCCGCTCCTGCACGCACCTCCATCGCAGCGCTGAACAGCCGTGCAGTCGTTTGCCACCGATACTCCTTATGATCGGGACCCTCGAAGAAAACAGGTCCGTTGAAGGCCCCACGCTTCCTCTCCATCTTGACTGGCCGTCTGATGGCAGTCATGGATAAAATCGTAGGCCCATGGTTGACTTCACCCAATAGTGGTGGTCCATTGTACGAAGACTGAGCTCGACAAAGCAGGGGACCATCTGGGCCATCAGCGTGCAGATCAAAAGTCCAGTGCATCGAACCCCGAGTGTTCCGCATAAAATACCTATAACAACAACAGACAAAGTAAAGGACGAAGCAATGAAAAAAATTCTCAAAACTCACAAAGTTGTGATCTTGTCTTCTCCCTTGATAATCTTGCGATTGCCAAACACACTCCCGAAATTATAGATGTGCAGCATAGTCGGTCGTTCATTGGATGTGTTGAGCATCTGCAATCACCCGAGCCTGAAAGGTCGTCGATGCAGCAGTGAGAACCAAGTATCCTCCTCTTCCAGAGCGTATTCAACAAGGCGTGTCGTTCTAGGGCCTTTTAAGCAACAAGGGCAGGACATCGCGGGGCTTTCTTTAAGAGACGAGGATTTCTATTTCCAGAAGATCGACTGCATCCGATTATCATGTCTGAGAGCTATTTAAGGACTTCTTGAGGGTAATGGCATGTGGAGAGCTCCGTAAACAGATTTGAAGACGAAATGGGAGACGTCAAGGCTTACCGTTTTCAGCATGACCCAAGTTCTAAAGTTCTACGCGCTAAATTTTGTTGCTAGATGAGTGCAAGATAAACAATTCCCGGACAACGTGGATCATAAATTCAGAGAAGCATATCTGTGATTGAGCGCACTGGAAAGTTACTAGTCCAAACCTGTTGACCAGCGTTATCTGTTTATGCGTAGCTGAAGTAGAACAGGTCCGCTGCGTCATCTAGCTCTTGGATTCTTGAATTCCCCCACCCCTTCGATTGCAGTCGTCGCGCAGAGTAAAGAGCACCAAGCTTCCCCGTGGGAGTGGTGAAGTCCGGATGAAGTCAGCGTGCGACAGCTCATTAGCACGAGGAATCAACCCAGCACCCACTCTGCTAAACCATCCCCCCAAAGTGACTCAAAACAAACCTTAGGCGGAGTTAACCACCATCGCCATACCATTGAATCATATAAGAATTTCTAGTCGGGAATTGGAACCACCCAGTGCCGAAAAATAGGCAGTACTGGCCCCCGAGAGCTCGAGGTGGAATTTCGGAATATCGACCTGATCTGCGTTATTCCTGTAGACAGAGTTAACGCGCACTCAGCCTTCCAGCGCTGACCGTGAGAAGTCAGAACACCTGTGCACATGACATGATACCAAAAGGTAAGACCAGCCAGTAGAAGTGGCATTAGATGTGGTTGGGCCGGGATGTGAATGATACCCAGTCCTGTGTGTTGTAAGACTGTATGGTGATCCGGTGATTGATTCTCTCAACCGTACAAGTGTTGGCTTCTGGACGGATAAATCAAAAGGCGTGCTGCAAAATCGCCTGAAATCGGAATCACTGTAGTTGTATATTATGTAAGCAGTACGCTAAGGCATTAATGAGACACCGCACACACCAAAGTCGGGAGGAATATGCTATCCTAGAGCTCAGATATCAGAGGGCGCTCTCATCCCAGCTGGAGCCTTCCTTTGGAGATCGTCTGAGCCCGGAGATGAAAAGATTTCGAGTTTGTTTTGTATTCCCGGTTGCCAGAAGGGTCTAAGACCTACTAAGGGATGGTAGAATCTTAGTGATTCCTCATGCATACTAGTGATGACGAATTAAAGCAAGGCTTCGATTCTAGTAGGTAGTGCTTAGTGGTGGGAGCATGGTTGACTGCCGACAACGTAACTTGAAGCCGGGCGTCAAAGCGAATACGTCCAACGTCTACCCAGTATATGGATCCTTGCCGTAACATAAGTTGTCTTCCACCGCATTGCGTGCGCATGTGATCTTCTAGGATCTTCTAAGTTTCCAAGCGAAGTTTACGAAGGCCTGCATTCTTGACCGTCAGGTAGGTAAAGCCTATGGGTGAAGATCTGCCCGAAACCCACTAGGAGCTGCCATATCGGAATGGTGAAGATCGTTGGCTGCACCGAGTTATAATCGAGGCGGTTTACCAGCTTCAAATTTATCCAGTTGTGAAACGTGGTAGTTTGGGCCCAACATGAGAAATATACCCGCATTCTCCGCTCCTGATGTGGAAATCTACGAAAACCGAAGATCTATGTACACTGTACATACTATTACTTCAATCACCAGCCGCGTCGCCGGCCACCTTTCCCCCACTTCTCAATGAGGAACAGAGCCATGTACTCGTAAACCTCTCTATTCGCGCCTCTGCGAGTGATCGAGTGATCGCTACACGATGTAAAATGGTCAGCGTTGTACTACGTGGAATGAATTCCAGTGGCGAACCTGTCTGTGAACATCCTGAAACGGAAGTTTCTGATTTGGGCTTCTGTGAACATATCCAACAAGTGAGCTGTGTTTGCATAGTGGACATTGTCATCTCCACTGCCATGGGCGAGGAGATAGTCTATGCTCTTGAAGCCCTCTACATGTGAAATGGAGGCGTTGATGTAACCTCCAGGATTATTGTCAGGCAAGTCCATATACCGTTCTGTATAAATGGAATCATATAGTCTCCAGCTGGTCACAGGCTAGGCTTGCTAGTGAGTGCAATGACTTCGTCAGTGAGAGATGCACATACAGCAACGGCCATGGCCAACGTGTGGATACCGGTATTTGCTTCCGCAACCTTGGAGGCCATGAATCCGCCATAAGACTGCAGCAATCAATTGATATGTTGGCCACAGAATCCAGAATATGGCTTACCCATCCCCAAATTCCAATACGTTTCGGGTCAATATAGTCTTTCCCAGCCCAGATGCTGCCAGATGTTCAATACCGCAGTTTACAATTTCAGGTATTCCGTACCGTGCAGCATTGATCTGGTCCTGGGTTTCCCAGAAGCCAAGATTATTCCTTACTGGGTTGCGCAGGTGCCGCCCTTTGAATCCAGTTCCCCGACCGTCTACGACAACGACAATATACTGGAGTGTGCAGACGAGATAGTCATGCCAGTCTCGTTTGTACTCGACATTGACCTGCTGACTCTCTGGCCCACCGTACCTGAAAGCATCAGAAATAAGAGCGTTTGCTTTCAAAAAAGAGTATGGTACAAACACGAAGAATAAGACTGGGTACTTCGTCCGCCCTGAGTCATCCATGCGAGGAGGGCGCATTTCCTTTACATTTAGCTCTGAGGGGCTGTGTAAAGTTTCATCGCGAGAAGAACGCATCAAATAAACTAACCAAAGCCATCGCTGTCAATCGTCGAATACGTGACGGCGGCAGTTTCAAATTCAGTCAGCGTGGCATTTAATACAGAGTTGTCCGTCAGAACATAATCGAAATCTGGAATTAAGGTGTAAGCGCTAGATGTATTGATGATGGTAATTAGAGATGAAATTACCACTGTTGCTAACATCGACAATTCGCTGCCATGGTACAGCTGGTCCGTTGTAATTAAGAAGATAAAATCCGGCTTGTGGTGAAAAACTAGCACTGTATGAAGAGGATATTGATTCATCTGTGAGCGAGATGGGTTCCACGTATCCTAAAACTGATGCTGAAAGTGGGATTGAATAGATGTGGCGTTGCGTTGATGACCGCGCGGCTTGGAAATATCTGTAGACGGGATATGGGCGCAATGAATCATGAAGCTCCGACGGGAATTAAAAAATAATAACTTACATCAATCCTCTTTGTGTGTCCACTGCTTTGATGCCCCCTGTAACTTCCCATGGGCCAGAAGTGAGGAAACGTGGAGTCATACTATCGGCGGGATCAAATAGAGCAATATGGTTGTAGCCATTGGCTGGTACAATATCTAAATAGGCAGATGAATCCCCTGAACGCAGGCTGTCTGGAAGAGGGAGAATATTTTGGGCCTGCAATAAGCTTTTCAATAAAAGATGACCACACAATGATGCAAGCCACTTACGCTTTGAATCCAGCCCTCATCACCTTCCTCACCATTACCACCAAGCCTTCGGACTACCCTTCCGTTCACGATATCCGCATTTCCCATGTTGGTCAAATCGAAGTACACGACGCTACCATTGTCTGCGGCGCGCGTAACCTCCTTAACAACGAGCGTCGATTGACCCACCCAGGTGACATCCATGATAATACTGTTAGCTGCAGGGAAGCGACCTTCCCAACTGAGCTCCGAAGTATAAATCTCGGCAGCTGAGTTAGAGGATGTTTCAGATCGTTCGTACTGTGCGACGTCGAAAACATGCACAGAGGCAAGAGGGTTGTTGTAGCCTGGTTTGGGGTATTTGATGACAATATCTTGGGTATATGGAACAACAGCATAAGAATCCTCTGTGGGATTGTAGATCGGGAACCGAAATTCGTCTACTTCCGTCTCATCGAGACGTAGAAAAGCAATCTTGCTCGAGTCGGGAGACCACCACAATGCGTAATTACTTGAGAAAACTTCTTCCTCATAGATCCAATCAGGCACACCATTAAACAATGATGTATTTCCCGAGCTGGTGACACGAATGGGAGAGGTGGAAGCACTAGGTGAAGAAGCCATTAGAAGGCTTTGTTGTACAAGTATTGAAATGACACTTACGACGGAGATGGGAGCACATATATATCGTTGGCAGCAACGAACGCGATAGATTGCCCAGTCGGGGACCAGGTAGCATAAGCAGTGACTGGAGGATAGGTGGGCGGCACCAGTGGGTATGTTACTTTAGTGTTCAGGTTGTGCACGTAGTAATTGCCAAAGCTCGAGTGACGCCATTGCTAAATGCTGCATATCAGCATATCAGGACTGTGCCCATGGAGGATCCTGACCTTGAGATGGTCGGCCTTCACCAGTATATACGTCATGTCCGGCGAAAGCTTCCAATCTGTCCAGTAAATAATGTTCCCCTCATCCTGGGCAGCTCTACATTCAATGCATGATAACTTTGGAGAAAAGGGCGCTTACGTCCTTGATGTCCATCATGGAGACAAGGTCAGTCGTTTTGTTACTTTTCAGGTCAACAAGCTGAATCTGTCCATTCTGGAATATAGAGAAAACTCCGTCGCCGGCTACGAACTATCTCTGTGAGGGTGAAAGTTGTTTAGTGCCACGACTGACCTTCGGGAACCCAGTCCACACCCTCCCATGAGGGACTGAACGTTCCGTTAAATATATGGTCCAAGGAAATTTTCCTGGCACCTGGTAGTCGATAGGTTTGTCCATTGTAGAGAGATGTCGCAGCAAAAAGTCCAATAGAGGCAGAAAGAAAAACTAGTGATGCTAAGGATATGATAAGGTACTTTAGGCTAGCGGGCCTCTTCGGTATCAACGTAAGTAAAGAAACGAGAGCAATGCAAGTTATGACAGACCTTGTTTCCTCCTACCAGCAAGCCGTTTCCCGGCTCCGTATCACCAAAGATATTCGGGTCATCCGAAAGAACATGATCCTGCTTCTCAATGAGACCCTCGTCTTCGTCAGAGGAAGGTGCGTCAAAGGGGCCTTCTTCGTAGTACACAGAAGGTCTAAAGGCCAGGTCTGGGTGTATTGCAGCAATCTTCGAGCGAGAAGCCAGAGGACGGCTATCGTTGTCTTCGAAGTCCTCCTCGTCACGTCCATTGACATGCTCGTAAGACATCGCCACAGAGTCTTCGCGATAGGAAATAGCTACCAACTCTCTTGGCACCTCAACGTAGTAGCACGACCAAACCGTAACAGTGAATGAGAACTAGTAGCCTGGTGTAGATGCTGCCAATTACATAAGCACCCTCGGTCATTTACTACGGTTTGTAGTTCAATGGAGCCGCCTCAGACTTGAAAACTGATTTAGTACTGTAGTAACGATGGCGGCGTCATCTCGGGCATCGAACGCTAGTTGGGACCCAGTCCTACTTATATCTCAGGCATGTTCTGCTTTCTCCTGTTCTGTCCGCATTGGCCTAGACTGTCTGCGTCCACCTCAGATTATTTCAATGCAAACCCTTCACTACCTAACCCTCTCCGTCCTCATCCCCCCATTATTGTCTATCTTTGCGGAGGCCGGCGCACTCGTCTTCGAAGGAGGGGCAACAAATGTCGGTGCGTCTCATAACCGCAGAATCATAAGCTAGAGTTGAGAGGGAAACCGCACCAGGGATGATCATGGATTGGCGAGAAATGGCCGGCCGTCCAACAGTCCGTGGAATGCAGGGCGAAGATAGGTGGGACGCTTACTATGGCGCCTGGAGCGGCGGTAAACAACTCGGTTCCGGGTGGGAGGAAGGCAGGTGGGACGGATGGACCGACCCTATGCGAGGTTGGGTAATAGCATTCTCATGGATGATAGCATCCTTTGCAGAGTATGTGTTGGACAGTGCAGGATGCTTACAATAAACTGACCATACTCAGCATATACTATTTATGTATTCTCATTCGACGACCGCGCTTCATCTTGGATTTCGCGCTAACGCTCGCCTTCAGTCACCTCGTACTCACAACTTATTACTCGGCTTCAATACCCACCTCTCTGTTCTTCTGGCTCGTCATTTTCGCATGGTCAGCAATAACAGTAATAATTGCAGAGCAACTCTGTGTGAAGAGAGAGATGGCCGAAGGATTGGTTATTTCTCCTCCGAGGGACGAAGCGGATGATTTGGAGATGGGAGAATCGCTTCGCAGAGATTAAGTGAGTCCCCGTGTATCTTGTGGTCCAGCTGCTTGTAGTACTGGTCTTAATTTAACTGAAGCCCCTTTGCATATGCAATAACTGGCGGTGTCCAGCACCATCTAGATTTTGCCAAGGTTTGAGTGGCGTAGAAGATATCACCAAATTGTTCAATGCTTAGCCTTCTGCAAAATTCATTACCGTTTAGGTGAGCTAAACTGGTTGCAATTTGAAACACCTAGCGAAATACCTAATACCTGGAATTGATTGGGAGTTTGAGGTCAGTTGTTGGGCTTGTAACTTTGAAAATTTACGCCACTGGTGATTCTCCTGTTTTGAATTTCTCAAGTTCGTGTGGCCCTGTTCATTTCGATCCGGCCACCGGAATACAAAGTCCATACGTTGGTAAGCAGTGGTCTTTGAACATGTCCTCTGGGAAGTCTCCTTCTTCATTTCCGCTGGGTGCTCGGTCCACCCGGGAACCTTCGTTATATCGTTGCGCCCACCTGCACAGCAGTCGGTTGTATTTTTTTCCATATCCCATGTTCCGCAGGTGATCAGTCTCTTGAGTGATAGCCGCGAAAATGACGCCGCTATCTTTCTCGTTTAAAGTAAGTGAGTAATATGACTGCCTACTCCAAGACATAAGGCTTATTTGCCATTAGACTTAGAGCTATTGATGCGGTAGTTTTGGAGGCGATGAGCTTCCGACCTTAGTGAACCTGCATGCATTCACATGTCATCACGCAATTGCTTGCGGATATGTTGTAAGTGCGAAGTGCGAATTATTTTTCCTATTTCATTGAGCAGCTGTTCTGATCACGTAAGGTCTGTTACACGTAGCTCTATCGGATAGCCCAGAGCACTTGAGCTTCGAGATTCTGGACCATTGATCTGCGATGACGGCTACAAATGTGCCAGATAGTTGGTTCGAGGAATCGTTCTAATGCACAATGCATACAAGATCCTCCATGCTGACACGTCTGTCATTCCTATCGTGCACAACTCAATATTACTGAACCTAGAAGAGCTCCCAATTTGTATACGTCAATGTGCCTTGGTGCATGGACATGGGCATGTTGTGGAGCTCTGACAGGGGCTGGGAACTTGTCGTGTAGTACATTCAGGAATCAGACTCCGGAAAACTGTGTCACTTGTGCGGTGGCGATGGGAATATGACTCCCTCGTTTGAGTGGGGTGTGCGGTCTGCGTCTTGCTGAGGCAGTAGGGTCATCCGTTGCATTTATCAAGATCATAAACTTTAGATTTGAGAACGGAGACGATGATCTTGTGACAGATAGCTTTTGACCCATTAGTCCTGAGTCCAGACAATACTTTCAAATTCAGAATGATCGGGTTGAATCCATTTAAAGCCTCGACTCACTAGAAATGATATGATTTGCTCTTAGACACCGGTCACGGGTGACCGGTGAACGCCGGAGGGGCATGCGCGGGTCGCCTTCGCAGCTGAGAAAGATAGTGACACTCCGTTACTCTTTATGACTGTATTCCTGTCCCGCATGCTCCGGTTCCTGCGTGCAGTCATTTCCGACAATCCGGCGCAGACTTGATGGAGTTCCGCCGAGTGCACCCTTTGCCCATAGTGAAGAGGCCTGCCACCGCTGGGAGTCTGTGGCGGCGGACATATCATTGGACGACTTTAACGCTCGTGATACCTTTCGTGGAAACTTCGCTCCTATCCACCTCTTTTGTGTCCTAGGCCTTGGCTGTCTCGTCAGAATTCGACGTCTTCGAATCCGCTGGCACTTGGAGCCAACTCAGAGCTGAAATTAATTCTAGGGGGCGCAAAGCTGATCATCTGGATTCCATTTCATATTATCCTACCTTCCACTCAGGGGATTTCCCTGTGGAACTCGTGGACGAAGGATCAAAGGCTTGTTGTTGCTAAGGCCAATACTTCCCTCGAGATCCGTTTGCCCGTGCGATGCATGACTGTTTGAACTCAGAACTGATTGTCGCCGAGTAGTATGTGTTACTCTTCGGCCGAATTTGTCTGACAGTTTAGCTCGGGTCCAATTACGAAACCGCGGGGTAACACAAGTTATTCGATTTGTATGCTGTCGTTCTTTTGTGATCAGAGAAAGAGTTTTATGTACAACCGTAAGCACCACAGTGAAATTCGCAAGACCTGCGCTTACAAGGAACTTGGAGAAGGAAAGCTCATGGTATGTCTCCACGCGAATAGCATGAGACAAGTACCAGTACCTGAGTCTCGTCAGACCGTAATAAGCGAAGGTCTGTGACTGCTCCGCCACGAATCGCAGGACCTATGGCAAACACCGCAACTTTAGTTATCCCAGCTGAGACTAAGTGAAAGTACCGCCTCGAAAGCATATCTGTAGATTGAATATTTGAACCTTGATGGACTTAAGGCTGATGGACGTAAGGTGCACACAATTGAACTGGCGTTTCATTGAGGTTGTAATGGGGATGCGCCAAACTGAAGCATTTAGTTGTTTATGTATGCTTATCTTATGTGCGCCCTTTTTGGTTGTCCGCTGCCCAGATCGCACGGCGCCAGAACAATATTATTTATCATACTCGCTTTCAATCGGGAAGCGTACCGAGAATATTAATCCCGTCATCCTTGTCCGCCACCCTGTACACGAGGCGCCAAAAGATACCCTTAAAAGGCCGTCCGAAGCGGGAAGAAGTGTGCCTCCTCCTACTTTCTCTAATACCCTCGTCCTCAATGGATGCACTCAAGAGTATGCTATCCCCACTGGGGGTGGGCAGTGCTAACGCAATACAAGACACTCTTGTACGCTGTATTCGTTCCCGAGCAATAATTATACTGACGCAAGATGTTCGTGACAGAAACTTGTTGTCATCGGTGGGACTGTCGAAACGGCCAGAAGAGCTTCAGCAGGAGCATGGCATACCTTCCTTGACTGTATGGAACACTCCATAGTTTACGGAGTGCCAGTAGCTAATGTTCACTTCTGCAGCTTTCTTCTTGACGGCACACTTCAGCCAGGAAGACTATCCGTATGACTGGTAAATTTCGTCTGTCAAAATCGTGACCAAGTTCTTACATCTGTTTGTAGGCTTATGCACTGGCTTTCGAAGGTGGGTAGCAATTTGAACACGAGTAACTACGAATGGCATTGACGCTAAGCGTAGCAACCGGCGTGGGGACGTAGCCGTGAATTTGAAATTACGACCAGGACTGTTGGCCGTAACGGTCTTACGCAGTCAACGACGGGTGACCTAGACGAGGAGGATGAAGACGAAGATGAGGATGCTCTCGTACATGGGCGTCGCAAACGCAAGGTAGCATTCATGCCAAGTATAGGTAAGCTATTGCCGCATATGGGTTCCATGTGGTTGAATGTTTCGCTAGATACGACTCACACCATTTATTACCGTGGTCATTGGCTTCGGGTATGCCATTACTATTCGGTAATGTCCTCGGAATATTAACACTTTTTGATAGATAACCAGGACCAAGCGTTATCCGGATTACGGTCATGGTTCGGCTCTGAAGATTAGGTCAGTTCTTTTATTAGTGTTCCGTCAACATGCTTATCGGCCTGCAGTGTGATCGCTCGCAACAATGACATTTTGAAAAAGCTCGTTCTCGAGGCGAAGCGCGAGTACGAGAAGGATGCCGAACATCGCGTCCATATTTTTATGGCTGATACGTGAGTCTAGGCTTGTTATTAAGGTACAAACATATCTCATTCCATTCCAAGGACTTATGGCTGCTGGCGTTGGAATGGAGCTCGCCAGAAGCGCCCTATGAGTTCTATTGTGTTGCAACCAGGCGTCAAGGATATGCTTTTGGCTGATTGCAAAGACTTCCTGTGTTCTGAAGATTGGTGAGTGAGCTTCCAGAATTACATTGTCATCGGAACATCAATTACTTTTTTCCAGGTATGCTGAAAGAGGTGCGTGAGATGGTGTAACGTTGAAATTAGACCTGATGTGACACGCAGGTATACCGTTCCGCCGTGGATATCTATTGCACGGTGTTCCTGGAAGGTTCGTATGATTAATGTGCCCATGATACCACCGATACTCACGCTCCATTGGTCATAGTGGCAAGACTTCATTGATACATTCGTTGGCGGGTGAATTAGGTCTGGATATCTACGTTGTCAGCTTGTCATCAAAGGGGTAAGAGTGGCCCGAGTCAGTAAGTAATCAACTATTGACGTTTGCCAAATTCAGGATGAGTGATAATACACTGACAACGTTGATGGGTCATGTACCATCCAGGTACGTTCTCCGTCATCCACGGTCATTTCCCGGTATTCATATTATTCTCATAACAGATGTATTTTGCTTCTTGAAGATCTGGATGCCGCATTCACGCGCTCCGTCAGTCGTGATGCATCGTCAACTGGTGCTCCCACAACATCTAACACCAATAGCACTACCACTGAGACTAACGATGGATCAACATTGAGCTTGAGTGGACTTTTGAACAGCCTCGACGGGGTCGCCGCTGCAGAAGGCCGGTGTGTCGCTATGACTCCCCTCTGAAACATTGTCACTGATATGCCTTATCACAGACTCCTTTTTGCTACGACTAACCATATTGAGCGCCTTGATCCAGCTCTTAGTCGTCCAGGCCGCATGGATGTCTGGGTGAATTTCACACATGCGACAAAATGGCAAGCCGAGGGCATTTTCAAGTGTTTCTTCCCGTCCAAACCCATTGGTGCTACAACCGCATCTCCATCTGAAGAGTCGTCCGAGGATGTTGACACTTCGCAAAAAAACCTCCCCCTGCCAAAGCGCAAGGCGCCCAGTCACACTATTCCTGTGCTTGATGAGACTGAAATTTCTGAGCTTGCTAAGCGTTTCGCAGATAGTATCCCCGAGAACGAGCTAAGCGTGAGTTTTCGGAACCGATGGTGCATTCGCCGCTGATGCCGTTTCAGGTTGCTGCGCTTCAAGGTTACTTGTTAAAGAATAAGGTTCGCCCACGCGAATGCGTCGATGAAGTTGCGCAGTGGCACGTATACATATCTTGAGAAGCGCATCATGAGCTGAATTACCTTACAGGGTCATTGAGGAACGCGAGACTCGGGAGAAGCTCAAGAAGGAGAAGGCGGAAGTACGTATAGTACGATATTTGCGTGACTTATGCTGAATTTATTTCAAGCGCGAGGCGAAGGAGAAGAAAGAGGTAAGTTCCTGTTATTCAATTGATCCTGTTGCAATATCTAACATGGGATAGACCGAGGAGAAGGAACGCAAGGAGGTACCGTGCTCAGTCCCGTCCCGTTGAATGATGTCACTCACAAAGCTATTCAGAAAGAAGAGAAGGTTGCCAAAGAGGTAATGTCTTATCAAACTCGGTTATGCACGTCCTGACGGTGAGACAAATTCTAAAGCAAGAAGAAAAGGATGCCAAAGAGAAGGCCGAGAGGAAAGAGCGTGCGAAAACTAAAAAGGCCCACCGCGCCGAGGCTGCCTTGAAGTTGGAAGGTGCCTCCAGCAGCACTACTTCTCTGACTACGACCGAACCAGTCGTCGTCCTGAGCACCGGTGAATCGTCAAGCTCTGAATCGGACAGCAGCAACGGCGGTATTGAGGCAGACACTGAGGAAAGCATAACCTCAGAGGAGGAACCTGACAAGGCCGCCGATAGTGCGGGATCTGGTGATTCCGCTGTCAAAGATAGTAACCACTCTAAGGAGAAATGGGTCGCTGTGAAGGCTGACTCATAAGTTGAATTATTGTTGACACATTGTCTTCTTGTTAGAGTCCGGGCGAGGGGGCTCGTCATCACCGCGCACTGCTACTTCGCATCTTGGTCCATTTTGTGACGATCGCTTCGAGGCTTGTTGGTACGGTTTAGATATCACAGTATTTAGGCAATTTGATATCCAGGTGCACATATGCTACATGCTAGTTTTGCTACGCGCACTGCCAATCACATATGATAATATTTCAGTAAACCCGAAGGAGTCTAAGGCCATGGATAAAGGTAAAGCCGGCTATATGGGCTTCAAATTGACTTCTGAAAGTGTTTTGAAGGCTTCTTTGTATGCATCCAACAGCGCTTTTACCCTCGTCCGCTCCGCGACCAACGCCTCATCCTCGTTCAGCAAATCCGCAAAAAGCTCAGGCTTGTATAGAGATGCGACCAATCGGTTCTGCACTTGCTGCGAGGTGTAGTTCACCAGGAAGTGCATGATCGCCTTTGGTATCAAATCCTGTATGCTCTGGCGGACAATCGAGAAGTATGATGCAATCAGAGATCTTATCAATGACGTCTCCATCTCCTCTCGCAGAGTAATTTGGGAGCCGGGTTCAGAAGACGATATCTAAAATCGTGTCATCAATCCTCATACAAGGAATATCTGTACTGATGGGCAAAACACTTACGGCTTCGATATGTTTCCCCAGGCTCTTCATGTCAAATGCGGCGTTATTGCCATCAAGTGTCCGCTTGCCGGCCATAAGACCGGTGGGGCCTGCGGTCTCCGCATTTGAAATATCCCTGCCTGTGGGTACCGGCGCTGGACCAGCATGTGATCTATCCACGGTTGATCCCGCAATTGGTCCTGGACCATTCTGCCCGAAGAAATAGTTGAGGAACGTCTCTCTTGCAGAATGTGGGGAAGTTCCTGGTGCTCCTGGCTGCGTTGCTTGGGAATGCGCGGAGGAATGACGGGGACCCTGGACAGGATGCGGCTTGGATGATGATGCTTTCGTAGTTGGTGCTGAGCCCGCAACTCGTGTGCGGTCATGCAGTGTGGAGGACACGGAGCGCCCGTCACGAGAAAGGACTCCATTTGCTCCCACAGGCTCCTCGGTTGACGACTCATCCTCGTCTTCTAGCGTGGGTACGCCATTTATCGGCTCACTGCTTTGGGGCTAACGGAAAAAGAAGCGCATATTGAGACCATCAGAATGAGACAAGATCAGAAAGTGGTGCGTACGCGTGACGGTTGTGCAGGTTTGGGAGCGGGAGAAGTCGCAGCTTGTGCGGCGGCCGCGGAGCCCGATATGAATGCAGGGTGGTTGGTGTTGATGTATGCAGCTTGTATCTCGATCAGACTCTGTGCATATTCTGATGTAGGTCCGAGTCGCTCTCTCAAGAGCTCCGACACACATTCAATTAACTGGGCGTGAAGGCGGGGGAATCGCTCCAATTCCTATTGTGGTGGAGTTTGAACAGGTAAACCGAGGTAAGATAACAATAACGACTCACTACGCTTGTGCAATTGTGGCAGATTTTGACAAGTTCTTCGTACACCAACTCTACACATCTCAGACTAGGCGACTCCAGTAACTTAATCTGCGGCTTTACTAGCAGATCGAAAGCAGACTCCGGAACAAATAGGCTTGGCCGAGGGCCAGTTGAGTTTCGAATCGCAGTTCGGATATCTTGGTTATCAAGATTCGAGGTCGAATCAATACAAGCAAGTGCGTGCCCAAAGACGTCGTTGAAGATGTAATATATGCGCGCCCCGCCCGAGAGCTCTTTGGTCGAAATGTCAACCTTGGTACCTTCTATCGATGCAACGAAATCATGTGCAAATTTATTCATGAGCCGTAAGATGAGTCCGCCTTGCTGTGTGGCACTGAGTTCGTAGTCCACGTATCTCGATAAATGACCTACCTGATTCTTGTCCCCGTATATGGCAGCGTCACCAAAAGAATTCAATTCCTGCTGTGCTTGTCCCATGAGCGTGTTGAGGCGAGCTTTCATGTCCGGCAGCTTATCGCGTATATGATTCATCAGCACCTGGTTCAGCGTTCTAGCAAGATACTTGGTGCCATTCTTGTGCGCAATGTTCCGGTATGCGGTATGATTGCGGAAGAACTCGGCCTCTGAATCTAGAGCGTCGGGCAAACTCTTCTCTGAGTTGATGTCCTGCTGACTCCGATTCACAACCCCAATGAAGCCTAGCTTGAGCGGATAGACGCGTCCTGTAAGGATATCGAGCGCGTTGGTACCCGCGTCCATCAAGTCCAGCTTTGTCAGCACCCCGATCGTTCGGCGTCCTTGTGGATCGACGGAGCGAGCCAGCTTTAATGCATCAGAGTTGGCAAGGTCGACGTTAGCAGCGGAAACAGCTAATATAACGCTAAAGACAATAAGAAAGCTGCATCACAACAGCGAGAAATAATGGCCAACCTATTGGGTTTCGAGATGTATTCGACAACGAGGCCCCGTATCTGCCTCTCAATATCACTCGGCTGGTCTCCGACTGGAATCTGCGAAGGTCAGGAGTACCTATAATAAAATCGGCATCGACATACCTTAGTCAAGCCAGGTAAATCTACCAGTGTGAGGTCCAGGACATCAGGACTGTATATTTTTAGCGAAATGGGCAATTTGCTGATGCCCTTATTCTGTCCAGCGACTCGGAACGTCTCCTGCTCTATCTCTTTCCGTATCTCATTGTAATCCGTGAACCGCTTGTCGATATGCAAAAATTGACCCCATTCCGTATGCGTAGGGGCTGCTGGATCGGGTGAAGGGGTGTGAATAAGTTGCAGGACAAGTGGACGGCGGGTAACAATGCCCTGCCCACGCGGAAGGAAGTCGCGACCAACGATGCTAATAAAGGCATAATGAATAATATTTCAGATGCGATAATTACCACGTACTTTTCAAGTACACTTGATTTTCCCGCAGACTGACTGCCGACCTATCAAAGAACTTCTGAGGAATACTTTCGGTAGTACGACCATCAACGTGCACGCACCACGACTAGCTGTGGCATATCCAGTTCGCCGCCTGCTCCTCAACCAAGTCAACCCAAACCCTAATCGCATAACCTTTCTCGGGAACTCACCAAGGTTGCTGAATGTGTCTTGTAACCGGTTGACGAGCTTAATGAGGTCTGAATCCATGACGGCTGTGTCCTCCCTGCGTTCAAGGTCGTGAATGAAAGGAAAGGCTGGCGAGCACCGGCACAAAGAATTATGAATTGTACGTGCCGAAACGCGTCAGGCCTTGAGGCGCGTCGTCACGGCTATTTCCTATTTGGCCACGTTTGGCTTTGTGGTACTCGATGGGATATTGAACGTTGCACTGGCGGGTACATAATATCCATTGATACTCAAGCTGAATTTTTCAAAGTTCCAGTTTATGAAATGGCTGCACAAATGAATTTGTACTCGTAGGATGATAGAAGTTAGTTATATAGAAAAACTACGCTACCCTATCATGAATTACCTAGCCACAATCGACTATCACCTGGTATGCATCTAGATTGCTTTGCTTTTCACGAGCTCTGCAGAGAAAATAAGACTCAGAATTCAAAGATGAATGTACAAAGACAGATCGGTACTCACGCTCAACCTCTGCGACTGCACTAGTCAAGATGTCTTTTTGCACCTTCTCGTCCTGAAGGTCAGCCATAACCTTGGCAATCACGCTCTTGGCGAGCTCAAGCTGTTCGCTCTCTTTCTGTTGCTGCTCATATCGAACCCAGCTGTCGAGAACAGATTTCACTTCGGAAGCAAGAGCGACCTTCTGTTTCTGGACAAATGCATCTGCCTCCAGTTGAGCGGTCTCCTACTCACAAAAAAAAATACTAAGCGGTTATCGATCCAACAGGTAACTATCGCTTACCTTTGAGAGAGCAAAGAGACCCTCAGTCAATGAAACGACATCCTTCATTTGTTCGACGGAGTTAATACGGTCCTTCACTGCCTGAGTGTGTTCCGTTCGCGAGCTTTCCAAAACGTTCTTAATGCGTTCAATATGACCATTTGCCCAGTCACGGTATGGCTCCCGAACAAGCTACGCGAAAACAGGCATATGGTAATTGTTGAAAGCGCAATTACGATGAACGTACCTTGGCAATGTAGGCAAGAAGAATGAAAGTGCCGGCAGCAACAACGGTCTCTTCGTTCACAACATAGAGCTCCTGGGAGATAGCAGTTGCAATAAGACCGGTGCCGAGGATTGCAGAGCCAGTCTTGGTGATTAGACTCGGCGAGGAAGGAAGGGTATTTATAATTTCTGCTGCACGCTGCTCAGGTGGGGGATTCGAGCTCATTGTGCGCCTGTATGAGTATCGTTAAATAAATAATTTTCTTTGGAGACCGACGTCGAACGTACGCATTGACAGCCCGGGCATAGCTAGGGAGGGCGCGTGGCCGAGCTACAGGAATTGACCATGACTTCAATATAAAATAGCAACGCGGAATTTCCTGAAAACTGACCAGAAGCCTTGAGCGCATTGACCGCGATCCTGGACGCCATTTGTGGTACAGATTGAACTACAGAGTCGGGTTCCAAAGTCTGGATGAAGAGGATGGGTGACCGTGGGAAATAAAATATTCCGACTTGACACGATACCTTCATGCCTGAGGCCGCACTTTCAGTTACCAGTAGCCGCCTCTACGGCGGGCTGCAAGGCTATGCCCAGCGTAGCAAATTGTTCTCGCATGTAAGTAATGCAGCGGGCCTATTTTGTTACTGTTCAGCATTGCACAGTGAAGACTATTGGATATCAACTGGGGTCTGGACCACAGCACGAGCGAAGTAATCGAGAGGATGGTCAATCATCACAAATACTGCAGCGTATTGTTCATAGACGGGCTCTATGGGAGAAGATATTGGTGCGGTGAATGATGCGTCCGCATATCACGCAGCATATAAGGTTAGATTGTATCTCCTCCGATTTGATGATTGAGTGGTTCTTATCTACTTGAACTCTGCGACCCCGATAATTAGGTAGCCCGTGGTGCACATTGTACATCATCCAGGAGGTTGAGACCAGCATTCACTGTGCTATCTGATCTGTGCATACATTCATATGGACACGTATCTGGTTTTTGGAAACAGAAGTCCTGATCTTATTATCTGATGGTCTGGCAAGTGGCGCACCCTGCCACGTGAATTCAAACTGGCATGTCATATCTGGATTTGATCCGTCTTCCTTCTTTTTGAGAGAGGGATCGGACTGCTGGTAGATAACGCTGAATGTGAGTGTACCTGTGGTATTTCCCAGAAATTGTGGAGTATAAAGTCGGATATTGACTGACAATCCTCAGAAATCTGGTTGGATAGGCCCTGGTGTTCGACATGTCACTTCTACGAGCTGCCATCTTTTTCGTCCCCGATGGCTAACCCAAAATGCTTGCCTTGCTCTGTCCCCCACTATCTCCCCTTGTACTAAAACCATTTCCGAGGATCGTATTTGCAAATGAGTTGTTCCATATCAGAGAAACGTGTTGTGGTCTGGTTGAGATGACCTTTCTGCATTTTATAGAGCCTTTGCATTCCATTTCAATGTACCGTCCGACATGGAAGATTCTTCGTTTGGTTTTAGAAGCATATGTGGAGCTAACTTCTAGTTTGGCGTATCAAGGATTATTGGCCGATTGGCACGCATTAATGGATTCTTTCCGCCATGCTTAACGGAGCGCCTTTCGAAAATAGTATGTTAACGAGCACTGCTCACTGGAACCAACGCCTTTCCTTCTGACGGAATACTAATAATGTCGTCTTCCGAGAAGCATGGACTAGACAAAGATACACCTGGTTAACCTCCTTTCTGAGAAGCATGTTGGCTGGCACCATTGCGTGTAAGTTAGAGTTCAAGAATGTATCTGTCATTGACTCCATACCTCTTGTCCTGTGCGACATCGTGGGGTACATTTCATTTAAAAAAACACATAAACCTTGCTGCTAAGTTCATCAGTCTTTTGTGTCCGCGGGGGCTAATCTAGCCGCAGCCATATGGTGTTCTGTCAATTTCTCACCACAGCATGTCCCTGTAGCTTTCACTGCTAGCACAGGGGGCGTACCCGTAAAACTCGGTGGGAAGGATCACTTTTCCAGAACACCTCTATGGGTCGTCTTTATGTAAACAAATAGAGACTTGCTAGAATGATTCCTCCTGCGGTTGACATATTGAAGCTTCCGACAAACCGATAAAGGCGGCAGCCGGGACTTTTGTACAAAAATATGGTCTGAGATGCGAGGCAGACCAGGGGTGAGAATTCGCTGCCACCGTGTACACACCTACTTGTCGGCCACACTTCTGGGTGCTCAAGATAGTTTGAGCGCTATAATTGAGGAGCCACCAGGTACGCCAATGGACATGGATGCAGTCAACAGTACAGCCCTGTCACAATCCGCAATTCCATTCACAGTAGCAAGATCAATTAGAAATCTGCCAAATGTACATTATTAACGCACATTTACGATATCATTGCTACGGTATTGACTGCAGTTTGCTTGATATGCGATTCATAGTACTGTCATGACGAGAGTATTCCTACAACAGTTTCGTATACTGCAAATGTAGCCATGTTGACTGGAATCGCCCTGGGATAAGAATAATCACAAGTAAGAATTTATACGCAGCACACTCAAATCAACTTACCGCAGCATAGTCGGGCTCAGTCCGCGAAAGAAGCCTGCAACCCCACCTGTGCGATATGAATGTTGGATCGTTGATATGGTTGTGCGATATGGGTTATCGCCTGTGGGCACTCCTGACCGCACTATGCTTCGAGCTCCTGGAGTCTCGGTACTCTGCATGCGCGTCTTCACAACGTCCATCGGAAATGTCGGAAGCCAACCAACGACACCTGCCACCCCTCCACTGACAAACAGCACCCAAAGGGGTATGGATCCTTGGCTTGAGTCTGACAGTGAGGTGGAACCATTAAGCCCAGGAGAAGGAGCAGTGAGGCATCGACTTGCAGCCTCATACTTCCCGATGGACGTCAAACCATGGTAAATGGGCTGTGAGGGCGCTTACCCCCAAGAAGTATGCACCATATCCTAAATCGCGACAGGCTGTAGCAGGTGAGACCACGAAATAACCCCTTGAGACCGTGTTCCCGATGAATAGTGTATATAAGTTTGCTGACTGAGACGCTTCCTAATCCGCTCTCTAACATGTTTTGCTGCCTGATTTTAATCAGTTCGATAGGTGTAGCAAAAAATCTGATGCGTCCGTCTAGTCAGTTGCCTGCCAATTACACCTACAATGGTAGGTAAAGAGCTTACGACATGGCAACGCCACAGCAACTGCCAGCAATTGCAACTTCGGTGAGCGAGGGAGTAGAACCATCCACCATTTGTGCCTTAAGGAAAAACTTGTAGGACGCGAATATGAGACCGTTCATAAACGCGCATGTTGCCTTTATTTGCCAGGTAAGCTAGGATTATAGCATTTGGGTGAAAACAAAACCAGAGGTGAAGCAATGCCCTTGTACAAGCCACTGAAACGCTCCTCTCTGATGATGGTCGTGAATGCATGCGATACTGAATGATATCTCGAGGATAAATCGGGATTTTGTAGGCGGACTTTGACTGTTTCACAGTTAGGTAATGCCATGGCACTACGGAACCCACGATCAAACATACCTGTGTCAAACGGATGAGCAATGAGGAGACCGACAATGCCTAGAAAGTTCAAGTCTATCAATACCGATGGCCCTTCAAGTTGATGACCACAAATTTTCTACCTGCCGTTGTGCCTGCTATGAAGTCAGTCGTGGGGTCAAGGTCTACTGTTGCAAGCGTAAGCAGGCTTTGTAACGATATTAATATGGGGCTCACAGCACCTGGCATCTTGATTAATGCGTTTGAACGGCAACTATGTCGCAAGGCTTCAAAGTTTCCTTAGGCTATCGTGGCAGTGTTCTTCCGGTCACCGAAGGTTCGCAAAGGTCGGTGAACGTCTCCATATCCACAGGTGAACGTGAACAGCTATACTGAGATACCAAATATTGAGGTACCAGGAGTCCAACGGAAAATATTATATAACCACATCTGATTGGCCAAGGCCTACCTAAGCGAGAACTTATCATACGAGTTTTCACCTCAGGCAGCACTTCTCGGTGCCTATAAGGGGTCTCTCAAACCCGGTTTCTACGTTATGGCAAATTAGTCTGAGACCCACCGATCTGATAAATCTTCTCTATGGGGAGAGTCAGAAAATGTTTAGGAATGTCAAGGATTAGGCCTGCTGAGGGTTAGGAACATGAATCCCGAGGTTTAGGAGCAGTGCTAGTGCTGCCTTGTCGAACACGATCGGTTTCCTATCCCAAAACCTCTGCCGGCTATGCCCGTGTTTGGGCCTTTTTGGCTACAATTATTTGAGAGGTTTGTCAAGTCGTCTTTGCGTTTGTCATTCAGTTTTCGCTGGCTCAGTCCCTTTTTCCGTTATGCATACTTCGGTGGGCCATTCCTGCATGACTTTCCGTTATGGAGTGTTCTAGAGCGTTGACCTCTCTGTTTATTATGATAATCTCCGTCCTGGTGCCCGGGTCTTGCAATCGAAAGTAAATAATTTTTTGTTTCGCCCATAAAACTAGGCTACACACATCAGAACGATATGGCTCGGTCCACTTCCAATTCTTCCAGCCTCGCTGAAGCCTCATCGATGGACGTTCCGTGGTCGTGGCTCTTCCAATGCGACCGGTCGGACCGAGAATGACTTGAGCTAAGATCTAAAGGTGGGGAGGTTGCATCGTTTTCCTGACTGTCAGACTCGCTCTGTCTTAATTAGCTTGCGTGCATTCTTTAAAATTTCTTTTGGCCTCCTGGCCCATCAACATTTTTCGTTTGGTGGTAAATCCCGACAGTTTTGGTCAGTCTGTCGAGAATCTCTATCACCCTCTCACCCTCTTACGCGATAGCACTTGTGCCCTGGAATTTACGTCGGACGGCGAATCCGTTCTGTGAGTCCCTCTCCATGTCATTTGTGCATTTAACTTATCCAACTAACACCTGATGCCACTTCGTTGCCTGAATGAATTCAAATGCATTATGTTTGCAATATTTTGGCTTTTGACAGTGAGTGAAAAATCGCGGGTGCCCGACAGCGTAAAATTGGCTCGAGTCTGAATGTGAGGGTCCTAGAAATGGAGTCGGGGACTAGGCGCATAGGCGCCGATACGATTCTATAATTAGAGCGTAAACTGGTCTTGGCCTTGATTTGATTCCCTACCAGAATGGCTGATATTGCGACTCCTGAGTTTCTCAGCGAACTACAGTCCTTGTATCCTGCACCGGCAAAGTATGTCGATGGTGACTGGTTCCTTGCTGCCACTATAGCATTCAGCTCGAGCAACTGTCCTGAAGGCATCCCATACATACTCCGTTATGCTCTCGACGATCTCGGCAAGCTCCCTGACACCTCGGATGAAGATCGCAGGTTGCTCGTGCGGAAGATAAGGGATGGGATCTTTAAGTCTGGCTTGATCTCTGGTTATCTCAAAGTTAATGTCGCATCGAGTCATTGACGTTGGTGATCTTACAAATTGCTCGCTATCTCTAGGTCTACGGTGCTCTTGCGTCGCTGTATGAAGCCACCCCCGAAGAGCTGCGAGACACTGAGCCTCTGCGGTCAGTGTGCGAGTTATTATCCTGAGATCTCCCCTCCTGACTTGCCATGCGACAGCGACCCCACTCGATCGAAAGAGGAAGTTGCTGCTGCTGGTCAAGCATATTTCGATTCAACATACGGTGATACAGCAACGAAAGTTCAGCCCATGCTTCGATCCATATACCCAGATCTTGGTATGTCCTCAATAAATATGCTTCTGCTAATCGGCTCCTGAATTTGGATACCCCAGAACACTTTACTACAAACCTTGGGTACGGGTATGTGTATGCCTTCATGGGAGTGACTTCAGCCAAGGAGACGTCATTCGCCATGATTTCTGCCCTGATCCCGAATGACACGCCTCGTCAGGTTGAATGGCACTTGACTGGCGCTATTCGCAATGGCGCAACAGTTGAGGAGGTAAGAGGTGTGCGAGAAATCGCACTGAAAATCGCGATCAAAGCAGGCGTCCCCTTAAAAAATGAGGTTCCCAACCTTTAACACAATCTACTACGTAAAGCTGTAAATGGAATCGACGATCCTTTGGAAAGTTGTATACGCCGTGTATTCAAGCCAGTAGCAGTATGTTACAAGTGCTTTACTCGGCAACCTTTGAAATGAATAGCTACGAATGCGAGACGTTTGTGCAATCCTACCGTGACAAATCAACCCGAGAGCGTTTGCCGTAAATCTATTTTGATTTGATTCGCTACCACAATGGCTGATATCGCGACTACTGAGTTTCTCAACGAACTACAGTCTTTGTATCCTGCAACTACAAAATATGTCGACGGGGGCTGGTTCCTAGCTGCCAGTATAGCATTCAGCTCGAGTAACTGTCCTGAAGCGGTCCCACGCGTACTTCGCTGTGCTCTCGATGATCTCGACAAGCTCCCTGACACATCGTATGAAGATCGCAGGTTGCTCGTGCGAAAGATAAGGGATGGAATCTTTAAGTCTGGCTTGCTCTCTGGTTGTCCAAAAGTTAATGACCCATACTCGTTACACGGGTGATCTAACCATATCTGCAGGCTATCAACGCTCTTGTTTCGCTCTACGAAGCCACCCCAGAAGAGCTTCGAGACACCGAGCCTCTACGGTGCGTGTGCGAGTCATCGAATTCAAATTCTCTCTCTTTCTCACTTGATGTATCACAGCGACTCTACTAGATCGAAAGAAGAAGAAGTTGCAGCTGGCCAGGCGAATTTTGATTTTACGTTTGGTGATGCCGCAACAAAAATTCAGGCCTTGCTTAGATCCATATACCCAGACCTCGGTATGCTTTCATAGATATTCTTTTGCCTCAGCTCCTTAAATTGATTATCGCCAGAACACTTCACGATGTCAATTGGATACGGGTATGTGTACTCCTTCATGGAAGTGATCTCAATCAAGGAGACGACACTCGCCACTATCTCAACCATGATTGCGAATGCCACGCCTAGTCAACTTGAATGGCACCTAACTCGCGCTGTTCACCATGGTGCGACAGTTGAGGAGGTAAGAGCTGTACGGGAGATCGCACTAAGAATCGCGATCAAGGCGGGCGTCCCGTTGAAAATTGAAGTTCCCAACATTTGATCTAATCGACTACACATGTAACCGACTACATAAGTGTGTACATGGAATAAACTAGCCTTTGGAAGGTCGCATATACCGGTTGGACATCACCACTCGTTGATGTATCAAGAAGAGTGATTACTCTCTGGTGGACACTTGCGGTCTCGTTAGGCACGGCAGGTGTAGTGCAATCAAGCCGAGGCTTTTCCGCATGACTCAGAGTTTGTAGAATATTACTTGGAACAAACCTCACAGAATGAAAAGGCTGGCGGAAGGGTGATATGAGGCATATGATGTCGAAAGAGTCTGTAGCTGGTGGAAATCACTGATTATTCCGAGATGCTCAAACAAGCTGATGTTTACGGCGGGTACTAGGATATCTGTGATTTGGCTGACTGAGTAGACAGGGGCGTATCTTAATCAACCGGATAAATGGCGCTCGATCCGACCCCAGGCTGTCCGACCCTGCCAGTAGCAACTCAGTAACACTCGAAGCAGAGGTAGCCATCATGCATTCAGCAGGAATACGCTGGCTTCCTTCTATTGGGTCTGGATATGACTATAAGACCCGCTCCCAGGCGGTAGCGGGAATTCTTCATTCGCCACGAGGATGTCTGACATTGCGGCTCCTGAATTTCTCAACGAATTACAGTCTTTGTATCCTGCACCAGCAAAATATGTCGACAGTAGCTGGTACCTAGCTGCCGCTGAGCATTCAGCTCGAGCAACCACCCCGAAGCCGTCCCATGTGTACTCCGCCACGTTCTTGATGATCTTGAGAAACTCCTGACACCTCAGATGAAGATCGCAGATTGCTCGTGCGGAAGATGAGGGAGGGTAATTTTAAATCTGGCTTGCTCTCGGTTATCCCAAAGTCAATATGCCATACTCGTTGACGTTCATGATTTCACAATTTCTGTAGGTTTATCTCGCTATATGAAGCTACCCCTGAAGAGCTTCGAGACACCGAGCTTCTGCGGTCAGTGTGCGAGTATCTTGAGATTTCTCTTCCTGACTTGTCATGCGACAGCGACCCCACTCGATCGAAAGAGGAAGTTGCTGCTGCTGGTCAGGCATATTTTGATCTGCAATATGGCGATACCGCAGCGGAAATTCAGCCCGTGCTTAGACCCATATACCCAGACCTTGGTATGTTCCCAAAGAGAGATGCTCCTGGATTGGCTCCCGAATTCGATCATTAGAACACTTCACGATGACACTTGGGTACGGGTATGTGTACACCTTCTTGGAAGTGATCTCATCCAAGGAGACGTCATTTGCATTATGTCTGCCCTGATCGCGAACGACACGCTCAGTCAATTTGAATAGCAGCTCGCTGGTGCTGTTCGCAATGGCGCAACAATTGAGGAGGTCAGGGGCGTACGAGAAATCGCCCTGAGAATTGCGATGAAGGCAGGGCATCTTGAAACATGAAGTTCCCAACATTTGGTACGGATCGACTAAATAAACGTGTAAATAGAATCGATTATTCTTTGGAAGGTTGCACACGATGGTTGGACATAGGGTGGTTCTCACAGATGGTGCCACAACTTGATTCATCACTTGATACATGTAGTTGTTCAGAATTTATAAGATAAATCGTGTTCGCTAGCGCCCACTCTTCATTCTTGGAGCTCGACGTAATTTTCTACAGGGCACGATCAGCTTGTCTTCTCGAGGCATACAACGAGCAAGAACATACCGGGGAACATACCGAGATCGCCATGTGGATTCTTGCCTTGCCACCACCCTTCACCAACCGCCTCGATTTCAACAATCCTGTCACCTACAAGGAATGATATTTCGTTGTCCTCGGCAGCTTCATAGCTGAAAAGAAAAGGGGTTAGTCCGTAAAGTTACTTTAAGAAACAGACCTACTCGTAAAGAGCCACTGCTACAATGCCCTCGTCAGCAATGGAGACCTCAGGGCTCAGGTTCAGGAACGGGCAACGTTGCCGGCTATTTTTGCATGAGAACCAATACATATCGTTTAACACTAGATTCACTCACAGCTGGGGGCGGTGGCGGCGGAGGAGGAGGAGGAGAGGAGGAGAAGGAGGAGCCTCTTCTTCAGACCGCTCCACAATTTCCACATAATTTGCTATAATGTAGTCGGTATAGACCCGGTGAATTGTGCAAAAGAAACACTCACCAGGGAACAACCCGTTCTTCTCACCTCCTTGGCTAACACCGCTCCACCAACCTTCGTCAATCTGTTCGATCTGCTCAATAAGTCCACCTTCCTCCAAGTTCATTTCATTATCTTCCGTAGCCTAGTATGGAAAATGTGTTTCGTCAGATGTTCTGAAGAACAAAGAAAAATCCAATCATTAACCTCATAATCGTACAATACCACAGCGCAGATACCATTGCCCGCAGGAGCGGTCTCTGGCTCTGGCTCTGGCTCTGGCTCCACACTTAGCGCCTGCATTTGGGCTACTGGTGGCGGAGGAGGTGGCGGTGGCGGTGGCGGCGGCGGCGGCGGCGGCGGCGGCGGCGGCTGTAGATAGAATAAGTACTGGATCACTTAACATCATTTCATACTCACTCCCGCTTCCTCTTCTTCCAATTCAATGGGCGCAGGCGCAAATGCTGGTGGCGGTGGCGGTGGTGGTGGCGGCGGCGGCGGAGCAGCTTCCTCTTCTACTTCCGGTTCAGGAGGCGGAGGCGGCACAAATCGTGGACGTGTTGAAACAGGGGGAGCTGGTGGGGGCTGCTGCTGCTGCTACAAAATGTTAAACGTGAGTTTTCTCACCAATATCAACAAGTCTCACAGGAACTGGAAATTCTGCCTGAGACTCGGGCTCTGCAGCACTTGCTAATGCAGCCCCAGTCACACCGATAGCTGCACCACCTACAGCTGCAGCAGTAACTTTGACGCCAAATCTTCCCGGTGTCGGACTGCTGCGTGAACCTGTAGATACAGGGCTTTGCCACGAAGCCTGTTTACTTCGTTGCTCTTCTTCCTCAGCTTGTTTCTTCGCTTGAAGTTGGCGTTCGCTCCAGGTGAGTTTCTTTGATCCGCCAGCAGCGGATGCTCGGGGCGGAGGAACTTGTTGCTGCTGCTCGAATTGTGAAAACGGATTTTTCAGCTTGCCTGGTGTGAGTTTGACCGGTGTCCACGCGGTACCCTGAGATATACATCACAAGAGAACATAGTTGTAAATAACATCACGCTTACTACTGGGGCAATACGATCGTCTTCCGCAGGTTTGACGGGAACACTAGAGGAAAGGACGGCAGGCGGGGTGGAAGGAGCTGTGGGAGTAGAGCGTGCAGCGGTTGTGCCAACATAAGACTGCAGATGCATGGTTAAACATAATTTGATAAGAAAATACTAGGCTTACAGAAAAAGCAGGCCTTGGAGCGCTGGGTACGGCCGGCGGACGTGACGCAGCAGGCAGAGGCGGTGGAGGCAGCGATGCAGGAGGCGCCTCTTCTTCCAAAGCATCAGCGGGGGCTTTCCCTGTACCAGCAGGTCGTACAGAAGCAGCGCCACCAACAACAGGGCGCGGCGCAGTGGGTATCGCAGGTTTAGAGAATTTCGATGTCGTAACAAGTTTCGGTGCTGAAGGTGCGGACGATGAAATGCTCCTCGGTGGCGGCTGCGCGTTGCGCATGGCAGTGATGTCGGGGCGCCCGACAGGAGTGTAGCTCGTGCCTACTGGTGCGATCGGTTCGAACTTGCGCGCCTGCTCGTTGTGCGCTGAGTATTTTGCCCCAGATGCAGCTTCAACGCGCTTCATTATGAGCGCAGGCGCGACATCGGACTGCGGGAACACTAAAATTACAGATATACGATTATTCAGGCGTAGTACGAACCTCGTTGCGAGCGCTGATTACAACATGAGAACCGCGGAGAAATTTCACAATAGCACTGGAGTGAGTGTGGAATAGACCTTTCTTGGCTTCGGGCACACCATCTCCACACCAGTTGATTTGTACGAATTTGGCCAGTTTACTCTGAAGGAGACAAGATCGACTCATCAGAATTATGCCGAAGTGGACGTAATGAAAGCATACATTAGGATCTATGACACGCGCGAATGCGTACTGCATCCTGCATATAAATCAGAAGAGGAGCTAAGTAAAGAGACGATGTACCCATACCGTCCATCTGAGAATTCTTCTTCTAGTTCCTGAAGCCCACCGTTCCCAGTGGCCTGCACTTTGAGGTCATTTCCACCCTTGTCGTATGTGTATATTACCCAATCTATGTTTCTGCCAGCAACGACATTTTGGTATGCCTCGCTGATCTCTTTGCTAGATAAGTTGACCTGCAAGGACATGATTGGAGCTGACTGAACAAAGGAGGGTTGAGCATCGCCTAGCACACTGACGCGAAAGGTCTTACCACTATACTGATCAACGCAGCTCTCCGATCGTGAAGCTTTGAAGGACCAGTCTGTGATGAAGGGACGTTTCAGGTTTCTGGGTCTGTCCCGATTCAGCTCACTGGCAGTGAGCCCGCAGTTGATTTCTTGGCACGTGATCGAGACGCGTCTATGGTGGTCCTCGAGAAATTTTAAGTTGATGATGTCATGGCGGTTTTATTGATGTCGGCATCATCCTAGATCACAATTCTGTTTTCATTTCAAAGTCACGTCTGAAATGTTATGGCTATTATATACTGTTACTAGATGTTCAATTGTGTTAGTCACTACTGCGGTTGTTTCCCCTAGGTACTCATCACTGCAAGCCTCAATTAATGACACATGCATCATCTCCTCAAACGACTTCTCTCGCACTTTCTGCAGTGTGTCGCAATTTCAAGCTTTCCATTTACTCAAATCAATAACTTCAAAGTAGTGTTACACCATGGAGTGTATGAATTTTAGCTTGTTCCGACTTTCTGGCCAGACATTTTTAAATAGGGAGTTGCCAATGCGCAATATACATCATGCACACTTGAATATTATTAGGCAAGCATACAAAATGAGTCTGACGTTGATGCTACCTGCAGAACTTTGCTGTGACAGGCAGTGAGTCTGAGAGAGTATCCATCGGAATTGGTGATCAAACCTGCTCAAGTTGTGTTATGACAAGCTCTACCAGGCATCCTATACAACCTGTGCTTGAAAGTTGGTTGACTCACAGTGACTTGACCACCCTTGGCAGCACTTTGAAGATGTTCCCATGTACTGTTAGACCATATTATTATGTAGGGATTATATGGTCTGAGAGACCCCCTCCTCCAGGAGGCTTCTCCCTAGTTTTACAAGGATATGGGCCATAGGGTCTAACAGTATGTGGGAACATCTTCAAAGTGCTGCCAGTGCCTTGTCACAGAGGGTGAGTACACCCTTCCAGTATGTTTCCTCAAGAGCCTCAATATAGCGACCTCTCCAGATGCTCACTGCCTGCCCTCCCATGTCAGCGTCTCCATATGTTCAAGTTCCCTGTGATGTCAGCAAGTGTAATTGTGGATGTCTTCGGGAGCCTCTGGAATTCATATGTTTTTTTAAATATACCTTGTACTAGACACCCTTTGATGGTGAAGTTTGAATTTTTTGTCCGCTTTCCCTCTCTGATAGAACAAGGCCTGATTCAGATTCAAAACAATGCATTGCTTGATACTATGCTATATACAAAAGGACATGGTAGATACATCAATGGCAAGAATGACAGCAAGAAAGGTCAGAAGCATGAGTATAATGATACAACTCAATATATGCATGGTGGAGGGAATGCTGCTGAATGGTTGAATGAAAATCAGGCCTGCAAGTCTAAGGAGCTTGTCCTCCATCCTCTGGGTCCTGAGGATACTTGTTAGGATACTCATGCCCGTACCCATGTTGATATCTGTCTCCCGGACCATAATACAAACTACTTGGAGGGTGCCAATAGCTCTTGACATAACCCTCAAAACCATCTCAAGAGTTGCAGTAGGGAGCATCGTGATAGCCACTGTGATATTGAGGACCATGCGGGGGCTGAGGGTTATGGGGGGGCTGAGGGTTATGGGAGGGCTGAGGGCCATGTGGGGGCTGAGGACCATGTGGGAGCTAAGGACCATGAGGGATGTGAGGATCATGTGGGAGCTGAGGACCATGAGGCATGCGAGGATTATGATAATATTCAGGCTTCAGGTACTGGCCAAAGGCAGGTCCATAGCGTGATGGCATTGGACCCCTTGGGCATGGACCATACATCCCTGGTCTCATGTCTCCATCATGTGCACACATTATGGGGTGATTCTTGGTATTGAAATCTCTGTCAGTGGGTACAGTTGCCATCTCTGACTCAGCACATCACATCTCACTGTGCCCATGGTGCTTAGCTAGAGGTTGTACTGACCCAAGAGATTCCCCATGCTGGGTGGATGGAGGTTGCATGATGGGTGCCTGGGTTGCTGGCCCAAGAGATTCCCCACACTGGACAGATGGAGGTTGTATGATAGGTGCTGGAGCAGCTGGAGCAGGCGGCAGAAGAGGTTCTGCATGTGGGAGGGATGGAGGTTGCATGGCAGGTGACTTAGAAGCTGGTGCAAGAGATCCAGCACACATGATGTTGTCCAGGACTAAGTCCTTTGAATCACAATGAGTTGGAGAGGGTGACAAGGGACATGTGGAGAGACTGTTAGAGATGAGGGTGTTGTTGTTATCCATGGGGGGATTCACTGCAGTCACAGGATGTTCCAAGGATTGTATTAGTTAATGGGCATTGTAGTGATGTCAGTGAAATGGTACCTGTCAATGAATCAGCACCTTGAGGTCCATCACACAGATGTTTCACTGGTTGGACTATAGTATATGTTAGCTACTAAACAAAAAGAAAGAAGGAAAAAAAAAACATACCTCATGCTGCCACATCTTGAACATGTTCATCACTGGAGGGCTCAGCAGTCTCCACCAGTGTTCTCCTCTCAGTGGGCCCCTTGGCCTTAGGCTTAGGTTGGACTAAATAGTGTACATAATTTACATCAGCTAACTTGTAGAAGGTGAGAGGAAAAAGAAAGAAAAGACATACCTCACACTGCCACATCTTAATGTTCATCTCCAGAGGGCTCAGCAGCCTCCTTGGCCTTGGGCCTCATAGGTACCTTACCTTTCTTCATAACAGATGGCGAGACCCTCTTCTTAGATGCTCACAAGGTGCCCTCTGATTTTGCTTTCTGCTTCTTGGACAAAACATCGTCTTCGTAGTCAGTGTCATGGGTTGCTGCTTCCTCCATGTCTTCATTGAGGTCCTCTGAGCCAGATGGAGAATCACTAGATACCAAGATGACCTCCTTCTTCTTCTCAACCTTCTTCTGGCCTGTCAGGCATGCAACAACTTTGAACTCCCAGGAGGGTGGAGGTTTGGGGTGGACAAGCACAGCCACATTTGGTTCATTGTCAGACTCATTGTTGGAAGGAGGTAGTATTGATGCTTTCTTCGATGTTTTGCCTTTGATTTGAGTGGCAGCTGTACTCTGCTTCTGGCATGGAGCTCCCAGGTGATCTGATTTGCTGTTCACAAAAAGACAGCATCCAGCAGTGTGAACAGAATCTGCTGCAGGAGGTGCACCCTCCAGTACTGGGCACTCAGAAGTGAGGACTTTAGCTGTATGAAAAGGTCAACTGTGAGAATGCAAAGACCAAGATGAAAACATACCTTGCTTAGCTTCGGAAACTTTTTTGATGCTCATGGTCCCTGCCTTCAATGCTGCAACAAGGATGCCAGTCTCCTTCAAAGTCAGGTTTGAGATACCTTTATTAACGGTGGTATGCAGTCCACCTGGGAGAAGCACATCCTCCAGATATCTTTTGATGACCATCAACATACACGTGAGCTCCGATGGTAGTGTCTTCCATGGAAACAACCTGGTGGATGTTGGTTTTCCACCAAGTACATCTGTTCCTTGCTGTCAGTGAACAAATGTCAAATGAAACACATCAAAAATACCAATTTGATGATACAACTCATCCTTGATCCACTTAATTCCATTCTTGGGAATATTGAGGGATTCTGAAGGGGGAGTTGCAGCCTTGTGTACATTGCTGTCAATCGCAGGTTTGGCTTCTTCAAAGGCCTCTTCAACAATATTGAGTGATGTCAGGTTACTAATGATTATATGAGGATCAATCAACTAACAACTTGAATGTCAAGAGTACTTACTATACCTGGGCTTTCAAATGACTGATGATGGTGTCTTCATCAGCCCTACAGCACAATAGCCAAAACTTTAAGACAGTGATTAGATGACGTTTAAGTGCCCTAAAAATTACTCACCCTCAGCTCCAGGTGTCATGTTGGCTAAGCCCAAGGAGCCATCTTGATTGACAACTTTTCCGCATGCTACAAAAGCAGCCTCAAAACCATAATGAGCAGCTGCTGAATCCATCTGTCTACCTTCAGTAACATAACAGTAAGATATGACAAAATTTTACTCACTAGACCAGAGATCTTGGTGCCAAACTTCTGGAACTCCTGGCCCTGCATTGCAACCATCTGAGGAATGCCCAGGAGCATTGCCAACTGTTCATGAAGCTTGAGAATTTTTTGCCAATTGTCTGGGAATTCTGCCTTGAAGAGTTTGTAGCAGTTGCAGCACACAGTGGCACCTCAAATCACCCTGTTAAAAATTCAAAACATCAACCAGAAGAAGTAAAAACTCACTGGGCATGCCATGGATCTCAGGAGCCTTGCCACTGAGCCTCACAAGCTCATTCTTGAGGTTATCCTTGAAGTAACTACTATAGGCATTCCAATGGTTGACAGTACTGCTAGAGTGTGTGCAGCTTTTATTCTATAATGTGAAGATCTGGTGAGCTGGGATTGCAGTTTTGAGACTGAGATCTTGAATCATATGTTCAAGATCCAAAAATCCCTCTTGGAGAATGGCATCCAACATCTGTAATCTTTGCCCCTTGACGGTAGGGACAACATCAGCTGCATCGTCCATGGCAAAGTTGGAAGTGCTGTCCATGGTAAAGTCATCAGTATAAGGATGACCCATGTCCCAGCCTGCAGGTCCTACAGAGGTTGGAGGTGTGATATAAGTGTGGGGCACAGCAGATAAGGTGGGTAGTGATATTGATGGGCCAGCAAGACCCTCACTGACATCTCCACAGGAACCCAATACCATGCTGCTGAAGTTATATTCATCCAGCAGATGAAAGGAGGGTTTGGTAAAGAGGTTAGGCTGTGGAGGCTTGTGAGCATCCGCAGGAGCATTGTTGGATGAATTGATGAGAGGAGCCTCATAAAAGATGTCCTGGATAGGAAGCTGTAAAGGGACAGAATGTTGTTGAAGTGGAGGCTGAGGAGGGGCTGAACGTTCTTGATGCACAAGGTGAGGAGGAGGGACTGAGGGCTCTCAATTTTGGGCAACTGGCTGGCCTAGTTTGTCATTGAGAAGCTTGGCCTGGTGCACAGATGCTTCCTTCACTAAGCCTGCATCATGATTGGTAGCTTTGATATGGCTGTGAAGTTTTGTTGGAGTGTATTCCACCAGTGTATCTTCATAGTGCCTTTCTCCACTGATTTGTTCTTGGACCAAATCTTTGTGTTGAGGCACCTGAGGGCCCTCTGGTTGCAGGGATTCAGGAGGGGCAGAGTAGCCCGGTGGCAGGGAATCCTACATTTTTGCTGAGGATGTTTGGGTCATGGACTAGGCAGATAAGTTATAATTAACACTAAAAGACAGCAGGAGAAAACATACCAATGTATTGAGACATCTGAACTGCTGTGTATGTGATGTAGGGATCCAGGAGAGAAAGATGGAAGTGTTGAATGAAGAGCAAGACACTCCATTGTGATATTGAAGATGCCCAGGAGCTGAACAAGTGTCATGAAGAGATCCACTGTTTCAAGACAGAAGTCAAAAACTTTGTGATTAACATCTGATGATTTGTGATAATAGATTGATTTGACTCACATATGGTATCCCAGTAGCTGCTCATTAGCCAGCAGGAGCATCGGATGCCGATTCCCAAAGCATCTTGAGTATCCTCTGAGATGGTCATACTTGTAAACTGTGTGAATTTGATGTGTTGCACACCCATGGTCACCAATATCTATAGATTACATAACATTGTCCTTCCTTCACTCAATGTATGTACTTACAAGATGCTGGCTTCTCTGTTCTTCCAAGGAGTCGCTCCTTCTTCCTTTTTTTTTTAAATCCAATTTTTGTCTGGTTGGGATACAGTACCCTATGTAGGACATTTCTATCTAGGAAAGGAGGACACCTGTGTCCTCCACTGTGTCTCCTACTCTGCAAATGCCCTGATGGGGGTTTGATCCCCACCAGTCCGCCGTTCCTGCTGGCCATTTTAGATGCACAAGTCTGCTACTCCACAGGTCCGAGTTAATACAGTTTGTGGTTGTGATGGGCCTGTTGTGTATTGGGGAATATACATGTACTTGGATCACCTAAGTGATCTTTGCACAAGGGGAGTGAAATGGAGTGCAGAAAGAAAGAAAGAGGTAGGACAGGTCCAGCACAATGTGCTTGCTAATGAAACATTTTGTACCATATCTCTTCAATGAAAATTCTCTGCCCTGTCTGTCTCCTAGGTCTCTTTGTGGCTAATTCTCCAGATGGGCCATCAGATGGCACCCATTGCCCTGCATTGGTGAGTGATAATAATTAAGGCATGTAGACAGGAATTGTGTGTTGCTGATCTGTTTATGGGTATGATTGTTATCTGGTTTCAGCATGAGGAAGGGGGAATGTCACTGAAAGTGGGCTTCAATCTTCCAGTGCTATTGACAAAGTGTATGAGCAGCACTGTGGCCTTAGTGTTGGTGAGCAAATATGTGATGGACAAGGCTTGTCTTTTGAGGACAAAGGTAAGGATGTGTCTATTGTGCATGTAGTGTGGGCATAGCAGAAGGTAATGTTGTACTGTCTTGAGGACATCTTCCTTCTTCCTTAGGGCACCTTTTTGCCACCTGTTCCAGGTTGACAACCACTATGGATTTTGTTCATCTGGATCATGTCATCAATCAGATTGCATCACAGCATGGGTGGACAGATGAGCAGGTGATGGAAGAATGGTTGGAGAGGTGAAAGCAGGCAGATGATAATCTTGATGATTGGAAGGAAGCTGAAGGGATCCCTTGCATCATGAGAGGTTTGACGGTTATGTGGTAAGTCTGATCATCTATCCAAGTGTGACATTGTTGATGATTCTGCAGGCAACCTAATTGGGCAAGGGGGAACCTTTCCCTGGAGGACACTACCCACCATCCTTGTGCAGTGTGGTTTGGTCCTCCACAGCTACCTGGACAATGTCCTTTTGCCTGGCAAAAAATGTGCCATACTTCTCAGGAGCAAGGGGATCCATGATCTCACTCTTGCCAACCAGGCTACACTTGCAGATGCCCTCAGACACGGTTTGCTCACCATCCAGCACACCACTGCCTCAAATACCTGCCGAAGACTACATGCTTCTCATGAGCCCGTCATCTTGGGTGAAGCACCTCCACCTGAGTCAACTCATACTTATGGGTGGCACACATTTGCAGATGGTAGGATTAACTGGAAGGGTCTTCCTCATCAACAGCCATCTCCAGAGCCTTCATCCGCACCATCTTGGTCTTTTTGCCCTCATTGGCAAGTATTTCAGGGTCTTCCTCATTAACAGCCATCTCCAGAGCCTTTATCTGCACCATCTTGGTCTTTTCACCCTTGTCAGTGGGTACTTTGAGTCATTTTCCCAGAGCCATCCCCAGCACTGCATGAACCCACTGCATCTTGTCATGCAAAACCATGGGTATTTGTTGAAGTACCACTGGCTTCTCTCTCATGGAAGCTGAAGGTGATGCAGTGGCATTCTTTGTCTGCCATGGCAATACCATCTACACCAGTTGACACCTTGCATACTATACAGAGAGTTGATCCTGGTGGATGGTGTTCTTCATCTGCTGGGGTACCAGCTCATACCCCACCTTTTGCACAGAGAGCCAATCCCAGTGAACTGATCCCACAGATTGCTTGCATGAGCCAGCCTCTTAGCAGTCAGTGTTCAGTGCTAGCAATTACAGATGTTGCTGAGGAAGATCTTGAAGAAGTGGTTGACAGGCTTGTTGGGACCCAGTGAAGGAAGTTTTATTGTCTTTTGCACATTCAGAGTGCTTCTCCAGCAGTTGCATCATGAAGGTAGTTTGTTTTTCTATGCTTTTGTGTATTCTACACACACAATGAGGGAAATTATCATGTTCTTGCCTCATATGATCCATCACTGTCTGATCCCCCAGTGGGCCCAATCTGATGCATGTCCCACCCCCCAATAAGTCCAATAATCTTTCAGCTCAATGCCACTCTCTCATAACTCACATTTCAGCAACCAGCATGTTTCCCACAGCAAAAAACACTTGATCTCCTACCAACCAGATGTCACAAGGTCAGCACATCAATGATTGAAAGTTAAGTTGGAAGTACTCATAACACGGAATTTATCAAATGCCTCACAGAGTTTCAAGAGTTGTGACCTGGTAGGTGTGTTGCATTTGACATCAAAGTCAGGCAATACTTTCTTGTGCAACAGCCACCTCTCATCATACTCATTGAATATCTCATCAATAAGAAGGTCTGTGCAACTGTCCCAAGGCTGATATCTTCTGAATGCTGGAATTTTAGAACATAGGAACTCAGCCTGATTGAGATCCATCTTTATCTGATGGAGTAGAGTTGGAGTAGAGTACTAACATCAGTATTTGTGACAGGATACTAGTTTTATATGCACCTCGTAGTATTGCCTCAGAGATCCTCCACTGAGAGATGCTCCTGAGATCTTCAGAGACTATCACTGACTAACAGTGTTTTTGAGACAGTGTTCTTGAGCTCAAAGATCCTTGCGATTACATATTGTTTAATTTGTTATGATCTTGAGATTCATTAAAAAAAATTGGGCCCACCATCTCATGAGGTACCTCAGCCAATCACATGGTAAATAAAACTTGCATTAAAGTCCTCTTACACAGAAAACATGTCTTTGCAGCTTGGTAAAGCCAATTGTATGGCTACAAAGAGGTGACCATTGAAGTCCTTATGACCATGCTTCTGATGAGATAGAAAAATGCAGCATTTTAGCATGCACAGTCACCACACTTTGTGTAAGACTGGTTTTACCACTATTTGCTCTGTCAAGTAATAAGTGTTTCCAAGTCACTGAATTGTGATGTTTGATGAACCTTGCACAATTATGAGTTTGGGCTGTGCTCACCTACATGAAAATCAGCTCACATACGATCAATTGGTAGTTCAACTTGGCCTTTGAGAGGTTTTTGACACTAGATGAGCACAAGCAGGAACATGATTGATGATTGACTCTGATTGTGTCCAGATCTTGTTTGTTTTTTGTTTCAAATTGCCAACTGTGCTGGACAATGTTCACGCAGTGGTGTATCATATTCTGGTATGCCATCTTTGCCCATTGCTGAGAGGGTTGTAGATGGTTTTGTGAATCAAGTAGGTTTTCAATTATCATTGTCATCATCTTATAATTACATGATATTCACACAGAATCTTACTTGTTCTTTGTCTCAAGTTCCTGTGCTGGTGCTCAACATCTTCTTGTTACTGGAAGGGTTGTAGGCAAGTATGTATAGATATCATGACATAGGTATCTTTACTACAAGTGTGTGTAAATAGTGTCTAAAAGCTATCATGTCTTCCTTGTGCATGCCTGGTCTATGAGCTCCCCACAGGACAGCCCCAAGTGCTGCTAAGACCCAGAGTCCACAGTTGTAGCCATTTGTTTGCAGGGGATTAACTGTTACTGGCCAGGTGACCCAGCCTTTAAGATCAATATTATCTAAGCCATGCCATTGGTGAGCAATGGACAATAATCTGGTGATAAGATTCATGATGTCCTGTTATCATTGTTAGTTCAACAGAGTATGATTGGAATGATCACTGACTTTAACATTGGTCTTCCATGGCTGACATTCAGCCAGGCTGTCAAAGAGGTGGAGTTTTTTAGTTGAAATATATATAGCACAAAATACCCAGTGTTTGACTGGAGAGGTGCGATGAATAGGTAAGATCCAGATATCTCTCTCCCAGAATGATGTCCATGATGTATTCCACCACAATATATTGTCTGATGCATTGTATCAGATGCAAGGCAGATCATGGGTAGATAGAATAGCAAAACGATGAACACACAAGCTCATCAGTATCTCAGAGTATAACAGTGCTGTGCACCCATTGATACACATGTTGTTTGGGCAGGCAGTGGGCTGTGCCAGTAAGGACTGATCCCTTGGGTCAAACACTTGGTGGGGAAATCCATCTTGGGCTGGTTGCACCCAAGTCGGGGGAGAGCCTGAAGCTGGTAATATGCTGTATTCCTCCCAATGAGGAACCTTGAAAGGATTTATGTGAAGATTCTATGAAATCAAATGAGTACAGCTACATATGGAGAGTTGCACACTTACCTCTGGAAGCTCCCAGATGATCATGAATTCAGGTTGCCCCATGGCTTCATTGTCATTGTTGTCACTAGCAGTATCATCAGGTAAAAGATCCATCATCACAGCTTCTTCAGTGACTTCTTTGAATGCAGATGCAACATCTTTGTCAGCATCATCCTTGAGGGAGGGTTCTGCGAGTGCCAATGATGTTGGAGCAAGCCTAAACATGACAGCTTGGGATGGTGACATGCTCTCACAAAGTGTTGTAGCAAGTTTGACCACCATGTTGGCACTGCTGTTGAAATGAACAGCAGATGCTAGTGGGGTAACCCACTTGGTTTGCAGCTGGAAAATGTGATCCCACCATTGTTAGAGTAGGAATATGTATATATAATCTTGTGAAATAAGTAACAGTCATCAATGTAAATGAAATTACTTACTTGCAGGAGAACAGAGGGCAAGTTCTAGCACAGTGAGCTTGGTTCCAAACCATCAGCAGAGGTTATCTGCTTCAAGCCCAAGGTGATGCTGCTCTTCACAGCACTGTTCTCATTTAAGCAATGCCTGAATGCCATCTTGTACATCAGTGTCTTTGATCCAATGAGGGACATCTCCAACAGATGGGGTGATTCACACATCCTCCATCAGTGTCTGATCATTGTGAAGATCAGCGAGTTTTGTAGGGAGTGGAGTGGGAAGTGGGACACCCCATGATGGATTGAAGATACTCTCAAGATGTTTGCAATAGGAATTGAATTTGCAAATTGCTGTCATCAAGGCTGGTTGGTGCTTCACAATGGCCTTACATGTCTGTTGATGTAGCTTCATACTTTGTAGAATGAGTTAATATTCTGAGACACCACAACAGAAGTATTATACATTACCAAGTGCCTGATTTGCACTACCAACTGCCTGGTTGAGTTTGTCCCATTCGAAAAAAATTTCCTATCGCTCTCTTCCAGATGTTTATCTTGAGATCGCATGCCATCAGCAGGGTATGAACAAAATTCAAATCAACCCCCTGTAGTTCTGGAAATCTGTCGTGAACATTGAGTGAGGAATACAGCACTTTGACTTTGGTCATCAAATGATCATGACTGTGCTTGAGGCTCTCCAGAGCATCTAAGGTTTCTTCAGTGGCTGAGCCCTTCTCTACCATGGTATATGTCAGTTGCAATGCCCTGTCTGACATGTCTAGATCTGCCTGCAGAGCTAGGACAACATCAAGCTCCTTCTTCAATCGTGTAGGTGCATCTGTCAACAATGATTATGTTGATCTTAGTGTAAAAACCTCAAGTAGTGACCATGGACTTACAAGCATGAATAGACAGTTGGGACTTCTCCTGATCTGCCCACTGTTCTTGAAGGTCTTGAGCTTCAATATTGCAATTGCTTAAAACTTCTTGCACTGCTGCGCCCTAACCATTAACTCCATGTTTGAGCCACCATTTGATCCAATTGCCAAGATTGGCATGCATCTCAAGACCAATAGCACCTGCTTGCTGGTCTATCAACCACAGACACCTCTGGCACTATTAGTGAACTAGACTGACTTACTGACAATGACCTTTGAATCCCAATTAATTTAACAAACCTTGACCACAGTCTTTCTGTTCCCTCGCCATCTGAGAGTCCAAGACCGGTGCACATCCATGGGTTAAACTCGAGTTGACATGCCCACTCATGGCCATATGCATGCATAGCCGTAGTTGTGAATCGAAGATGTGATGTGACTGAACTAGGAAGAATATCATACTAAATAGATAGATATAAGGTTAAAGCATATCTATTGAAGAAGCACTTACTTGAGATAATGACCATGAGAGGATGCAACCAACATCATAAAGGGTGATGACAGTGGCTTGCTGCAGCAACAGAGAGAAGAGATGCTTAATGAGAGCTATGGCATACTTCTGCTGCTTGCCAGGTGAATCAATTTTAGCAAAAAAGAGTGGGATATCATGACGACATATACAGTGGCTCAAAAAACTGTCCACATGTTTTGACATTTTTCACTATCTATGATATTGTGTGAGAATGAACAAATGCCTCAAGGACATGCTTATACCACATTGTAGTATGGCTTCAGGGCTTTCATTTGAGCCCTACACCGTGGGAATCGGTGGAGATATGGTGGAGACATAAGGTTTATAAAATGATGACTCATGTGGACAGTTTTTTGAGTATGTATAAGCATGTAGGTCACCTCCCATGAGGTCCTAGAGATGTTCAATGGAGTCAAACAACTCAAACAGCTCACAGGGGGAGAAAAACATACCATGACAAGACATATTTGATCCTTTGTCTGAAATGACATTTCAAGCCCCATGAGGAAGCTGGTTTCAGTCCATGGCATTGACAATGAAAGATGCTTATATACTTCAAGTTCCTTCAAAAGACCTTGAGACACAACAAGCAATTTGACACTGCATCTTGAGCTCCCATTGCCATAGTGAACCCACCCTGGCCCAAAACATGCCAAACACAAAAGGGGCCATATGTCATATCCTCATATCCAGATCTCAGATCCAATCCACATCTTATCTCCAATCCTATCCACATCTTATCCCCCCCAACATCTCATCATCCAATCTGTCCACTTGTCTGGTCCGGTCCACAACTCATCCAAATCCACAACCAGTGCTCGTCTCCTTTCAGTAATCCCCTAACTCCAGTAATTTGGTTATCAGTATATCTGTCCTGCTCACTGATCCATTACCTATGCTTCATTTCCATTTCATTATTTGTGATCCATTTCTACTTACCAATAGACTATCCATATGCTTCATACATAGCCTCGGACCTCTGCTGATTGATCATTCCATTAGATACCTATAGTATATAACCTCCTGTAAATCTCTGTAACACCTCAGTTCAAATATCAACTTAGTTCTGCTCATTCCTGTCCTCTGGACCTGAGTATCTCTACTTGTTACGGCAAACTAGGATGGGCGCGACAACAGGTACTCGATAAGAGCACGCCTGAAGCCGGATCATGTCCTTACAAATGTAAGGTTCTTAAGACAAGTCGGAGAGAGTGTCTCTGGCTCGAATATCAGTTTATCAGATGACTTAGGATTGGGAGTCCTAAGCGAAGGATAGTTCAGGTAAGACCTAGTAGATTAAAGTGAAGTCTATCTAAGTACAAGACCCGGTTTATATATAGGTGTAGCCTACTTTAGGGCAGGTACGTATACGTCATTAAGACGAGTCAGAGATAAGGGACTGATACGTACGCGTCATCAAGACGAGT